TGGTGACCGTGCCGCAGAAGCGAAGCGGCAAGAAATCAACCAGTTACGACGCACTTCGAACAACATTACACCTCGTGAAGCGAAGAGACTGATTCGTGAAGCACGTCGATTGGCTGAAGAGAATTTTCGAGGTACAACTGGAGCAAATACTTCACCTCAAGGTGAGTCTCCGCCTAGAGACGAACATCCTGACCCCACCAATGTCATCTCTTGGTTTCATGAAAAGCAAACTGCAGAATGCTTCCAACTGTCAGCGCAAGAAGCGAAAGCTTTTCTGAGTCAATTTGAGACAGAAATTTCCGACAGATTTCCATCTCAAATCCTCCAATTGGCCGATATCTACAGTATCACAGCTGAACGCATGAGCCTGATTCGACCAGTGCACAGAACCGCTTTTGCGAAGTCACTTTTGGATTATCTGCTGTATTATGTGGTCGCTGACGTTTTTGACAAGGAGAATTTAGTCGTGCCGAACCTAGGTGCCTTCGAAAACGCATCACCATTGAAGAAACCTGCCGTCCGGGATCTGTCGGCTGAGCCGAAGTTTACAGAGAGAGGCGAAGAAATTGCGCAGTCGTCTGTAGTTGGATCTTCATCAAGAGAACAGCGCGAACCTCAGATGGCTGAAGCTCTTGACGAACTTGAAGTTCTTGTTTTAGATGCCGCTGAGGTACTGGGAAAGCAGGTCCGAGAAGCAGAAAACTTTCCAGAAGCTACATCAAGTGTACGACTACTACAACATTCTGAGCAGACGACGACGAGGGAAGCTGTACTAGCGAAGACATTTGCGATATCTTCTGATAAGAACCCAGCCAATGCTCCAGATACTCCTCATGTTGCCGTTGAGGAAACGTTATCCGAACAAATCGAAAAGCGCTTCATCGCTCTAAATGAGCATCTAGCCAACGCGCGCATGCTGCCTTTGGTCATCACTATGCTGACGAATCTCGGTCAGTCCATGTCGGATTTGTTTCTCCTGAATGTCGAAAAGCTTGAGGATTTGATCGGAAGCAAGCTTTTCAGATTGATTCAAGGCGTCATAGAACAAGACAAGGATCTCGAGAGCGGCCGTCCTCCACCTAGTCCAGAGACGAAAAAACTCCTTTTCGAGCTAGCGCACGCGGATGAAATGATCGCGACGTCCACAGCTGTTCAGGCTCACGAGCAGGCTCTGTTGGACGAAGAGCCACTCGCTGCTACAACTTTGACTGAGGCGCAGCTGATTTTGGAGGATCAAGATTCTTCTGCGCCAATTGCAGCGATAATGGCGCGCAGGCGGTCAAGAAGGACGCAGAAGCTGCTTGTAGCGTTACGACAACAGTTAAATTGGATTGGGCTACGTTTGCAAAAGCTGTGGACGATTTACGACGTCAGAGTGCGAACGCGTGCTCAGTGGCTGTTGGAACGGCAGATGCGAAACGTGGTCGGCTTAATCGATGTAGAGGCTTCGCGCTCTGTCCTTTTGCCAGAACAGAACCTGCGATCGAAAATCGGCTCTCTGCAGAGGGATTTGATTGCTGAGGGACAAGTTGCGCATGTGGCAGAACAAGTGGTGGAGAAAGAGTCTATGAAAACGCTGCCGAAAAACAAAATCGCAAAAGTCGTTCTCCTAGAACCGACAGCAGCCCTTCGAAGACAATATGAAGGAGCTTCTACTCCAGGGGCAACTTCAGGATCCCCCTTAGTTCTCTTCGATTCCCGCATTGCTTGGGGAGGCATGTACAACAATGGCGATGACGAGGACCGTATCCAACAGCAAGAAGAGGCCGATCTTCGCAAGGAGTTCTTCCAATATGCTGAAGAGCTAGCACCCTCACGGGTCCAAGACCATAATCAGTGGATGTTGGACACAAGTGTGGCTACTCGAGAAAACAAGTTGCATCCAGTCTACTTGTTCACGCCTGCCCAACTTGCACGCAAGGTCGACTTGCCGGATATTGAGGTGGTCGACCAATTCGCAGCGATTCGAGAGCACCGTTTGGATACTGCTTTGGCTGCTACAGGAACAGACTGGAGGAAACGACGCGATAATATGCGGTCAGGCAATCTGAAAAACGCTATCAAAGTATTGCCTTACATTGGTAGTGGTACAAGAACGCAAGGACAAGGGCAAGGTCAACAACTGCAATTGCCTCTCAGTAACACTTTTTCGGAGCGTCGTAGCTGGTACGATGCTGCTGCAAGTGCTGCTGCCAATGTTTCCGGCATGCTCCAATCCCTAGGTAGTATCTTCGAACTGATAGAGCAAGATGCGACAAGGACTGACTTCGACAAGGCTGTGGTTCAGAGAGGTGAGGAGGCTTTGCGAAAACTCGAGAAATCTACTACAGAGTATTTCACTCAGCGTACTGGTGGAACGCGAGATGGTTTAGAACCTTTGAATCCCATGCGCAGAAAACGTTTAGGCCTCGTAGCTGGTAACGACGCATCTGAGGAAGACGCGGACGACCCAAACAAGCCTCACAAACTCGATGACAAAGATGATACCTATGAGGGTGATGGAGTGCATAATCCGGCTAACGAGTCCGATCTCGACATTGCGCTTGATCTCGCTGATGCTACGCATGAGTTAGCCACGAATACTTTAAGAAAGATCCTGCTAGCGAAAAACGTGGTGAGTTCAGTCATCGACCATGCGGATTGGAGGTTTTCTGCGGAGTTGGCTGAATTCAAGACCAAGCTATTCGATACTGCGGATGCATTGGTGACGCACCTGGAGAAAGCCCGCATTTGGTTCGAGATGGCTCACGAGATGGACGAGTATCCAAGATACTTCTCAGCCCGTCAGCTACGTCTCAATGCAGCTGTAGAGCGACTGACCATGAAGGACGCAGCCCATGGATGGAAATTTCACCAGCAAAGGACTGTATCCATTTCCAAATTCTTGAGGACATTAGTGTCTGATGGCAGTGTTCCTGACATCGATGGTGCTGCTGGTGGTAAAGATGAGAAAGAGGTAGAGTGGGAAAAAGATGCTAACCTTGAGGATGCAAGAGAAGCTGAAGAAATTCCTATTCCTATTGGCTTCAATGACGACGAAAACGAAAATTCAATGGATGTGGGTCAGTGGAGAGCCAAGATGAACGATGCACGCGCAGCCATGAGAGATATGCGCATTCTGCGTCGGAAGAAATTGGAGAAACCAAGTAATGCAGAGGAACAAGCAGCAGCTGCTGAAGCAGAGCGTGTCAGACAGGAGAAGGTAGCAGAGGAAGGGCGAAGAAGAATTAGGTCGATTCAAAGTATTGCTGCACATGAGCATTTGAACAGCGTCGTTGATGTGTCGGATTTGCGCGAGATGGATATTGGAGGTCCGATGGATTCCGGTCTATTTGCGCGCTTCCCAGCTCTCGGTGGCGCGTGGAGCACGAACGCTGTGTACAAGGGCTTCGCGAGACGTAAGTCGGCCAATGCCTACGCGCACAGCCGAACGCAAGCAAGATCTGATAAGTTTCCGAAAGACAAGCTGAGGAAAGTAGTCACGCCCAGGAAGTTGACGAAGAGAATCGTGAAAGAATGGCTGAAGTCAACTGCTGCGAAGGCTGAGGCGGAACTGGCAGAAAGCGACAAGCATCCAGCTAGCACTCGCCACGCATTCATGACCGAAAAGGGTATCTGGATCCGCTACAGAATCGGAGCTGGGTTCAGTAAAGTCCGGATGGAGTCACATCATCACTTGTCCGGGATTGGGTCGTTCTTCGAAGATGTGGTTGGCATTACGGGATTTACGAGGACAATGACGTCTTTGGGATTGGGTGAGAAATTCAAGGATTTGGAGGTGTCGGAAGAGCAGATTGAAGCAAAACTGAGAAGCGCAGCTGGCTTGAAAGCAGTCGGCAAAGCAGTGGAACGAACAGGCAGTGTGTTTGGAGCGATTCTCACCGGAGGAGTTTCTCTGGCTGCGCAGGGAGCAGCCAAAGCTTTGCAAAAGAGTCAGGGTGTTGCTCATTACGTCAGCTCATCGATGAAAGAAGCAATGGGCATCGAAAACTTTGATGAGGGTGAAAATCGATTTTACCATTACGAACTGCCGGAGGAGAGTCACGACGACCATGGGGCTTGGGGCTACGTGCATATCAATTTTCGTCACGGAAGTAAGCGGAAAGAGCAAGCGTTTTCAGCTAAAGATGCCGCTGAAGCCTTGGCGGGAGGCTCGCCTATTCAAAATCAGCGCGCATTGATCGCGAAGCAGGAACGGGACCACGTCTCAGTCGGTGAATGCCTGAAAAAGGCAACCGTTCTGAACGCAGAGACCTTTTTCCCACGAAGTCGAGAGGTCCGAGACAGAAAGTTCGAAGCCCAAATCCGTCTCGCGAGTAAGCAAGTCAACAGTGCAAAAGCGATAGCGAAGTTGAGAGAACAAAAAGCAAAAGCGGAAGCAAACCTCTCGACGGCCGTAAAGCAGGCTGTTGTAAACACAGCCGCAGATGGAGATGATGTGGCACCTTCAACTCTGATCCAAGCAGAGGCAACGCAAGCAGGGGAGCTTGCTCCAGAGGAAAAGGCAGAGCTTGATCGGATCCAAGAGAGGATCTCAAAGTTTGAGAAGGATTTTGCTAAGGAAAAGGCTTTGACCGAAGACGATTCCGAGATCTCAGAGGAGGAACTAGAAGCACTGCAGACGGGTCTAGAGTTCGTTGCGCTACTTCACGATGACAGTTTTGACACGGAAAGGCTGTTACCTGAAACGGCCTACAAAAGCCTACTTGATGAGGAGTGGAAGGAGATGCAGAAGTGGAAAAATTCGGCGCAAGAAGCCTGGAATATGAGACGCATTCCGCGTGAAAAGCTCCCAGACAAGTATGCAAGTTACGGAACGGTAGAAGCTCGTGATGAGAATGGGGATGATCCGATGAATGGTGGAGAAGACGGGGCTGTGGTTATTTCTGGTGCTGGAGGAGGCACCGGACAACAAGGTGGACAACCTGGGGCTGGAGGTACTTCTGCTACAGGACTACAAGCCGACGCGGCACCTATGGGGTCAGCGGAGGCGCGTCAAGGCAGAGATGCGACCATGTCCCACGAAGCCGTAGTGCAAAAAGCTAAAGGCAAGAGTATCACAGAGCTACACGACTTCGCATTCAATGCTGGCGTCGGCACCAACGACTGCGTAGACGTTGTCTACCCAATGGCCTCTCATCCGCAGTATCGACAGTTGAGGCGCGCTTATCCAGCTACCGACTACCTATTGCGCGGACGAAAGATCCTAGCGAGGATCGTGGCAGCAACGACCGAAGTTGAGGAAATGCTGAGGTCGACGGTTTTGATGCCACTATTTGCATGGATCAAGGAGAATTTCGTAAATCATGCTAGTGCTGGTCCTCATGGTGACGGAGGATCTGCAAGCAATATGTTTGCGTTCGACGCTTCGCCACGTGTAACAAAGGACTTCTTAAGATATCTGGAGTTAGCACTTCAGGTGCCCGAGCCGTATTTGGCAGGTGAGGATACGGAAGGTCGTGCTTTGATAGCACTGCCAGCGCCGATTCCTTTTGGCTCCCTGAATGCAGCACAAGCGTCTTTCCATGAGGAGAATGAGAAGAAGCTACAAGCGATGATACAACAGTCCAGGACTTCTGGAGAAACTTTTTCGCACACAAACGCAGATGGCGGACAGAGCTACTACAAAGTGACGATTTGTTAAGGCTGGAGTTCGAGTTCCTTTTCATATAGATACTTAACATGTTTGCATGACTGATTCTGCGTTTTTCGTAGGCTACTATAATCCATTGGTGCCGCGACATAAGTGGTCTCATCATCGGTCTACTTTTGACTTGCTCTACTATTAAGTACTAAAAACTACCTCTTAATAGAATTTCATCTACATGGAGTGGGAGATGAAGCTTCGGATCTCTTTGTTCCGAAGTTCTTTTAGGAAAATAGCCTCTGAACCACGAATTTGAAGAGCGCTAATCTCAGCGTCGAGGCGATTCGGACAGTTCGAACGCACTGCGTTACGTCTTCCCACAGCTGCCTGACGACTACTTTCGACGCACTACACGACCACTTTCGACGCACCCTGACCCAAATCATCCTCGCAGACACCAACTCTACCACGTTTCCTACGCTGACGCGGTTCTTGCACTTTTGACGATTTGGGAGATCTCCGATTCTGGTCTCCAATCTCGCAGTCGCCATGAACTTTTGCCTTTGTTTGGGCAGTTCTACGAGCAACTTTGTGCTCCATTGTCCACACTAGTAGAGGGCTGGACCGAGAAAGACGATAAAATTAGTGCCAAGAAGAATCGCGCCGCTTATAACCTTTTGGCGATGGGTATCAAAAGTGACGGTGGTTTGGACGATCCGTTGGACTTGGATCCGATTACAGTACTTGCTGTGACAGAGTACATCACGTTTGAGGTCGTCCAGAAGCGCGTGTGCAATCGCATTGCAGCAGAGCAAAGTAGGCAATTAATCGACGTCGAACTGCGACGAAACTTGTTTCTGCGGAAGCGGATGCATCGACAAGAGGGCAACCGCGTGAAACGTGAGATGATGACGAGGTTTATGCTCAGCAAGGCTGCAGTGAATATCAACCATCAGTTGACAAGATTTTCTCCAGCAGCAAAACAAGGAATGGGCGCAGCGACGACTGAGAAACGACTGCGCATTGCTGTCAAAGCAAAAGATGCCTTAGCTCGTCTCTCGGAAAAAACCTTGTTCCTCCATGGCCCTGGCGAAGAGACCCCTTATTCTTTCCAGTCCTTCGATCAAAACGGTCGTGTGGTGCTTTCCGACGAGGATAGGAAATGGTTTATGTGGCACTACGGTTACAATCCTGATGATGGTCATGGAGGAAATGGAAAGACTTCTACAAAGCGTAGTTCTCGCGACTTGATCTTCCAAGAATTCAACGGTGCTCGAGACGACCGCAACCGGGGAAAAAACGCCATCGCCAGGTTACACCCTCAACATGAAAAATTGCTACCTCCAACCGACAACAAGGGCATTGAGAAAGGGGGACTTTATCTCGCGCATAACGACGACGTGCGCGACCTCAGGAGAAACGACCACTCTGTGCAAGCCCGTAACGACTATGGCGTATCTGGCGTTCGTCGCGGGGCTGGCGGAAACATGTCTCCTGGTACTGCGCATGCAGTCGGACCGCAAAGTCCCTTGACAATCGCTGGCTCTCGAAACGTGGACCGATATTTGGATCACTATTTTGCCGGAAAGTACTCTCAGACAGCCGAATGGCGTCTCTGGTTGGACGAGTCCATCCGCTTGAACGGTTTTGTGGACGTCCCGACCGTCCAAGCAAACCAATTTGTCGATCCGACTGACAAAAACACGAACAGTTTGATCGCCGATCTCTCTGAAGTCGCTCTACGAGGAGAAGTCACATCGTCCAGTTCATCAGGAGGCCAACCCCCATGTCCTAAATGCAGTAAGCTAGCGTGTGGTGTTTGGAGTCCAACGTGCGGAAGCACCTCTGAAGTTGACACACTGTTGCAATTTTTCCCAGAAGTGTATGTCTTGAGGCAGCAAACGAAAGCGAAACGATTAGCCGACGCGAAGAGGTGCAAATGTCCGTGTCACACTAAGTTAAGGCTGTAGACCTAATAGTACACCTTTGGTTGGAGGACGTATGATCCTTGAAAATGAAACGTATGGAGGAGTATCCTAAGCAAATACTCCCCCATACTTTTCAAGGATGCACTTGAAAGATGAACTACGGACAGCTCTAACAAAGCGGGACTTGGAAGCCTTCGGAATTAGAGACGGCGCGGGTGCGAAAAACATGCTCCCCAGTGATCAAGAAACCGGTTTCCGGGATAGAGTAGCGAGGCCCTGGGACGGACCAGAGTGTCAAATCAACTGCTTGGTTTGCCGCGTGCAGAAGGGCAAAAAGCTGTCTGGCGAAATCCCAAGACACTCATTGGAGCAGGGCATTCACATGTCGAATGAGATTCAAGTGCAAGGAAATTTCGCTTGGATCGCCTTGCTGAGGGACTACGCCAATGCTTTGACTTTGCGACAAACGAATCTGTTAGACTTGATGTCTTTGCTCGACGAACAAGCCACCGAAAACGACAAGTCCTCGTCTGCAACGGCATTCTACTGGAATTCCTACGGTGCGGTAAGAGAAGTGCTATTTCATGTGGCTGAGAACGAAGGACAAGGAGCAGTTGGAGCAAGAAGCTCAAGTGCTGGTGGGGGTCTCTTTGGTTCTCTGGATTCTCCTCTCTCCGAAACCGAACACTCCTTAATCGAAATGCTATTGCAGCACTCTGCCCTTGTGCACACTTCTGGAGGCAAACAGAAACTAGCGCAAATGGTTGCCGACCGAGATCCGCAGTACACAGTGATTTTCCCCGACGACTACGGCCCGATGCAGTTGACGAAAGTCGCTACTCAGAAACGCTCTCGTCGTGCAGCTGTGGCTGCGAGATGGCAGAAACAACTCAACATCCCCGCAGCACGTAAACTAGCACTCAAGATCGGAGAAGTTGCGGACCACTACGGCTCAGGTGCTAGTGAATTAGAACTGGCGAAGATGAAATTCGAAGCTAACGAGTTGCAATGGACGAAAGAAAATAGCTTGGTTGTTGCCAAGAAGAATCCAGGTTCACGCGCCGTAACTGGAAGTTCTGGACCAAGAACATCAAGAGGAAGTACTTCAGCTGCCAATGGCCTAGAGACTGTTAATCTCCCTCCAATCAGTGATGCTTTACTTGGAATCACGCCTAGTACTGCCACGACTAGTATAGGCACTCCTGCTGTTAGGGCTCATGGTCAAGCTCATGGTCAAGCAGATGGAGGTGAAGAATATGATTCTGATGAAGTAGAAGATGTACTTGCAGCAATTCCAATTGTCGGAGGTGGTGGTCCACAATCTCCAACCTCTGACGGTATTTTAGTTCCCTCCTCAGCTGGGAGTGAGGAGGACGACGCCGACTACTTTGAACCACGACAAAACGAGGAAGATGAATTTTCTACTGGTGGTCGTCATGGCGGAAATCAACAAGGTATAGGGAGTGATCCAAATCAAAACAGCAAGGCAATCGACATGGAGGAGGAGTCTTCGGTTACGCGAGTCTATGAGCGCGCTGTTTCTCGATTGATGAAAGCCGTTTCCGACGAGAAGTACCAAGACGCGGCTTTTACCGGTGCAGAAGCGGTTGATATGGGTGAAGATTTTGCAAGTCTCAGACCTGCAGAGACGTCCTTCTTAGATGTACAACAAAGACTGCTGCACTTCTTCAAAGACCAGATTGTTTTGAAGCTGCGTCCGAAAGCGAAACACGTGAAAATCAACGTCAAAAAAGAGGACAAGGGCAAAGACGAGGAGAGAGATGCGAAAGACGGAACGTGGGATCGGGTACTCACGTTTTACTTTTTTTATGCTAGTTTTTACTTCTCCTCGCAAACGCGTTCGTCATCGCAGGACACTGCTTAGTAATCGTAACACAGCTGCACATGACTAATTCAAAATCCATGGTTTTTTTCTCCAGTAACTAAAACTCCCTCAGGTCTCCATTAGGCCTTGAATACCTCCATACCTTCATACCATCCAGACCCACGTCACAAAACTCACAACGAACCACAGGAATATCACACCGCTGAAGTCACTACGAAAGTAAAGAAAGACGATGCAGACGAAGAGATGGAGGTTACGGAGACTCAGAGAGTTGAATTTTCGCGTTCCCATATGATGGTGATGCGTCAAATGAAACTACTACAACTTTGGGGCCCTCTTGCGTGTGACGTTATCCTACCCTGGACGCGAAATGCCGATTTGAAATTAAGGCATGACCATGGTCATTAGTAGAGGTAGACAGAAAATTCTTCGCGATCAACATCAAGTTGATGTGTGTGTCTTTAACTTTCTATGCTGCGGGGTTTAGACAATCTTCAACACAAGACAGTAGATAATCTTGATATAGTGTTTGTCTATCGAGAACCTGATAATCTTTCGGGAACCTAATATAGTGTTTGTCTATGTGGCACACTTCTGTCTGGCTACAACGACCACGCAAGATCTGCCACATATTTCAGCATTATTTTTCTAGTTTTGATTTTGAAAACAACAGGAAAGCAAGAGTCTCTAATACCCGTCAAGGACATTTTCGCTGGTAACGCGGTAGCTGTTCCTAGAGCAGGCGGAAGAGAGGCTGTGTGGGCAACACAAGTGAAGCAGTGGGCCAAGCAAAAGCGCGACAATCCGAAAGATACCTCTGCGGCTTTGAATTTGGAAGCTTACGGTAAAAACGTGCACAATGACGAAATCAAGGATGGCTATTTGCACAAACCGGCTAATTATGGCACAGAAAATGCACGTAGATAAAGATTGATAGTGATTGAACGATCTAAATTATGTTTTTTGAACAGACCTTAGATGATGTGCAGAAGCTGTACCAGTATGTTGATTCTGGTGGGAGTGTCAGCAACATCTTCTTCGACCTAGGGTTACTAACCTTCGTCTGAAAATGTAAATGACTCAAGTAAAAATCCTCTTCCCTGGTTGTACACAAGATGAACTGGAAGCACTTACAACAAATTATAACAAATTGAACATTTGAAAGACAACTGTTAGCATCCTGGCCCCCGGCCCTGAATTGTTATCAGGATTAGTCTCTACGGGCACTACGGACAGTGTCATCAGGGGCATATACATGACAAAGACAACTACTGGGGTGACTTTTTAGCCATAGCTGGATTCTAACTCCTCAAGGAGAACGTTTTCCTGCGAGCTTCTTTAGAGTCCCTGTGCAGCTGGAGTGGGGAATACGGTCAACTACGGCTAATGCGGTTTCGTTTTCTGCTTTTTAGCATCGTCGGCTTGTCTTCGGAAGTTGTTGACTTAATTTTTCAGACTCGCTCTACAGAAGCGTTGATGGACCTGGCCTTGAAACACGATATTTCGCATGAGAAGGGACTCTCCGACTTCATCAACGCATACGCACCGAAGAAAGAACAAAAAAATTATGGAAAAATACTGCTCTTGGGGTGGAGAAGCTATAGACTAGAAATAGTAGGAAGGTTTCTAACTGCTTCCTGTTACTCTAGGAATGATCAACGATAAGGACTCTACTTCATCTAGTACGTACGAAGGCATACTAGTCGTACTAGAAAAAAGAATAATACAAAGCTGTGACTAAGACTAGTGAACAAACTGTTACCGCCCTACTGTCTTTAGATGTCTACAGTTTGTAGCATGAGCGAGTCTTCTTCCTCCTCTAAGCTGGTGGTGACGGAGCTGATCATGATGGGAGTGATCGCGACAACAGCGAAATGCCGGAAGTAGAAAACGAGACATGGCAGAAGATTCGACCTGTGATACAACAGTGGGAGAATATTTTTGCAAATGTTATGGTGTTGACGTCTTTTTTTTAGTTGAGTAGGGACATAGAGTTACAACAAGTGGAATGTCGTGGGATCCGTCGTCGTAGGAGGTTAATCAGAATACTATTCCTGCTGACTCGGTTGTGCACCTAGAGGAGGCTGCTATTACGAGTACAAAACGAAAAGAGCCTCTTCCTATTCAGTCATCTCCTGCTTATAAAATCGTGTCTCTTCTCCGAACGCGAAGCACGTCTCCTGGGTACAACCTTCCATCATTTATTTTATCTAGAAGCTGTACCAAGGATCTATCCTTCTCTAAGACCCTGATCAAAGAGCGGTTTTTGAAGCCTAAGGAGATCGAGTTCGAGTTCTGGCATCCCGTGATGCTCCAGGACGTTTTTGATGAGGATTATCGTGAATTAGAGGGCGCTGACTTTGGGAAAGGCCAGATCCATATCGAACTCTGGAATTACATGCTGCAAAACGCGGTCACGGGACTTTTGGTTAAGGCTCAACATTCTAGATTGATAACGGGTAATAAATTGTTGTCTTCAAAGACCTCTTATTTAGAACAGGAACTCCTTCACATAATTATTTCTAGCCATGGCACTTGTTCGCCATTACAACAAGACAAAGTGTCACTAAAGACTAGAATCAGTCTTGTCACCGCCGTTCTTATCCTAGCCTGAATATGATAAAGTCGTTCGTAACTAAATTACCTATGACCTCTTTCTAACTCTTTCGCGGTTCCAGAATGGAGACTACCGGAAGAGTGCGTAAAGCAACACGGAAACACAGCAGACGTGGTAGATTTCATGCGTCATGCAGAGTACAAGAGACTTGGTAAAATAGCGTCCGGTAGTGTGCAGGAGCAAGCCAAATGGCTGTCGACACAGGTTGAAAATTGTCGCTACGACAAAATGACTTCCAGTGTGAGGTTGGCGAAAATTACTAGAGAATCCCTAGAATACGAGCAGACAGAATATCCTTTGGTAAAAACGCCAGGCGATGCGGATGACAACGCGTTTATCATCCCAGTGGTTCACGATTTGTCACTTTATGGCGGGGATATTTTTTACAATAGAACACTACAGTAATAATTACAGTAGTGTCAACATGATCTCTCCATCATACATCACGTTTTTGACGGGCAACCCCGTGGCGGCTCACATATACTTAAGCACGCTCGGAGGTCTACTCTAGTAAGAACTTGTTGAAGACCCCGAACAACTACAGTACCACCAGTAGGCGTAGAACTATGCCGGTCATAATCATGGCCGAATGACTTGAGGGGTTCCGCTCCTGCAACCTCTAATCACCACGTCGCAAACTTTTCCATCACTGGCAGATCAACAAGCTGTTGGAGTTGGTCCTTCGACCCCAGTTCAACAACATCTTTGGCGATGGGGAATCAGTCCTGCTCACGGAGAGAGAACTTGATCGACAAGCAGAGCTCTATGCGCCTGGCGAAGAGAGCTTTGACCAGGCAGGGAGAAGGTACTTTTTACCTAAAAAGATGATTTCTACTTTAAAAATGATGACGCTTCATATTTATCATGATATGTACTGTTCCTCATTTCCAACATCATTTCTACTCGAAATCGCCCACCTAGACGCACATTTACAAGAACTAGTAGTTGTCTCCTATACCACAGAACACGCGTAATCAAAAAAATCCACCACCATCACCCCCAGACGACGTAGACGTGGCGCGGCAGCTTCGGAATCTCGTTGGTACTCTTTTCTGAGTGGTTGCTCGTATTTTGTTGGGCACCTTGCGGGTATCTTCAGCGACGACTGGCAAGCTGCTTGTAATCGAGGTGGCGACGCTTTCAACAACCGGTCTCAGTGGGTTTTGTATCTTATGGCTTTGAGTTTGACTAGTACTAGGAGAACTTACATACTTAACTTGAACTAACGTAAGAACTACCAGAAGTAGTGAGCCGTTCCTGTGTTTCCGAGGACCCCACTGGTAGTTATAAGCTACCCTTGGCCGCCTTGCTGCGCACTAACATCACTCGAACTAACACATTCTCACTAAGTAAAGTCAGATTTCCAAACCCACTAGAGATGTAAGTAAGCCATTCCCCTTCCCGAATAGAAAACTCTAACTCCCAAGCCGAGAGGGAACTGCAAAGGGAGCGCGATATTGACCGGGAAAAGAAGTTTCTGCGAAAATTCGCCTACCCGCTCTCAGCATTGCATGACCTAAGTCAGCAACTGACGTGGATGTTGCGCAGTTTCCCTTCACTACTGGGATATTTTGGAGTCATTGGTACTACTTATTGCGGAGGATCTTCTTCCACATTTCGTACAACTCGTAGTACATGATGTTGGAATAACCCTTTGTGTGGTAGTTAGTGCGTAATCTTCATCATCTACATCTGTACTCCTGTTCCCAAACCCAGGAACCGGCGCCGAAGGCGAAGACGAGCTGATTGGTGACGACACTGATCGCAAGATCTCTATGTTTCACACCTTCTTAACTGGTGTGATCCTCCCAACTTCTTGGCTGCTGCGTAGTCATCTTACGTATTTGTGGATTCCACCAGTAAATAATGAAGAACGCGAAGCCTTCGCCGAGACGGCTGCTGAAATTTCGACTTTTCTGGACGTAGTCGAAGGTTGGATCCCTTTCGACGTTTGGTTTAAACCTCTGCATCTAGACAATGTGTACCAATTAGCTGGGATCCAGGAGAGCTTTAGTTCTCTAGACCAGCTACGGGAAATTCTAGAAGCGAAAACGGAAAACGTCAACTACGTACCGAAGCAGTACTTGACAAGCAGCCTCTTCGAGCAGTCTCTTGTTATGGAATGTAGTAGGAGTTGGATTTTTTTCTGAAGATGATCACACACGTAGTGGTGCATTGATTACCTAGAACGAGTAGGGCGTTCTCCGTCTACTAGATTAGAGTGCTCAAAGGGTGCCTATAATCCCATATGAGAAGAGATACGCACATACACGAAGAAGCACTTCCATGCACGATAAAGAGTATCTTCATGCTTTTTCGTCCGAAGTCCCCAAATAACATCCAGATAGTGGTCCTCTGATGAAGAACTGCCTCTAATCTTTGCCTCGTCGAAATGGAACTGACTGAGCAGCTCACATCGATGTTCGCGACCCACCTTGACTGCTCTGCGAGTGTGAAGAATCTGCAGAGTAGGGATTTAATAAGTTCAGCAGGACCCCCAGCAGGATCATCGTCCATCATACGGCGTGGAGGTACAGCAGGATCACCCATTATACATGGTACGTCAATTCTGACTACCGCGCAGCAGCAGCAGACTTGCATCGAGAAAAAGGATGCTATCTTGGCTGACACGAAGATTTTAGTTGCGAAGAACTTGGAGTCCTTGCTCGAAACGGAGATGTACCTGGTGAGACATCAAACGCACGCTGAGAGGACGCGCCTGACTTCGACTACTGCTATGCTAGAAGCACTACGAAAGCAAGGTGGCGACTTATCCATCAACTTGACCACCGCAAGGGTGCGTAAAGTGACGAAATCAGTGCTACAGCGCGAATTGACGAGAATTTTCCGGAATCACCGGATTTTTTCTGTTGCGGTCGAAACCGAGAAATGTGGCGCGATTTACCACAGGAGTTCAGCAATGCTGAAGATTGTGAATGCACAGAACAGCTTGCTGCAGTCCTTTGACGGAACGAGTAGTTCATCGAGTAGTGGCATCACTTCAACAAGTTCAACATCGGGTAAAAATAAGAGTGGAAGTGGAGGTAGACGCGCATCTGCTGTACAGGGACGTGGAAAGCGTGGCACTGTGACTCGTACACTTTCGAAAAAGCAAGTTCGAGCTTACAAACAACATGTTGTGTTAAGGCTTACTCTGATTCATCTTAAGAAGCATCTTGGACGAAGGGTTAGTTTTCTAAGGGAAAACGGCTACCAAGATGCTGCTGAGGATGAATTTCGGCAAGATCTAATTATAGAGAAGGAGAAATGGACCTCCTCGAAACGTAAGTCTTGGTCTTCTCCGAAAAAAAAGCAACGTGTAGAGGCTGTGTATGAAGGGATGGCGCAGGCAATCGAGTGCCGTCACCTAGACCATGCGGGTGTGGCCAATAAGAATCGGGAAATGGAATTTGCAGAAACTTTTGCCCTCGCCGAGCATGACAAAAGAGCTGCTACTCCTGTTGTTACTGTCTCTGCTCTCCCCTACCTAACCCTCTCCCTGGACAAGAACTATGCTCCGCTTCCTTACAGGCCTCATGCCACCGTTGCCTATGAGAATCGCTGGGTGCCGTTGCCCCTTCTAGTGCAGAAAGCAGCGGAACATCTCAAGCGAGTTGAGGATTCTTATCGGCGTCGCCGCAAGGAACAGCTCGCTGCTTTGCTTAAAGCGCGAGCACAACAAGTAGCTTCTGAGACGGCTATGTTAGCCCTTTTTGACGGTGGTGCAGCTGCTGCCACAACTACAACAACGAGAAGAAAGCATCCTTCGACTGCTGCTAAGATAAAAGAGCAACAACTTCTTAAAAAAGTGCTTTTGGAGAGCAGGAGTCAACACGTGGATCCCCAAACTTTTTCAACATCCGTACAACGCGAAGAACAACTTTTCAATGTGGAACGCGTCATCATTTGCCCAGAAAATTCTCTATCCGTTTTCACTGCGAACGACGTCGTTTCCCGACTGATTTTTTATTATGACTTTCTTATTGTACTAGATTTTTTTGGGATCGATTTGTCCCCAGTGTTTGTTACAACAACCAACTGTTAGAGAAGTGTGCTGAGCCTCCAAGAGTTATTTTTGACTTTGACATACGACCTGATCTCAAGTCGTCCAGCTGTTTCGTTCTTCCGATTCGGATTCCTCTAATTTCCCATGCGTGAATACACAAGATACGCTCTTGAGTCCGAGTCTCAGCCGGCGAGAATATCCAGTGGCTCCACGACCGCTACTCAGCACTACCTGAATGCGGAAGAATTGGAACTAGGACGTCTGTGGAATCGGCATTCCATCAAAGCCTTCGCCTATTTTCACATCAAGTGGGGTACATGCAAAGCAGCCAAGCGCTTAGCTGAGGTGCTTCGAAATTATGACTTGTTCCTTGTTTGGTTTATATCTATTCCCATTCGGTCTTGTATGTATGTTGCAAATAAACACCACGGCTGATTCAATCATTGTAGTACTAGCTACAAGTACAAGAGGTCCGAACGAAGCATGTTGATACTAGGGGTATCTATCCAGCAAACGCAAAGGTTGTAGCAGATAGGAATAGGGTGGATTCAACTTCCTTATTCCTATCTGCTACTTGACTCAGTCCCATTGAAGATGATCTGCACATGACGCACACCACGGTCCGCTGATACACCTAGGACTTCTCTTCAGGATCTTGTGCCATCTCTAACCCTCCCTTTATTTCGAGATGCAGTTTCGGGATCGCTGCAAAGCATTCCGTATCGAACAAGACGAACTCCTTGGGCAACACCATGATGCGGACAGTAGTACACCAATTATGGCTACCTCTGTTGCTCTTTTAGTGTTTCCTCTACTTTTACTGATGTGGTCTATGAAGTAGAAAAAGACTACATAGAAGTAGATCAAGAAGGATTAACAGGACTTCAATTGTTTAACTTTTACTACTGTGGTCGTCCTGAAGTAGAGACAAATTATCTCTTGATCAAAAAGACTGCATAGAAGTTGGAGGGAATTATACGCCTTCTTCAATATAATACACCTTCACCTTTCAGGGAAGGTGTATTATATTGAAGGGAAGTCACATTCAGGGAAGTCGTAGGACACTTCCGAACCGACTAACATCATCATCAATACACCTTCACCTTTAATGTCCCGTGTTTCAGATTGTTCCACACGACTCGTACTCGTGTTTCGTTCCTCTAATAAGAACCTGATGCCTTCTGCTGAACCTGAAGGTGCTTCTCCTCCTCCGATTTCAGCTTCAAGCCAGCAGGTTTACCGCTTCCGTTATCGTCCGCATAACATCTGCCGTTTACCGCAATTTGATGAAAACGTAAGGGCCGAGCGCGATCGCCTCGATGCGAGCATGATTACGCGTGCTGTTGCAGATGCCGCTGAGCGAGAGAGAGCTAGAACGCATGCCAAAACTCAGAAGTACCTGGCGGAAACTCGCGATGAAGATCCAGGTACTCTTAATGCACCTGCTCCTCCTACTCCTACCCAGGACGACGACGAAGAAGATGACCCGACCCAAGAAGAGATAACTTTAGAGCAAGTGACGCAGAGTTTCGATGCTTATGACGAGTTTTTCGAGCGCACTTTTTTCACGGAGGACACGACCTTTGAAGTCACTGCCGCGACGATTGAACCTGCCCATGGAACTACGTCGCTGACAACGAGGGTTGAGCCAATGCCAACAACAAGGGTCGAGCAAGCGGCAACTCACTTTAAGGCTAAAAGTAAAGACAAGGGACGTGCTGACAACTTTTGATGATCATCAACAGAAAACGTTGAAACTTACAGCAGTTGAAAAATCAGATATAGAACATGTGCTTCTTCACACCCCGTACAAAAGAACAAGTATGTTTCTGCGTCTGAATGATATTATTGTGAGGAATATATGAGCTTGCTGGTCGTCGTGCTAGAGAATCGTACGACCATGAGAATAAAGAGTACAAGAATGAATAGCTCTAAACCGACTGGCTCATGCGCTGCGGGAGGTGCGGACCGCGTAGTGTGAGCAAGAGCATGTCGCCATTTGCACTTCGATGCTTCTTGTGATATAAATTTACAGTTATAGTCAAAGCTGAAGGTATGATTGAAAGAAAGATTCCAGCGACCTTAATATTGCCTTGTCGTTTCACTAACACTATACATAGTTTTCTTGTTTCATATGATCTCATGTCTATCATTCAATCTAAGTACTTACTTAAGCACGACTTGTACGTTGAGATGTAAAGACGTACTAGCTGGTAGTTTTTAATGAATTGTCGAAATGCGGTCGATTTACCTGAACTAAGAAAGAAGATGTTTCAAAAATAATGTATGGTATCCTGTATATGCTGAACGTGGATGTTATAAATTGAATCCTTAATTATGATATGGACCCTTTGAAACCGACGGGACGAGGTTGATGTAGAAAATATTTTTAGTAGAAGATAAAGATATTGGGCAACATGGTGTCTCATAAATGTAATCCTCAAGAATGATGTACTGCTTGTCTTCACGACCATGTCAAAAATCGCCCCAAGTGCTTGAATCCATTGTCCACAGTATTTTGATTTCCTTGTTTCGTTTGTTTGAGGATGGATAATGATATCGATTAGGGTTGTTCTGTTATCCTTCCGGAGGAGGGGGCTACCTCATCTAGGGAGTCTTTGCTCTCCTTCTCAAGACCGGAGCATCTTTCCTGCAACCGTGTTCGAGGAGCCTTCCGGAGCCATAACAAGAGGAGCCTCGTAAGAAACTACACGAGCAGATAAAAATTTGATGCAGTCGTGTTGTAGAGTTATTGGTAATATACAAGGAGACGGAACAAGTATGCTAAGATAATTTTGAGTGAGTGGAGTTGAGTAACTGCGAGTCTGGAGATAAGTGACGAGGAACTGCGAGTGTGGTGGCTCTTGACGCAAAATGGCCTTTGCAAAGAAGGCAAAATTTGATGTGGTGATCCAATTGCACAAAGACGCGACCCCTAGGGCATCTGTCAGTCAGCTTTATGATCGGAGTGATGGGTCTCTGTCTTTGAGTGATAGGCAAAGGCACCAAGACTTCTGCGCAGAAAAAGAAACTACTACCTTCAAAAGTATTAGATACTCCTGGCTCTACCGCCTACTCCTAGCTTCTCCCTCCACAACGACACACATCCCATCAATATGCAATGTAAAGTCTGACTTTGCTTGTATCACGATTGAATAACTCATCGATCTTCAGGAGCTGCTGCCGCGCGATCGTCATCACTATGGGTTGACTTCTGAGTCGCTCCACGTTCCTCATCGTCATCAGCCTGGCATCCGTAGCTCACGAAACAAGATCTGTGCATGTCTAGGTCTAGTCTATTTATTTCCAATATTACAGACTTTATTCTCGTACAGATTCTGTTATTTTTTCTGCCCCAACTACAAGCACTACATCAAGGGGTTAAGTAGTAGTTTATCTAACTTGTATTTATTTCTGTCCCAACAAACTTACTACTCGCCTGAATGATGGCGCGTAGGCGAAGAAAGAAAGGACTGCATCCCGCAGCCGCGATTTTCTTATCTACTAGTAGAGGAATAGTACGTGCAGCAGAGGCGTCGTCGAGTCATGTTATGAAAGAAACAATGTGAAGATTGAACTCCAACTTCTCTTGAAGAATTTGTTTCCTTGAATAGAAGATGAACCAATAAGCGTACGTACTTATTTTTCGTTTCTGCGATTGTTTACTTCTTCACCTCGTGGTCATGGTCATGTCTACTACGTCTAGTGCAACTACTACTAATTGAGGAGTCAATTCTCATTTTTGACCAAATTTTTTAGTTATAGTTTGTTGTTGTTACAACTACTGGCATTAGCAGCTAAAGATCTTTTTTTCAGCTGAATGTTGGCAGTTGTGACTCACATCATGAATGGGAAGGTTACAGCTGTCTCTTCTTACTTTCTAAAAATCATGTGAGGAGAACAAGGGGTGACGACATAGAGGCGGTGGAAATCGATGCTCTAGCAGGTGGGCGTCATTTACGACGGGCAACAACGTCCGCGCGTAGGGGTCGAGGAGAAACAAGTGGACACGCATCATCACAGGCTGACAGTGTGAGTGTGTATGGAAAAGGAATAAGAATGAGTAGTCTTCATTTTTTTATAAGTGAACAGGCCAACGCCTAAACCACTAAGCCAACTGCGCAGTTGGCTTAGTGGTTTAGGCGTTGGCCTGTTCACTTATCATTTTTGATTATAATATGTACAGGATGATCCATAACCTAACCTAACCTAACCTAACCTCTTTGATGTAAGTACATGATCACTCTTTAGTAACTTTCTTGTCTCGTCAGTGGTAGAAAGTGACCACCAGAGACATCTGATGATGCACACAGGATGAAAGTGTGTATGAAAAATAAGATTTTTCATTAATTGTCCCTTTCTTGTTTACAACAAGTACAAGAAGATCGATAGAAACACCTTCCCTCGTTCATGATACAGCGGAACAAGAAGATCCTTACGACGAAGGCACCACGATACGCGAAGAAGACAGACGCAGACAGGCAGAACACCGAAGAAACGTCGGAAGTTCCGCTGCAACATCTTCTTCATCTGGACATAGTGGACAAGGACATCAAGTAGGTCATTCTCACAGTGGAGAAGGACATCAAGTAGGTCATTCTCATAGTGGAGAAGGACATCAAGTAAGTCATCCTAGTTCCAGTAGACAAGAACACACGAGAGGACATTCTGGTTACTCTGGGCAACATGGTCGTGGACAAGCAGAGCACTCAGGTCAAGACGGACACTCGGGTTCTGGCAGAAGCAGTGGTGACACTGATAGACGTAGCGTTAAGGCTCAATGCAATTCATTTCCGACGGTTTTTTTTTTGTATCGCGAGCGAGTTCCGGGAAGGTCCTGCCTACATTCATATTTCCCGCGTAGTTAACGGCAATTTTTGTTCGTTTCCCTTCTGAGGATTCTGGAGAAATGCAGAGAAGAAGTTGGCAAGAAATGTTTTGAGCTCTAATAGCGGCAAGCATGTGCTGAATGAAGAACAAGAACCAGGAGACTACGTGGATGCCCCAAGAACAGAGCGGGAGTACGGATATCCAGATGATCATGGAAATGTCGTGGAGGTAGGTTCGTCACCATCATCTTCCTCTACAGCGAAACTGCGTAGACATAAACATCAACGTCTATCTAGTTCGCATCAACATGGACGCGACGAGGTGCTGCATAGGAATAGTGACAGCGATCATCGGCAGAGACACGATCATCAGATGACCGGTCATGACTACAGCAGTCGTCATCGTGACAGAGATGATTATAGATATAGTTATGGCATCAGAGAATACACGGCCCTAGTACTGCCCCATTTCCATAATTGACACGTCTTCGTAAGTTAACCTCGTCTGTATACTATAATGTTGACCTCGTTTCTATACTATAATGAGGGCATATCATCTTTGACCTTTTTAGAGGACTGTTGCGAACGAAGGAAAAGTCAGATGAATCATACGGTCGACAGTATTGATCGGTCAGGTTGCAACTACCCCTAATGTGGCGACTTGGAACTAGTAGACGATAGATTGGACGATGGAGAGGCATCCTCGATGAGCAGTTCATCAAAATCATGGACATGGAGGCCTGAGGAGACAGCCTTTGTCGATCAAACAGGAGAACGACACCATGTACAAATAGTAGTAGTACGTAATACCTCAAACTAGACTATACTAGTAGTTGGGATTTATTAGAAGTACTATTTTTATACTACATTGTGACCACACGACGTACACGTACTAGGACAAATACTTTTATCTCAAAGTAGTAGGGTTTGATGATACTACCTATGAGCAATGATGAATACTACCTTGTTTCATGCAATTATTGCACGACTACAGTCAGCTTCGTCTAGGCCCATTTGTTGTGCCACTTCTACTTATGCATATTCTCATTTTTTGACATCAGCGGCATCATTCGCAGGATGCTTCTTCCTTTCATGGCTCGTCACAACATCAGCGACAACGCCGAGATAATAATGTTAAGGCCATTAAATTGCAATCAATATTGAATGATCTTGTTCAATTTCAAGAACTTGTCAAGATTCTGATCAACCTCACCCATTTTTGTTCTTGTACAACCTTGATATTGTTGGATAACACGATGCATGCACAAGAAGCCAAGTTGGAGAAAATTTATTTACAACGCACGGCATTGGCATGATCCTTGATTTTGAGGGCACCGCTAACAATGCGACAAAACAAACTGATCGGCTCTAACAATGCGACAGAAGCGGACGACGGAAACGGCACGAACCTTTCACACACTCTAGGGGTCGCAAAAGAAGTGGCTGAGCAAGCAGGTACTGTTGCTAATGCTATTCAATCTTAGTCTTTACGAACACCACCGTTGAAACATCCTCAACATCATGATTCTTGGCCTTTTTTCTACTTCAAAAACGGATCAAGGATGCAATCAGGGATGTCAATACCCAGATCCCATGTTCGCTACTTCATAAAAGGGATGCTAAAGCAGTAGCTCTGACTTCATGACTGAGGAGTTGCTTGAAATACCTATCTCTTCAGAAAACTAAATCCTGGAGTGGAAAAGGTTTGAAATGATTTAGATGTGCTATAAAATTCAACTACTTACACATCTTCAAACGCTTCATCTTCCATCCCTCCATTTTCTTCGATCCCTCCATCTTCAGACACACATCTTCAAACTTCTCCTTTTTCTTTGTTCAGTACATCTTCAAAATCTTCGTTATTAAGCACATTCTTCATCATTTCAGCCTTGCCATTAGGGGTGATGATTGTAGTGGGCGGTCTTCTGTTTTTCGCCACGTCGTGGATCATGTACCTTTTCTGTCGGTCACGACAAGAAATTCGAGATGAGCAAAAGGAAATCTTAAGGCACTGAAACTCACCCTGCTCGCTCGTTATTTGAGTGAAACGCTGTACTGAGATGACGTTCCCCTACTTCTTCTCCATTGACGGAAACTTGCTGTTCTCGCAGCATCTTAATATTACGCAGCATCTTAATATGAATCTTTTATTTGCTAACAACGCTACTGCACCTTTAGAAGTGTCGTGTGAGTCAATCTACGTCTCCAACCATTACGCGCGGGCGCTTTATATCCATGAGATGAAGAATAGAGAAAAAAGCGCGCTTTCTGGCCGCTGGCTTGTCGGTTGGGTTTCTTCACTCTCTTGAGAGTGCGGGTGGAGCGCGTTTTCTCGGCCCACCCAGGCCCCTCACGAGCCGTTCGCCGCCCCGCCCTCTTTTTTTTGGGTTTAGGTGTTGGGCAGCAGTCTCTGTCTGCTTCGAAGTCTGTCTTCTGCGGTCACCGCGAGGAGCTGCATTTTGGCCAGCCTTCGGCGCGGGTTTTCGGCTCTCTGTCTTGTCCCTTCGGTCCGAGATCGTCTCGCGTGCCACTGTGGTGAGGAGCAGCATACCTTCGGCGCGCTCTCTCCTCTGTGTCCCGTTTCCCCCTTTCGCAGATGCTTCTAGTGTGGCTCTCATGTCTACTATCCAGTCCGTGCCTCTAATCCTTGCAATGGGAGAGTCGGAAGAAGCAGTGTCGCAACTTTTAGGCCACACTCTCCAGAAAAATGCTGAGCAGGACAGCTCTACTATGACATGTACTTTTGACCCTATTCCTGTTCCTGTTGATTGACATCGAGAAGGACTACATTCTTAGTGTTCATTTTGACGATCCGGCTTCCATCATCATCATCATCATCATCATCATCATTCTCGTCACCAATCTTAGATGCGGAGAATGAGGGAGACTATAACTTGACGACGGAGGTTTTTAAAGAGGCTGCTAGCGTCAGCGATGCAGGTGACTAACATGTAGTACACAAAATTGACGTTGGTGACTCATGTGTACGCGAAGACGTTGATAACCCACGACTATTACACGAAGCTGGTGACCCACGACGTGTACACGAAGCTGGTGACCCACGACGTGTACACGAAGCTGGTGACCCACGACGTGCGCGCGATATTGTTGACCCACGACGTGTACGAGATGTTGTTGACCCACAACGTGTACGAGATGTTGTTGACTGACGTGTACACCACGATTTTGCTATTGGTGACTCACGTGTGCAACAAGATGTTGGTGAACATTGTGTGCGCACAAGACCAAGGCTGCTCTGGTTCTATGTGGATGAAGCTCACCGTCAACACAGTGCATTAGACCGTATGATCCAGAAGATCCCCTCCCGCTTTGCCGAATTGAGGATTGAAATACGATTACTTACAGAGGATGAAGTAGATTTTTCATGTTGTGACTCGCAGAAATTTTTGTATTGATGTCGTCGTAACTGATGTTGTTTCCTGGTGTTGTAACGATGTACTAGAACTTTATATGTTGTAGAGAAACTAATTGGTAAGTACATGGTTTTCAAACGAATAATACACGAACCTGTGTTGAAGTTGTTTCCTTTTTCTTTTACTGTCTTTTGTTTCATGAAGGTCCAGTTAGAAATTTCTCTAGCAAGCTATAGGAGCTTCTTATTTTCGACTTTTCTTTGTTGCTCTCGTTTCTGATTCCAAGAATATTCCATTCATTCTCGTCTTCTGTTATCAAAACCTAGCTCCTGTCGCACCGTTTTCTTTTGGCTTTTGAAAAAGTTCATGTCACGAATATATGTATGTATAACTCCAATTAGCTCCATTAGGTTAGATTACACCTACGCGCCTAAGTTTTTTGTGTTGGAAGAAGTCTTTTTAGCAGTATCGCTTCAGAAAAGGGACGGCCCGGAAAAGAAACATCACTACTATATCAAAAGTGAAAAATAGAATTAGAAAGGTACCTCACCAAGATGATAACACTCCGGTTACAACAACAAGAAGAACCTATCTTTCAGATAAAAAGTCTGTTTCGTCGCGACGAAGATTTGCAGCTCTCTCGAGATTTGCAGCTAAGACTCCTTCGACGACACGCCACCTACCTAAATGAGATCAGCAACAGAAGCACCAATACTTCGTGCTTGGCAGGTGTCTCCTGAGTACGAGTAGAACTTATCAAAATAGAAAAAGTGACAATGATCAAAGAAACCCACCATGAAAAAGGAACAAAGTAGAGGAACGGAAGAGAAAAAGAGTCTTTCTGAGAAGCTGGACTCAGACTCACTATGAAGTCGGGAATGCTTTGTAACACAGGCATCATGAGCAGATAAGTTCTAAACAAGGTCAGCCACTATTTACATCAAGTCGTGTAGGCCGTCCCACCAGGTCGTGAGCACGACGCATACCTCTAAGTGACTCAAATGTATGCCCTTCTTCTTCTCACGACGACGAAGTAGTATGATTTCATGACAAATATGACGAAGATGGCCGAAATTGCGTCGCATTTGTTCTGGGTCTCGCACATTTTTTCGGGCGACAAGCCTTCTACAACTATGGTTGTTAAATAATATGCGATGATGAACGGAGACGGACCACTCCGACTCGCATATCAAAAATCCGACAATCTTCGACCTCGCCTTCCTATCAAGGACCGCGCCTTGTTCCTTTCGAGACAACCAAGATGAAGTCAGCTGACGAACACGATGAATCAGCTGACGAACTCGCTGCTCTGGAGTCCAGAAGGGAGGAACTAGCACTCGAATTGAAGAAATGTTATGTTTTAATTTAGTGAGACCACACAGAAGGTGTTGTACTAGTAGAAATAATCATCTTTTTATTAACTCGAACTTCTTAGTAAAGTGAATTCATTAAACAGGACAATGATGATGAGCTCATCTCCTGATCATGATGAAGCTACATTTTTACGACACTGAGATACTTATTGTCCCCTTGAAGTTGAATTACGGTGGATAAGCTTTAAGGATGGCAAGAAAAAATATCGATCCGTCGGTCAGCGCGTGACCAGCAAAGAACCTTTTTCGATGTCAAAAGTCGATGCCAGGTACTAGCTTCATTATTTTTACGTACATCTCCATCTGTGGTTGCGTAGAGGAAGTCAGAGTTTCATTTAGACTCGAAGGTCTTTCACCCAGTAGGTAGGTACCCTTACTTCGCATTTCATAGCATATGCCGTTAATTTTTTTTTTTTCAGATCCAATCCTTACTACGCGAAAACGAGGAAGCGGGAAGTCGCAATGATGTATGGCATCAGATAACTACTTAGAACAATTTTCTGGCCAAGGACAAAAAGGAATTCGAAATAACCAGGAGGCGACTTTGAGCATAATACTTCATCAACTACTATTTTCAATACATCAATTTTGAGCACAACTCTGATTCATCAACTCTGCTTAAAAAATCAATATATTCTAAGTATCGAATTCAAGAGAATCTGCGATGACGTAGCCCATTCGACACGAAGTGGCGGCCTCGGGAAAGATTGGCAACGCTTTTTACAAACAGCATCGCAGACATACCCCGACTTCCTGTCTAAGATATGATCCGATTGATTAAAACGCCCATCTAACAGTGATGTATGACAGTCTTAAAACGTTATTTTAGCAAAACGTTAAAAATTGATTTCTTAGGAATCTAGTCGGCTATTTTAAAAAATCAACTTTTAACGTTTTGCTAAAATAACGTTTTAAGGTTGCCATATGATGAGGAAGATGAATATTACAGATGAAGATCAACATTCATCAGTTTAACCAGCACTACAACTAGAATTATCTTTTCTTCAAGCTCTTTTGATACCCCGATTAAAGCCATTGATTACTTCTATCCGCATATCAACCTGTTTTCATACCCCGACGCCTACCGTTCTCTTGCGTCGCAGTGTCGTCAATTTGAAGCTCAGAATGGATATGAGAGTAGTAGAGGACCTGCAGTGCGTGTGCAGGAAAAGACAGACATCCGCCAAACAGATCTGCGAACGTGGAATAGCCGTTTCGTTTGGGCGGCACAAGGTATGAAGATGAACTGTTGAAGCTGTTGTACTATTTATGTTAAACTGTTCTTGAAGCTGTAGTTGTACTATTTCGGTTATGTTAATATGAAAATTGAGACCCCAACCCTTATCGTTATCCTAGACTAGAAAGTAGAAATGTAAAGTTTTTTTGGTAGAAAGAAGAAGTAGAAGTAGAACAAGTAGCTATTGATGTATCTATGTATAAATATGTATTCACACTGCACGACTAATTGCACTATTCATCTTGAGACACGAAGATATACTCTAATTGCAATGGCGGTGATGGTGGCGGAGGTGGAGGAGGACAACGTGGCACGGGAGTTGGAGGCACCACGACGTATTACAACAATTCGAAAGTTGTTAAGGCTTCTACTTCATCATCGTACTTCGACGTCGTCCTCTAGGAGTAAAGCAGGTAAAGTACCTACTGAGCTTCTTCGTGCGTCGACGTCGTACTCTAGGAGTAAAGCAGGTGAAGCACCTACCGAGCTTGTGGAAGAACAAATGCGAGCGTGCATGGTGTTGTAATTGAACTTCGCTCAGCATGATCGATGAGTAAATGCTATTTTCTCTTCAGAGTAATGAGAATAGACAGAAATTTATGATTCAGAGTTTGAGCTTCTCATTTTTCTAAGGAAAAAGGCGAAGCAACGAAGGAAATTGCGTCTGTTGAAGACTTGGTGCGTGAAATTCAGACGGGAGTGATTACCTACGGCCGGAATACCACTGACCGCTTTCTCACTCGAAAATTAAGGCAAGATGAATGAACGCAAGGTCCAACGTTTACAGTAGATGAAGATAGATAACAATCAAGCTCTTGCTCTTCTCTTTCTCTCCGTTGTTTGTTGAATAAAAAAAGGTCCTTCCACTCTCTGTAAAATGTCTGTGGATGCGCTAAGACAAGCATCCGAGTATGGTCACCATGGCGGTAGCGTGTTTACCAAAAATGCCAGTACACGACGAGCCCAAGACGAGCGGCTGCCCATGGCGACATCAGAGTTAAGGGGTTTAGGTTTGAATCTGATAGACATGTTTCTAAGAAGATACAGCTTTCCTCTTGACTTACCGTTACCAGAAAAATTTCTAAGATGTTTGTCACATCTACTTGTAAGATTGATTAACTGTTCGATCACCTTCGTTCGTTGGTAGAAAGATCTTCTCAAAAGTGATTACGTAGATCCTCTAAAACCAGGTCAGCAGCCGGAAAACAATTTTGGCAGCATGGTACAACAACAAGCGAGGCCCTCCAACGTTCATCAACATCAGCAAGACCACGGTCTCCACACTGTACGATACAGGATATTGTCATGCTCCGCGTGGTTCGCCCATCTTTAATGGATCAACTAGAACGTCCTGTACTTGTAGTACTCTTTCCCCTATACAGCTTCATTTTTAGTCGAGGAAATGCACAGCGGGCACAACTACCTAGTTGGTAACATCAACATTTTATAGAGGGTCGAAAACATCATTTTTGCCCTGGTGATGTTGATCTCCCGCTGCCCCTACAAGAACTACATTGAGCAATAAAGAGCTCCTATTATTTCATGTGCTAGTCACTCACCCAACGCCAATGTGGTCAAGTATCGTGAGACTCCTTTCCTCTTTTGTATCCTAGTCCCCCTGTCTATCTATACTACAATACGGACATTCCTCTTTCGTATACATGCAATACATAGGGAACCTCTACATGCAATAAGTAGGACTTATTTTCTCTTTTATATCCTAGTCTTTTTGTCTATACTACAAGCAATAAGCGGTACATTCTTGTTCAAGCATATCCTTTTTCATACACTAGCACTACTCGTTCCAATGGTGCCCAAGCTCCAGCGTTTGGAAGTGCAGGGTATGAATCTTACTCCAAACTGCGGGGATACGAAATGGAAATGCAGTCAGATTTGCAAGTGCTCAATCGGATGGCCGTTCATGCGGGAATCCGAAACCAGTTTCTGGATGAAAAGAAGATTATGGAGGTTTATATTTGCATTCAAAATCGGAGTCAGTTTCTGAAAGAAAAAGAATCAATATGGGAAAAGACGACTATGAAGGTTTAATATTTCATCGGAGAACTTCTGATAGAAGGACAACGTTGTTCTACGTACTAGAGATGGGGAACAAGCCTTCTGCCTTCAGTACAGAATCAGAATGGCCTAACAGTTTGGGTTCAGAATGAGGCTCATTCTGGACAGATCTTCACCTAAGCACAACTGGGTGCACCTCTCTAATCCTCGGAACGCCGAAAAAGAGACCTACAGACCATCGCCAGAAAAAGCCGCGGATAAGGATACCTCCTCCATAAACAACAGATCGGCCGAAAACTTCTTGTCTCACGTATTTTCTCTTACAGCACCCATCGTTTTTCTGTTCATCACCTAGCTAGGATGCCTCTCCTATTTGGTGAAGCCATGCAATTCTTATGCGATTCATGAGAGCAAAAAGCTTTGACTTTATTGTTTATTGACCAGATTGGTCTTAGTTTACATCTGGACTCCCCTAGTGACCAATAACGGTACCTGTGCTCTTTTTTGCCTCAACACAGGTAGCCAGCGCTTTATCGGGCGCTGCGTCAAAGGAATTATTGAAGTCGATCTCGGAATTCTCACGTCATTGGCAAGACGATTTGACTTTGAGTCAAAGCACTTCTTATGGCAGCCGTCGAAATTGATATCCCTAGATTGATAGACCATAGCCATAGCTATACCGTCGATCATTATAAAACTATACAGTTCTTGCACGTGGTGACTATACGTATAAACGTAGATCATCAGTGGAGATTGTGATTGGGAGATTGAACAAAGTGGGTGTCATCCTATTGTACTTCTACCTTGTTTAGTTGTCCCATTTTTGAGACAGACAAGTGACAGAAGCAAGATTTTATCCATTTCATTCCGTAACTGAAACTACAACTGGTCTGTTCATTCATACTTAGTAGTCTCTCTCTTCTCTTCATCTTCAATTAAGTATATGTAGGTCTAGTTCTAAATACCCGGACACCAAGGCTCACGGGATCTTTCGACATCCAAGAATTCGCGTCTTCTATCCTACGACGACGCAGCTAGAAACAAGCGCTACAGTCAGCTGGAACGGGAGACGAAGAAGGTGGAAGAGGAGGAAAAGCTAGATTTACTATACCACAATCAAGAGATATGGGTGAAATGGGACACTGGTGCAGGTTGATGGAAGTATGTTGTTCTTCTAGGTACTACGGGGCTAGTAGTCTACTTCTCTTCCCATTCTAGGTCGTTAGAAGAAAGGGTTGGGAAATGTTGATTTCTTACCTGGTGTTGCCTCTTGGGTTACATTTCTTCAACATAGCTTTCACAATAGAAGCGAAAGGAAGAAGTATATTATCAACTTCTCGCACAATATTATCAACATAAAGGTAACGATATTCACTGTTGGCAAATTTCTCTAATACAACAAGCAAGAGAAACAGCTCAAGTCGAGCGTGGTAGATCGAGTCAAAACGGGACAGACTCAACTCGCCGAAAACGCAGTATGAACGCCAATTTCCGAAAAAGGCAGCAGAAATATACTGGTACTTATATACCTTTACGTTCATGATATAACGATCTCATTATGTTTTCATTTTCATTTCTCGCGTTGAATCAGATCATGTTGTCACAACTATGCGATTCATCTATATGCTGGTTTTTCTGCAAAACTCGTCAGGCGACACTCCCACGAGTTCTTGTGCTGATGAGACACCACGACTACCAGAAAGACAAACAGTCGAGGAAGAAGTGGTGTCGCCCACAACAGCAGCACTGAATGACCTGATGTTATGACTGGGACAGCGCTCTACTCTCAACAACATCAGATGAATGAATGATTCATAGTACAAAAACACTCGATCTGAACGAAGTGTAATCGATTTGAATAGTTGGAATTCACAGAGCTCTCTCCGCTGGACGAGGCTTCTTTGCACAAAAAAGTGCTTTTAAGAGTATGGCTACTTCGCCGTGAATATGTGGCATTTATAGTGTACTCGGTTAAATGTGTACACCTTAGTTTGTTAGGTTATCATCTTTTGAGCACTGAGCACAAGAGTGAGTCATCTTCTCTAATCTCTGTCGACCATTTCCCGCCTGGTCCCTCTATAGACCGCGAATTAGCAAAAAGTGGGCTTATTATGGCCAACAAGGAAGACTCCTTTGCTGGCTTCGGGGGATCCTTAGTTGCCCAACAAGAAGGTGGTGCATCTTCTTCTTCGGCTGGAAGCTCCAAGATGACGCACAGCAGTCCACAAGGAATCGTAGCGGTGCCATTTGTTAAGAGGGGGATTGAGTTTTTGTGACGTTATAGGACCTGTGGGTAAAAAATTGCAACTAGAAGCAGTACCGACACTAGTGCGAGAATACAAGATTTAGTACGTAGAATACTTGGTAGAAAAAAATGGTCAGGACCATAGTGAATTGTAAATATTGTCATAGCTAGGTACCTTCGCGGTTCTTTCAAGCTTGATGAAAGCAAAGAGAATTTCTAAGTCAGGCGGCACAAGAATCGTCGAAAGAAGCAACATTCTTGTCGCAAGCAATTTTCAGGAGACACGACACGAATGCGATCAGGAGACGTCGAACACCAACAGAGATATGAAATCAAATTGAATCAATGGATCTTGATCATTCTCTCCACCAGAGCCCATGATTTTTTGTAGCCTATAGTTAGAAGTAGTAATAGATATAGATTCCTGCAACAGCGGCCTAATTAGAAATTTTTCCTTGAGACGTAGATCTCTAATGCATCCCAGACAGGCACTCACCACGCAGACACGGCAGAGCCAGCAGGGACCCACATCACCCGCGAGAGTACCAGAGGAGGAGCGGTGAAAGGCGTTGCAGATTTGTCCTCTGATCCATCTGCAAACACTAGTGGGTCGACGATTCGGTCCGTCTCGCAGCTGAATTTTGACAAGATCAATCAGAGCAGACATAATGATCATATTAATAGTGCAGCCGCACTTGCTGTTGAACCTGATCGGAATAAACCCGCGCCAAGGATTAGTCAGGCAGAGGAGCGTTTAGACGACTTCTTTGCACAAAAAGGCAGAGCAGACGAAGTCAAAGCAGATTCTGCACATCAGATTTATGACGATCTCAGATCTCTTTGTTATTTTCGTTACTCGAAAACTGAAAATAACCGAGTTACTGACTGAAATAAGGGAGGTAGCTTTGACAGGGCTACTCTTCCTTGTTCAGTATCTCGCTTATTTTCAGTAGTTACTCGCTTATTTCAGTTTTTCGAATACATTGATTGTGGATGCAGTTATGTGGAGTTCCTAGCGACCGCCAAAGTTGGAACTAATTTGGAACTGTTATTGTAGTACTTTGTATTGCTTCTAACAACCGACACCAGACAATAAAGGTGGTTCGCAAGTCGAGGAATTTCATCCCGCAACTGCAACAAGCTCGTCTCAGAATAACACTTCCGCTTCTTCACAGGCAATCGAAGAACAGCTATTACGTGGTCTTGCCGTTAATGTTAAGGGGGATCTCGATAATTCATCTTGAGAAGCAGTCCTGAAGAGTATGCCTCCGTATCTGTTCGCTGCAGATAGGTACTCTTCAAGGATGAAGACAAAAGATGAATACCTGCACTAGGGTCTAACAATGGCAGCAGCATCGAACTAGTACTCGCAGATCAGCAGACTGGTGTGTCCTCCACCACTTTTGCAGGAGTGGTCAAAGAGCAAGCAGAAGTGGAACCTCTTATGTTGGCAATTTCTAACTTCCTTGTGTAAAGAGAAAGTGTCTTAAGAACAGGTACTACAACTGGTGAAATTATAGATATACTATGTATAGATTCTGCCTGGAATAATGGCTTGTTTTTTCTCTACAGCTACACATTGCTTGATCGATGTTCATTTCATGCTCTTCTTCTAATCATCCAACCTCAACAAAACAAGGCCTAATCTCATCTTCTTCGTATTTGTCTCCGCGACTGGCCAGTCCTCGACACATCCATGGACCGGACAAGGGTTCATCAAAGCCAGGGTCTTCTGCCATATCTTCATTAAGGGTTTCCACATACCTTCTACTCGTTCTTAATCAATTACAATTTTTTTAGTGCAGGAGTTAGTTTACATAACGACCTACAATCTAGTCCCGTCATCATTAAGGGTTTCCACATTGGAGAGAAGTCAGGGATTTTCTGGAGCATGTAACTCGGTAACCTCTAACTTCAGCGGCAGCATCGCCACGACCGAAAGTCCTAGATGCGCATGGAATGGAGGGCCTAGGTCTATCCTCAGACGATGAGGAGGAAGAAGCTTTGTTTCCCGCTGTTAGAGTAGGTTCGCCGCGTGAGGGATCAAAACCTGTTGGACAAGCTGAAGCTAGAGAAGATGCAGTGGCGAGCGTATCAAAGCCACCATCATCCCCACCAAGAATAGAAGACCACGCTGTATCTGTAGAAGAAAGGGGAGCACAACCTAGCAGTAAAGGTGCTACACAAGAATTAGTAGAAGAGGCTCAGGCTGAAGCTGAACAAAATAAGCAGATGAACAGCATCAAGAAAGAGCTCGAAAACAAGAACAACGAAGCCGAAATACTCACGACTAACAACAAGAAGTACCGTACAATTAGTGACTTGTCATCTGAAGGTGATGTGGCATCACCACAAGTCCGAAGAGCTGCTTTGCACACTGACGAAGACGCCGTAAGATTTGATGATGAAGAAGAGCGTTGTGCGAAAGCCGGTGAGGATTTTGATGCTGTTAAGAATGTGCTGAGTGTTTTTACTCACTTATTTATCCAATGTTTTTGAGAAACAAGCACTGCGAAGAAGATGTACTAGAAGTTTTTCATTTCTAACCTCTATCGGTTCTAGTAGAGGCTACTCCTGCATCCAAGTACGAAAAGGAATCCCTTGCAATTCTAAGACTTGAGCCTTTCTTGCGCCACAAAGTGATCGACAAGTCTGGAGTGGAAGTCCTGATTCTTCATACGATGATAACGATTTCGAAGAAGAGTGGCCAAAGGTTGAAGACGAAGACGAGGCTGAAGCGGAAATGTTAGGTCTACTGGAAATCACTTTGGATTATTCAGTTCCAGAGTACGGTAACGGATTCACTGTACTTTCAGACAACTGCTTACGCCAGTAGTAGTGCAAAGAAGCTCGTACTTCATTCTCTACCCTAGAATCGTAGTGATTGACTCAAGTACAAAGAGGAGCTCTTTCATCACGGTAGAGCAGTTGTAGTCGTAGTGTTTATTCGTTTAAGTACAAAAAGGAGCTCTTTCATCACGTTAAAGCGGTACGTAGTTACTCACTCAAGTACAAAGAGTTGAAAGTGAATACTAGATGATCATCCTTTTTCCTATCGCGCTAATCAACGAAGAACAAGGGAGAACTCATGGAGCCTCGCAGAATGAGAGAGACGACGCTATCGGCGCTCAAAAGAATCCGCTTAGTAGTTTGATAGCAGAAGCGCGAGGCGCGTTATCATCCAGTAGCACTCCTAAGGATTGTTGACTCAGATCTTGATGGAATTGAAGAAAGACTGAATGATCGAAACAGAAGCTGGCGATAGATTAACATTAAATATGGTGGAAAATCTTCCGGGTCTTTCTTTTACATTTTTCTAGTTACAGGTCTGCTCCACCACAATTATAAGGTGAAAAACCTGACCACTCTAAGATACCTGTGGAGGATGCTAATTTCGGCGGATCCCCCATGAGACATGGCGAAGCAGAAGCTGGAGGTACGAAAGTCGAGGAGCCTAAGGAGCACTCCTCCTCAAGGACGACGATGGTTGCCGTCGCTGGTGGTGGACGACAAGCCGTGCCTGTTGTGTCTTTGGATTTGGAGGCGCCAGCAGGAAGCCCAGGGTCGTCGTCGGATGGAAAAATGAAGACGAAAAAAGGTAATCGCTGATGTCAAGAATATTCTGATCAAAGAACTCGTCAAACTGAGGGCTTTATTCATCTCTTAAGGGTAGTCAACCAATTATATCCTTTGTTTTCAGAATTCGACGATATTTTGGATCTATTGGGCGATGGTGCGGATCTGAGTGAAGACGACTCCATCCCCTCTCCGGCTATGACAAAGATGACGGCTCCGGGATCTACAGTGGCGCCTTCGACGAGTGCGTTCATTATTATGAGAGGATGAGGATGACGACGTGATGTTGATTACATTCAGGGTGTTAGGTCTCTACGGGTGTTAGGAACGACACTAACAGGCGGGGCATACAGAGGATGAGGATGAAGAATCATTTACGTTATTAGTACCAGGAAAAGTGGGTGGATAAAGTCCACTTTTTAAGTTTAAATTCAGTCACAGTGTCGAGTTTCACTCAGTTTCATCATTTTTGAGTGTCTTCTAATCTCGCACCATCGGACGCTGGCGAGCAGTCAGTGCTATCTTCCCAATTTTTGCCGACAGCGCGTAGAGACAACATCAACACTTTCGGCTTTCGAGTTGGTGGAGCTGGCCCTTCATCTTCCAGAAGCAACACATCCTCAGCGAGCAGCACCTTAGTGGCAGCAGCGGGGGGGAACTTCGCGGAAGTTAAGTTTTGTAGATTGATTTGCGTTCTTTCAGATACTTGGTAGATAAAAAAATGGCATAACTCAGATACTTAGTAGATAAATGGCATAACTACTTACAGGCAACGAGAAACTCACATCCCCGACGTCTATTGCGTCCACGTCAGGCACCTACCGCCTCCTGGTAGCTTTCTCTATCGAGCAAGAGTTGGCTCCTTTGGCTAGTAGAGCAGATCATACTTCTAACATCCGAGGAGGCACATCATCGTCAAGAGGTGCTCGGCAGAGCAAGATGAGGCCGCCGTTTGGAGGGACTAGTAGCGAAGACAACACTCCGAGAGTAAACTTGATTGCTCCACCTGCAACAAGCACATTTTCGGTGGTAGACGGAGGTCGTGGTATTTCTAGTCTGAAGTCTTCAAGTCCACGGGAAAAAACCTCTGAGTCTGAAGCTAATAGCTCACCTCTCGCAGTCGGAGGAGAAGCGGAGACTTCTCAACAAGGAGCTGGGAAACAACCGCCAAAGAAAGCAGCACCACCACTCAGAATCGGTGCTTCGGCAGCTACCTTTGGTGCTGGGGCGTCGAGCAATCTAGTTAGTAGTACAACAGGCAGTTTAGGTGCGACGACCACATCTCCTATTATGATGAATGCAAAAAGTGTACTACTCATCCTCAAGAAATAAAGAAGCAGTTCTTTCCTACCCAGAACTACCTGCCTAGCTTCTTGAGGATGAGCACACTTTTTCTTTTCATAGCTACATCTCATAGATCACAAATGGGAAACAAAAACAGGACTGGAGCGGGTCTAGGAGAGCAGCAGCTTCTTCCTGGTGCTGGACTTTTCGGTGGTGGTCGCGCTGGTGGTTCGTTTAATGCTAGAGGACCAGGATTTCGGACGGGTGCAACGGGCGGCGCACTTGGAACTCTAACGTTATGGGAGGTGTTGTTGAAAATTATACAAAGATCACAACAAAGAAACTTGTAAGTATATATAATCCTCTTTTTATTTCTGTATTCGTTTTGTGCGTACTATCCGGTGAAGTAGATAGATACCTTCGTGCTCTTCATTGTAAGTAATACAAGTCAACGCGAGTCTCGATTAAGTTCCTTGTTCCATATCTCATTTTATGCTTCCACCTCTAATGAGGGGGCAATCCTCGACTTCCTCTCTGTCATCCGCGTCAGCCCTAGGTGGTATAGCGAATCGCTACGGAGGAGGAGCAAGCAAAGCAGGAGGAAAGAATCCAAATACTGCAAGCAAGTTTGGGGATCTCGCTGCAAGCAGTGGATTTCCGGAAGACGATTAGATGACTCACGTCTTATTCACCAAAATATGAATCTGAATCAGTATCAGTTAACAGATTAATACTTATCCCTCAAGAAAGTGACCACTTCACCCTATTAGATCTTGAAGATTAGCGTAAACCAGTACGCTAGTCGCAATTTCATGTCTTTCAATTGTTTGAATTACTATTACAAATAGTAGTTGTGTTTTTTTTTTCTAGATGGATGGCAAGCTAATGTTTTTTATAATGCGCACAAGCGCCAAGACTATCAGTAAATTATATAATTTCGCGTTATTCAAAGAAGATAGATTCACGACTTTTCACTCAGGTTTAACACTAAAGCCATGCGGGCATTGATATAGCATCATTGTCTTCACAAAGAAATGGAAACGATTCGCGTACTATTAAGAACACGTTTTTACAAGTATTCGCCGCGCAAAGTTAGGAAAGTAATCCAATTTCACAAGTGCAACATTGTCCCATCCAAATTGCCGAACATGGAAATATGAGTTGTTTTTTTTACCGAGATTCATTCTACCTTTTGTCTCACTGCCTAGTAGTGTGAGCTCTTTTGAATGATACACATCAGAAATGAGGCAGTCTCTTGGAGAGGCCAGTCGTGAAATAAGGAGGACCCAGTTGTTACGAGTCCTGTCCACCAAGAGCATCTTCTGAAACATTCATGCACTTTTTGTTGCTTTGTGTGAACTAAGAATGTCCATCACGTGTTGGGACTCGATCCCTCTGCGGGCTGGCGCACTGTTGGCCGTTCCTCTCCTTGTGCTATTCTTCGCTACGAAAGATCAGAGCAAAGAGGTCGTAAGTGGACCGGCTTCAGAGGCAACATCAACAGCAGTAGCACCTTCGAAACAGCAGGAGGTGAAACAAGCGTCTTCTCCTTCCTCTGCAAAAACAGACGTGGGAACAGCATCGTCTTCTTCCGCACAAAACAAGGATGAAGTTGTAGCACCAACACAGAATGAAGTTGGTCCGTATGCTTCTCATGCACCGTTTCTAGCACCTTGGCGAAGGGTTTATCTTAATCTTATGGAAAGTTGTAAATATGATCATCTTACAGAAATCATCTTAGTACAGAAGTTTGATGGCGGTCCACTTTCTTACTACTAACAGTTTGTAGGAATAATTCCACTTCGCACAAGGACGTCTCTGGCAAACGAAGACCTCCTAGCACAACACCAAATATACTCCGCCTATGTTATCATTATCTCTCTTCTAACAACCATACTTTTTTCTCTCTTCTAACAACTGTCATGACATTTTTTTCTCATTCTCTCTTCTAACAACAATAAAAAGTATCCGAATACGCATTGCCTGGACGGTTCGACTCCCTACTATTATATCCAACGGAACACAGACGTAAAGCATCCTCAACACGACAGCTGGATAGTGTATCTAGAGGGCGGAGCCTGGTGTAGCTCGTACGCAGACTGTCTCGCGCGCTCTCAGACGTATTTGGGATCTGGGCGTTTTTACCCGAAGGGCCTGCCGGTGGAGTCTGAGTATGAAGGGGAGTCAATTGCTTCTTTGAGATTGAGGATGAAGATGTAACTGTAAATAGATTTCCAGATGTAGTTTTACGACAAGAGTGATGTAGTTTTACTCAAAGAGCAGGCGCGTCTTCCATTAGAAGGTAGAATAAGCAGTGTCTATGCACTGTGACTCTACTAGTATTAAGTGAGCTTCTAAGTCCTTTGCCATTTTTCCCACCCGTTGACCTTGCTTTCATCTCCCCGATTCCGCGGATTACGACCAAGGCCTCTTCTACTCTCCAGTGCCGTATCTGAGCGCCGATTGCAGCCTCAATCCTGAATGGTGCGACTTTAACAAGGTCATCGTCCACTACTGTGACGGGAGTAGCTATACTGGCGATCGCGATGAGCCGGTTTTTGTGTTTGAGGTATGGTGGAGGTTTGGTATGGTGTGTCAAACAGGAGGTTTGGTTAGAAAGTTGAAAAGTAGTTCTTGCTGATAAATTTCTCACTAGAACATTACAAACAATAAGTTGTGCTCAAATTATAATATATTAGCATGTCCGTCGTAAAAAAAGAGTAGCTCTAAGAACTAGTGCTCCTGACGGCGAGGGTGACAAGAGCAAAGTCGCAAGTGAGAAAATCTCTTCTGCAGAGTGGACAGAGGTGCATGCAGTGTATCAAAACTTGCAAAAAGAATACGAAGGTTATGCAGAGCCACTGGGAGGGTTGGGTGAAACACCTAAAGATGGAAGTTATGTACGATGATCAAAATCTTCAGGTATTTGCTTTTTGATCCACTCTTTTGAGTTTGATGTAACTCATCAACAACCTTTGAGAACTTCAAGGAGAAACCCGACGAAGTTCTCTCTCATCTCTCTCTACCTCTAAACCCACCGCAGTAAGACCAGCACCACTAGTTCCACAAGCAGTGGTCTGGTGTATTTCCAAGGGCGCCGGATTCTCGATAACATCATAGAGAGTACTGTTTTAGCTCGTCAACCCCAAGAGTTCTTCTTCACTGGCTGCTCTGCAGGAGGTCTCTCAGTTATTCTCAACGCTGACCGGATAAGGCACAAGTACTTTTCGAAGGCCGAAGATGGTAAAGGGCTGATGAAGTACAAAGCATTGTGGCTGATGTTGTTCTTGCTGTTGAGCCTGAGATGACAAAGATGTACTATGTTGTACGAGTAATTTCTAGCGCCGTTTCTTTTTACTTGATGTTGATCTCCAGTACCGTCTAGTTTTTTAGTACACATGTTGATCTCGTCGTCTAGTCCTTGTAGTATACCTCTAAACCCCGCAGCTTTTTCTGGTTGGTTCATGGACATTCCAACTGTCACTGGGGCTCAGCAGTCACGCAAAATCTTCTACGGAATGGTTGATGTGCATCATAGCACGTTGCCGAAGAAGTGTCTGGAAGCGGAAGTGGAAGAAGGAAAAAAAGATCTAGATCATGTAAATAAACCTTCTAGAAGCAAAGATCCAAAATATTCGCATTCCTGTGCATTCGCAGCAACCGCGTTCCGTACTGTCGAAACACCTATCTTTGTGCAGAATTCTGCCGTTGACGCCTATCACTAAGGGTATGTTTATGGTGTTCCTGTTACCGTTTCTTTTGCCTCTCCTAAGGGAGAAACGCAGAGCAAACGGGAAAGAGAAACACCAAAGGAAAAGCCTACCGCTAATATCAGTTGATGGATTTGTTCACCGTTTCTGACGCTTTGGAAAACGTGAACGGAAAAGGCAATGCCTCCGCACCAAATCCGACTAGTGGCTACTCTGACTGGTCAGACTGTATCCTATCTCCGGATCTAGCCGGCTGCTCCCGTGAGAAGATATCAGCGATACGCGAACACTTCGAAAAAAAACTGCTGTCTAGTGTAGAAGAGAGCTTTCGAGCTAATCCTCTGGCCGCAGCTCGTCAGAATTCCTATTTCTTGGATACATGTGACGCACACTGCGAAAGCGAATCGCCTATATTCTGGATGGAGTACAGAGGTAGTGGTACTATCGAAAGCGGCGAGGTGGGCGCGACGACGGCGTCGAGGAGCAGTAGTACAACTACAGAGAAAAAGAAAAACTACATTAACATTCTTTCTTCATCAAGTACAACAACTAGTAGATCATCAAGTACAACAACTAGTAGAACTTTTACTTCGTATACTTCGAACCTAAAGGAGAGCATCACCGCTTGGTGGCGTGGAGAGAAGCCTGACGACGTGAAACCTTGCCTCCTGCGTGAAACAGCACCATACCAGTGCAACCCGACCTGTGACGCGCCTGCGCCCTCATCTAGTAGTGCTAGTACTTCTCTGGTGGAGACTATGTCCTCTTCTAAAATCAGGCGAAGATTGTTTCACACAATGAATGTTGAACAAGAAAAGCTAGTATTTTGGTAAAAATAAATGCAAGTTGTTCTTCTGTGTACTATGCTCTTATTTATTTCAGCATTGATTCTCTTCAGTCAACTCTACTTACTCTTTTCTTGGCAAGATGATTCGTTTTGAGATGATTCATTTTCAGATTACTTATTTCAACTTCAAATTTCTTTTCTATTCCGCGTTGCTACTGACGCCACTTCCTCTTAAAGGGAAATGGGTCAGTGGAAGTGGAAGAACGGATACGATAAGTCAAATCCGCACTAGCTGCGACGAGGAGGACCCACCATCCTCTCGAACATCACGGTACAAACAAATGGAAAAGTTGTGTAGTTGTTGACAGCATATTACATTTGGTGCATAGCCACAGTTGCACTTGCAAGATTTCGGTCGTAGCACAGAATAGTCCTAGTCGGTCCTAGGCAAATAAATTTTCGGTTCAAGAGGTGAATATCTGGAGAAAGGGTTCGTGTTCGGTCCTGAGAGTATGACTTCCCAATTGCTTTGCTGCTCCTTCTGTTGTGAGTAAATCAAAAAATATCTGTGAAAAAAGATTGGCATTGCTGAACTAAGCGGGCGTCAGAAAAACCACACTTTCTCGGCTCGGGATTTCACCTATGCTTCCATTTTCAAGTTTGATTTAACATTTAGTGAATTTCTCCCAGAGTTTTTTTTCTCCCCATGTGGTTCTTTGAGGTTCTTGTGCGATAGACATCAAGTTCAATTGATTCCTTCTTTTCACTAGGTAGCATGCCCGTTTTACGCACAGCATGATCGGGTTCTTGCATATTTTTGAAAATCGCGCTACCCTCGGTCAGCAATAAGAATTCAAATTCTTCACCCGGTTATCAAAAAGACACGATACATACACGATCCACATCCATTTCAGAAGTTTCTTCTGTACGAGGAAAAGCCGAGCAACGATTAGGATGACGGCTTCCCCGATGACTTCTCGGCTCTACAGAATGAACATCGTCACATGGACCACTCGTTTTCTGCGTCTGCCCGTATCTACTGTGCTTGTTTGTAATGGTCTCAACCACCAACTCGGTGCCTTGGGTTCTCGGGAGCCCAGCAGACTGCTGCGAGGCGAGGCACGGGCCCACGAGAGGCCTCAACAGCTTCTAGAAGACTCAACGCGAGGGCTTCTAGATGAAGAAGAAGATGATGTCATATTATCAGACGAAGTTGGATACCGCGATGAAGAAGATGTTGTAACGACTTCTGAAGCAAGTAGGAGCTGGGTAGAAAAAGGCAGTTCGCGAGCAAGAGCATCGGTACCAACTGCTACATTACAACGAAGAACAAGCTCTTCATCTCCCTCATCAGCGTTGCAGAGATTTTCGAGTAAGAGGGGAAATGGCACCTTCGAAATCCTAGCTCATGGGTCTGACCGGCATTGTCTAGGGACAAGTATTACCGTCAACATCGAGGAGCGCGACGACTGCAAAGAGGTGTGTAGCAGCATGCCTAATTGTGAAGGCTTCACACACTTTTATCTTATGTATGAAAATGAATGATTTTTTTGTGAGGAACTTGGGCCTGTTTCGTCCCAGACGGCGCGGCCTGGCCGCAGAGCCGCGGACCTTTAACCTTGAACCTTATTAGAAGCTGCTCACGGCTGTACATTCATGATTGATGTGGATTAAAGTTTAGACGCTACACGTCTAATTCAGGCCATTTTTTGATGCTCTAATTATCGCAGCACCGGTACAACATCAAGCCTAGTCGAGAAGACTGCTGTTGACCTTGGATCACTCCGATTGGAACGTAACCTCCGAGCAACTGGCGTCCCTGACCCTCACTGGAAGTGCAAGTTTTAAGACTCCCCCTAATCCATCTCTAGTAGAGATTTTCTATAGTATATATAAGATCCCTCAGCTGCCTCAACTGTACCTACCCGAATACATCAAAGGAGACACTTTTACTAGGATGCGGGATTTCTAGTACTAACAAGGATTGTTATATATTTGGGGGAAGCTCTAAAACTTGTACTACCTCTCTGACATGGATTGCAGTACAGGAAATAAGTTCCCGAACGACACTCACGTCCAAACATACGATCGGAATGAGTCGACCACTTTTCCCAGTGACGGAAGCGTGCATTTGTTATGGAGATCTCTAATTTTGTAGTTCCAGTTCGTTTTCGCTGTCGTGGTACTACTACTAGTTCCTTACTTGAGTTGTTCTCTCGTGCCATGTTGTTATAGTTGAAAGTTGTTAATAGTATCGTCTCGTGTCTTGTCTTGCACTTGCTTAAGCTATTGTTATTTCTCAATATCCACTTCACTTGATCACTACTATCGCTCTCAACCATCTTAGTAGTAGCTGCACGCATCCTGCTCGATTACTTTTTGCCTCTTTCCATCCGAGCCGAGAAAGGGCTCGTGTTCGGTCCTGAGAGTATGACTTCCCAGTTGCTTTGCTGCCCCTTCTGCTGTGAAAGATATTCATTAATACTTCATCCTAGTTGTGTACCGCATCTCTAACTCCCCCTCACACCTGGGACTACTTTGATTTTGTCTCAGCAGGCGACGGGCAAAAATGCATGGCTGGTGAGATCATTCAACAAGGCCGCATGCAATCTGAAGCTGAGGGTCTGGCTGGCATCAAAGCGCAATGTCGAAACCTCTGCGCGGTCACTGCGAATTGTTGGGCCTTCGTTGTCACGGGTCTTTATGAAGAATGAACGTCGTAGTTTTATTCGATTTCGAAGAACTGAAGAAGTACTTGGTGGAAAAGTACGTATTTTTTTACCAAATATGAAAAGCGGGACGTAGGGGAGGGCATCGAATTTTCCTAGAATTCCGATGCCCTCCCCTACGTCAAGGTGGGATTTAATTAATATTCACAGAGATACTGGAGAACGGGGACGAGATGACGCCGGAAGAGATGATTGTGGAGGCAGTGGGCGCTAGTACATGAACGGCGATAACAGAGACAATAACATATCACAGGGACTGAACCTGATGAAGAAGTACTTGGTGGAAAATTCCCAATTTTTTACCAAATAAAGCAGATCTCCTAGAATTCCGATGCCCTCCCCTACGTCCCGCTTTTCATATCCAACCAACCTGGCGGGTGTTGGCAGCTACAAACGAGTACTCAACTTGTGCGGGTGTCTGCGCTCTCTACGACAATCTTTGTCTCGACAGAGTGGCCTCTCCTTGCGTTGCGAAGAACTGGTATGGAGTGAAGGATATAATTAAAGATGCTATAGTACCCCGCGAATGGGTACATCAATCAATCAAGCAATTACAGACATAAATAAGAAGATCTTCGTTTATAACTTAGCAGGTAGACTTCATACGTAGATCGTTTAACTTAGCAGGTAGACTTACGCAGATCAAATACAATTTCGTAGTTGAAGAGATATATTTCCTCTCTACAGAAGAAGTACTGAGAGTTCTAATGGTTTCCTCTACAATGGTGGCTGTACAATGAGTACTGGTCGTCCTCTCTACTAGAAGAAGACTTTTTTAGTCATCAAGTCTCCTTCTTCTTCATACCCATGAGACGCGTATTTACACGAAGCGGAACATACCGAAAAACGAAGTGGTCGCGACTGCAACTGGCAGTGGTGGCGATGCTGGTGGTGGTGGTGCCAGTGGTGGTGTAGGAAATGTCGCTGCTTCGTATGGTGTCCCCAGAAGCGAGGACGGTAGCGCGTCAAGGAATGGAACTTCGACAGATTCAGATTTTTAAGGATGGCCACATATAATACCCTAAAGGATCGTTACCTAGAGTATACCTTATACCATCTTGATGCAAAGGATGACATCTTGGACGAAAAGTCTCGTCATCTCACACGACCTCTAAGGAGAAGCTGGCACCAAAGACAAAACTGCGGAGGCCTCGGTGACTTATGCAAGGCCACAGCTATTCTGATACTCACCACTTGAATTGAGTCTGTAGCCCTACCCTGTAAGACATTTTTGCATGCACTGTTTGTGAAGAAGATAGAGACGTAAGTTTAAGTTCTGTCCCTATCTTCCTACAACATCCTTATGATCGTAAATCACAGCGCGGATCACTTGTTCTAATGCAAAGTCGCCTCTTCTTCGAAGCCGCTCGAGCGATTCTTCCAAAGCAAAATCGCCCTTTTTCTTGGCTCGCTCCTCATGCTAGCGTTGGGAGCCTTGTTTGGGCGAGCACGAGCTCTTATGTAGGATAGATACGGAGAGAAACGTGATAATATGATTGGATCGTGGTTGATTCTTTGAAAGCCGCGATCATCTTCTCTCAGAAATATTATAAAAGTTTAGGGTTTAGGGTCTCAGAAATGCTACTAGGTGAGTGAAGATAGCTCTAAGAAGGAAAGGCGCGCTCCTGCAGCAAGTAGTGGACCAGAGCAAGAGACCCCATCAGCAACAGACGAAGCTACTTCTACTGACGCACCTCCAGGAAATACAAGTACTACAGCAGCAATGAATCAAGCAGGAGCACCACCAGTGATTGAACCTCCACAGCAGTCAAACAACGAAACAACAACAGCGCCTCCAGGAGGTGTTCCAACAGATGACAACGAGAAGTCAGCTAGTAAAGCCAGTAGTAGAAGTAGTGCTAAGCCTCCTGGGGAGGATTTCCATTCTGCTGGGGTTCCAGGAGCTTCAGACGGCGATTTTGCCACTGCCGGAGAAGAGTCCGCTGCTGGGGCCGCCTCAGCAGTGTCTGCCTCAGAAGGAGAGAACAGTGAGGGCACTGCGCGACCCCGGCACTCACCTAGTGGCTCGGCAGATGAAGAGCAGTAGGAGGAGGAGAATAAGGAGGAGGAAGTCTGTATTCTTGATGAAGAGGGTGCTAGATGTAGAATAAATTGAATTTTGAGGACGTAAATGAGCAAGACGACGACTCATCTATGTAATAAATATGATAAATCATTATCATAGAAGTACAGCATAAGACTGAATCTTTAAAAATCAGCTACATAACTAGTATGAACTGCGCTATTTACTTGTTGAGTCAATCAGTGTCAAGCTAGTATCCTTTCGTGGTGCAATTATGATGAATTTACGAAATGAAGATATGCACGGATTCAGAGAGCAGATGGAAACAAGAAGAATCACACCGGAACGGAAATAGGGAAATTGTTTGTCTTCATCGATTGCGCATTGGCTCGCGAGCGAGAGAATGTATGAGCGGAGTGATCCAAGAACTTACTTGCCGCGAAATCCTAGAAAAACTAGTACGCAAGGCAGTTCTTGAATAAAGAGGTGGATACTTGATTGATGTCGCAGTTCTTAGTCATCATGTAGCAACAAAATGTCGATACAAGCAGCTCTCCCACGACCCCCGCCAAGGGTCACGTCGGCGGCAGCGTGAAAGCCGTGGGAAAAGACCAGGAGGACAGCACTAGAGCAATTGGACATACTGAAACTACCGAAGCGGAATATGATGGCGGAACTCCAAAACCTATAGCTTCTTCTACACTCGAGCCTCCAGTTCACCGTGTCACCCCTGGCCCATTAGCTTCCTCCATTTTATGCTCCTCGTGCACATCCGTTCTGGTTGGACACAGGGAGGAAGGACGAAAATGGCGCGACGACGACAAAAGCACACCAGAGGTCGAAAAGTCCGATATCTGAAATTTTGGCAAGAGGCGACAGTGCTTAGTGTCTGTCACAGACAGGCAGACTCTACAGCGCTTGGATTTTGCTAGTGTCCTAACCAAGTAAGAAACACGTGGCGAGTTTGCTTGTTGAGCAAGGCCAGTGAATAATATCAGCACCAAGAAACACTAGATTTTCGTCCACCTCGCCACGGTGACAGGGACAGCGTGCCGCGTCCTTCTTCGTCGCCAGGTCTCTCTTGGCAGATCCAGGTTCGAGATGAAGAATATCTGAACCTCCAGCTTGCTGAACGTCTTACATACTACTAGAAGAACCGTTTTTTATTGTGGAAGATGCAACCTGGAAGACCAGAAGCGGAAACTGGGTTGGATGGAAGAGGTTGGCAAGCACAGGGAAGGGGTGTGGACGAGCTGCGAATGCAGTTGCAGATGCTAATGATGAACCAGTGCAGGATGATGAACAAGTCCACGATAACGCAGATCAGGAACAAATGCAGGATGGCGAAGGCCCACCTGTCGATCCCCAACAGAATGACTTCTTTGTGCGCATATCTCTTGATGGTGTCTTTCTAAGAGAAAACAAGTACGCTGTTATTTTTTTTTTTCCGCAGCATGCAAGGAATCAATGGGAATCATAATTCAACAATTGGAGTACCTTGAGTACTCGTAGTCACTAGTTAGTATCTTGTTCTTCTGCCTCTTCTGCTTCTAACAAGATGCGTAATAAGTACTTACTAACGACCACTATCTGTCCTGATGCATCCATACTCTAATCTCCATGGGGCTATTTTCAGGTGGTTCCTGGGGTTGCTTTCGCTGTCCTGATTGACCCTGAGGAGTACTTAGTTCGCGACCCTCTGCCCGTCTATCTGACATTGTCGTTGTCTTTCGTGGTCACATGAATCCAGCTGCGGTCTTGCTCTTCAGACACCTGATAAGAACGCTGAATAATGTCTTCTCGCCATAATTTCAGGTGAAGATGAAGTAAGTAGATCAGATCTCCCCATAGGAAGTTCAAGTTGGAGATGAACAAGTAGGTCAGATCTCTCCATGGGAAGTTCAAGTTGGAGATGAAGTAGATCAGATCTCCCCATGGGAAGTTCAAGTTGGAGATGAAACGATGATGAAGTACCTTTCAGTACATCTTCGACAAGTTAAGTTTGAGAATAGTTGATGGGTTTGGGAGAGAACGATGAGCATCGAATAGGAGACAGACAAACAAGAGAAGCGAGTTCATATTGTTCGAAGAACAGAAAAAGATGGCCCCTTCGCGATCATTGTTCAGGAATGGTGGCAGGAATCATCAGTTGTCCAAGAGAGACACGTTGTACTTCTTGTCAGTTCAACAAGAATGGTTCTGGCCCTACACTGTTCTCAGCTTCATCCGTTCAAGAAGACCATCAATCCAGCCCTCTGCTCCTTTTCCACAGATGAGTTCCACCATAGATAAGTTCCACAATGTGATTCTTTAAGATCCCGACCTCACGCCATGCCAACGATCGACCACAAGAATAGGACGATCAGTTATGATCCTGAGTGCATTGTAATGCTCCCATGATCTTCACTAGTATCCATCAAAACGAGCTCCACCCACTATAATTAAACAAACGAGTTCTTGTAGAGTTACTCCTACGACTTCTTATAGAATACACGAGTGCCTTTGGGTTTTTTCTTATCTTCGGTCTTCGCATAAAAACATTGAAGAAGTATCCAACTGACCTTCATAAATACAGGAAAAACAGCTTCGGAGCTTTCGTTCTCGAAAAAACAACTCGAACTCTGTCTGTTTGTTCAATAAACAACTCTCTCTGTTTATTCAACCTATAAACAACCTTCAAAACACCCCTTTTTCGTTTTCACACCCGTTTTCGTTTTGACACATCCTCTCATTCTTGGAGCAAAGAAAACTACACTCCTGCGCTCCGTAGTTGAAACATTCCTTTAGTACTTTTACACAACTAATATCGTCAACTTGCTCGTTTCTCTAGTACTCTTGTTTCTCTAGTACTCCTGTCGTGTGTCTGAGAAACGCGACCATTAAGATGAAGGTCCGCTACGCTCCAGTGCTCTTGGTGGCCGCCAACTCTTGTCTTGGAGTGTCGGCCGCTCAATCAGGTGGTGGATCAGGGGATCAAGGAGGTTCTCCAGGTACATCAACAGAGTTGCGTCGGCGAACGAAATTTGGATTTAAACCGCCAGCACGTCTCGGTACGACTACTCTTGGGGGCGATGATTCCGCTCACTTGCCAGGTACGGTTGCTCCTGAATCAGGTGCTGGAATTCTTGATCCTCATCATGGGAACGATGTTACGATGTTGCCGGGAGCTGTCACTGGCAATCTTCCACCTGAAACCCCTGCTGGTGCACAGAAGTATTGTCCGTTTACGCCTGCAGGTGATCTGTCAAATCCCTTCATCAACGAAAATTTTCAGGAATCTTTGTCCCGCCGCATCCATACTCAAGTCCTTGCCAGTACGAATGGAGTAATGCAGAAGATTCAGAAAAGCATTTACGACATGCGGGTCAGGAATATCACCCAATATAGAGATTTTGCTTAAAAACGTCATGGGTGAGGAATATTTCATCAGTTCTACTAGTCTCGTGAAGATAGACGTGATTTTGTTCTTCAACCTCAAAACAACAACAAATACAGATAGAGCTATATACTAAGTAAAGGGCACGAACCTACACTCTCTTTTGAGACTAAAAACTTATCAAGAAGGATGATCGCGCCTCCCTTTTGGTATATGTTGTAACAGTACCTTGAGGCATCCTGACATGACATTCTGCCGCGATATTATTTCAAGTAGACTACTACATGGTTTTCGTTTTTATCAACATCGATCTGTCGTAAGAGTTCGATGATATATGCAACAAGCAGGATGCAAATGATCACGACATGCTGTAACAACTAGCGTTCGACACCTCTACATCACCGTCATCATCCTCCTCATACATCTTAGCTTTTCTCCACTCCACTTCTCACTCGACTCCTCTCCATAGACCTCCTCTAAGCTAGGGACAAGATGGAGCAGAAACTGAAGAATGCTGAATGGTACATCGCACGCATGACTGTTGCGGATATCAAGTTAAGGCTCAGATGATTTCATTCAGATTTCATTGCTTGTCACTTAGTTTGGAGTCACTGAAAGTCCTTCGCGCAGCGAACTCCCCGAGAGCAGAGATTATATAGGATTTCAAGAGAAAGAAAGATAACGGGCGAAAGCTAAAAAGCTGCTCTTTTGCCTTCGCGGGGTCCTTTCCATTGAGAATGAGTGAGCAAGAATGACTGCTACCCTCTAATCAATTTAAGGGCTTCCACCAAATTGCATTTCCCAGTAGTAAGCAGTCCTTGGCTCTTTTCGGAATAGAAAAGAAGGCAGGGGGCCGCTCTGACGAATGTACTCATTCCGTCACCTGCTCTAATGAATGGAGCGCTGGACGGCGGCATACATCCTGTTGGGCTCGCAAAAGAGGAAGGTAAGATCTGGAAAGACATGTCGGCTGCCGTTGCCATGACGATGGATATATGGTCTCCGCAGCAAGAGATTCGCAAAAACAGGATGAAAATGGACCTCCTCTCGGGCGTCTCGCACGTCCTCGATCGTGTTAAGGCTTCATCAACAAATCTCCCATTCATCTCGTCCTTCTTCACGACTGACCACTGGAGATGGAGTTATAACATCTCTGCTGCGTGCCAGCTTTGTATAGTAAATCTTGTAACCGTTCTTCATGGGAAAAACGAAAAGGTTCCAAATACATGCGCTTTGAGCTTGAGGTAGCAACATGAAGCTTTGTCTAGATGGTTCGATTAGTCTTCCGCCCCTACAGTCAAGCCTGACGAACGATTTGCGTGAAAAAGTAGAGAGTTCCAAGATCGTGCTGCACTCTCAGAGTGTTGCAGATAATCCATCTAGGGGAGGTCGTCTCACAAAGGTTCTAATGACAAGGGAGCTACAAGAACCGCGGGGGCTGTGACAGACGACACGCTTTTTAACATCGCTGCGGGAACCGGTTGTGACGGCGCTATCGTGGGTGACAAGAACGACCTGCCGTTTGGTGGAGCTTCTTCTGTTACGGGTCATGTGGAAAATGCATCTAAGCACAGTCATCTGGAAGAACAAAACAAGAAGGTCTAAAGATTCATTCAGATGAAGAAGATTCCTACGATGCATTTCCTGCCCCTCTACTAATTCTGGTCCCCGTTTTTTCCTACAACAAAAGTCATCTTCTGTTTCGGATACTGCCTCTTTCACTCGTAGAGATTATCATCCGGTGAACCCGCAAGTGAATCTAAAAACGGACATTTTTCCCACGGGCACGACTATCTATCCTTGGCCTTCCGCAGGCGCTGAATTTGAAGACCTGAAAGTCAAAAAACAGGCGTTGGCAGAAAATCTCGCATATCTTATAGAGGTCAGAAACGATGCTGCGGAGGAGGCGGGTGAGCCTCATAAAACACGACGTCCTGCAAAACGATCGGAATCGGAAGATCACTGGCCCTCCATGCTAGACTACGAGCGAAATCCAAAGGTTGCCCAAGCTGTGAGAAACCATCTCAGGTTTCCGCCTTTCCTAGGATTCATCAAGCGTCCGTGGTTGGGTAGCGATCATATGCCGCTTAAAGCATCTTTCAGTATTAAAGTCCCGGGCGGTCAGATGATCGGGGCAATGGTATTTCAGTGGAACGTTCTTGGGTGGGGTGTTGCAGACATGCCGGGCTGTGCTAGGCTCCCATCTCCCAAAGAAGTTACGACTCGTCGATCATTATCTGGCTTAATCGTAGTGGTGACCTATCCTGGTGACTGAGTTATATTTACTTCTTGTCTAAGTACTTATGTCTATTTCGTATATCATATGAAAACAGTGACTCTAGTAGTCAAGTAACACCTACGGGGATGAACCTAGAACGGTGCGTCACACTCAGCCAATGATAATGACCAAGTACAACTTTCAAGAAGCGAGGTAAAACAATCTCGCCGCAGCCTCTGTTTCAGCAGGGGATTCTGCGTCAGGCACTTAACGAAATGGAGGCATTCTTGCAAGAGAATCCCAGTCGTGTCGCGGTTTTAGCGTTTCAAGAGGATCTTTTTACTGGAAGACGTGTGCAAGCGGATGGCCAAGATCCCGATCACAAAAGTGATGTCTTCGGCTCTCACGCCGATGTTTCCCTGCTTGAGGGCTACTGGACCCGACTGCTGAAAGGCTACAACTACAATAGCGAAGAAGACCTTCTCAAACCGGAAATGGATATGGTTACAGAAGTAGTGCCCAAGTGGATTCATGGCGGCTTGCCCTCAGGAAAGCTCCGCGAAAATTTGATTGATGCGGATGGGACTCCGAATAGAAGCGTTTTCCAAGAGTACCCGAACATTAAGGCTCATTCTCTATAATTCATTTCCTCCACAGGTCACGTTTCTCCCTGTAGTTTCGTTCTAGAGAGAGAGAATTCTGAGAGAATGTGAATCTGCGCATGAGAAATGAAAAGTTTTGAGCTCTTGTGGTGCTAAGAACAAAAAACTGATGGCATCCGAACTACAGCAAGGCTACGACCTCATGATGGGCAACACCGTTTACGTCAAATTGGGCCAAGAGCTAAAAGACCTGGGCTGCAAGGTTCACTTCGATGGCTGGAACGGATACCTGGAGCATTACGGTGCAGAATATAATGAAAGAACGTCTATTCCCCGTCGTTCTTTGGCTTCTGCTGTGGTCATTTGTCCGAAAAACGGAGGGGAGTGGGTTCCGATCTTCACCGCCGGTTCGGGCCATAATTCGGGAGGAAAATACGACGACGGGCGTCTGCAACAGGTAATGCTTGATGGTGGCTTGGCTGGTCGCGATATTGTCACCGAACGATTCTACGACAATGCTGGAATGAAAGTTAAGACTTCATTGTTCTTTGGGTTTGCTCGCTAGGTCTACAATTATAGTGCTCTCTCTACTCTCGCTCAACCGACAACTGCATCTTGATCTTCCCTCTCAGAGAGCGGGCTTTACGAGGCGGGTGCTTTTTGAAGTTTATTATTATTTACTCCATTAGAGCGACCACAACGGATAAGCGAAAGATAAGATGAATGAAGAAAAGTGTACTAAAAACATGCAGCCCACACATGATAGATTAGAAGTTTGATCATACATAACAATTGGGAACCCCTTGTGCCCCTTCTAAGAAAGATGAAATTCGAGGGACAGATGCCGCACAGGCAATGGAGGTAGATGCATCGTCCTCGTCAGGTGATGAAATGGTCACGAAGACTCAGTCTGCGTCACCGTTGGCAAGTGGAGAATTGATGCACTACAAAGGTGCTGGCGTTGTCGCGCGTGCCCAGGTGAGCAAGTTCCTTGACTTGATGATCCACCATTTTCAGAGCCTCAGCAGAGACTTGAATCAAGGGACTGGAGGCCGCATTAACGAGAACCTAACGTGCCCTCTGGGTCTCTTCATCGATTTCAACGCCAAACCGCATATGCATCTGTTGCAAGAGCTGCTGAGAACGAAAATCTTCCCAGTGGAATACGCAACCCAACACCAAATCGCGGAAAAGAATCCGAAAGACTACGGTATTGGTGATAAATTTGACAGTCCAGTCCGTAGTAACTTCAAAAAGGAACGTGATGAACATGAATTATACAAAGCTTTTGGGCAGGCCGCGCAGGGGCAGTAGAAGCGATGTTATTGGAAGTGGCACTTCCAAAGGCTGCGTAAGGCATCGGAGGATCAGGAAATGTCTCTTCTTGGTATCTAGATGAAGACAAAGAAATGCAGATGACGCCTGCTACAACTGCTTGCGCGCGCTTTGTGCCGCAACCTCGTATAGTGTTAAGAGAGCCAGAAGTGCTTTCTAGCTAGAAGTATTTCTACTTTCTCGTCTAGAAATGGTTAGAAGACAGGAAATTATAATCTAGCGATAGAGAAGCTTAATGTCGTGTCCACAAAAGTTCGAACGTTTGGGCTTCGTCGCCTGATTTGGATAAGAACTGTTGCATAATTAGTTAGAGTGGACGTGGTAATGTTGTATCTAAATGAAAATAGAGGTAGATCAAGAACAACTTCTGCTTCTACTTCTTGTTTTTATCATTCTAGGTACTTATAATGCATTCGGTTTTTTTTACCGCAGGAGAATGAAAGAATGCGACAGGGTAGCTAGTGTGCTCAAGAACATGATATCTATTAACTTTTAGTACCTACAGCATTACACGATCTCTGTTGATCCAGCAGTAGTCAGTCAAAAACTGAAAAACGTACTTTCCACAGGTTATTGGCTGTAACTAATGGTAATAAACAGAAGTACACGACACCTTTTCTAAGGACTTGATAAAAACGGGGGCTCGTGCTGCTCTCGGAGCGAAAACTATCGGAAAACTTAGTTTATTGACCACCTGGGAACCAACGTACTTTACACGGAGCCCTTCTATGTAAAAACATGACGTGAGCTCCTTGAAGGTCAATACATAGCCCCATGTTTTGGGACTGTTATAGAGGGTAGTTTTTGTTGCTACTTCCCGAACCTCCTCTCTTGGTTGGTGGGGGTACTTGGGCTACGTCTCAAACACGGAGGAAAGTGGATGTTCTCCGATGCATAATTGTAATTGATTAGATTTGAATGATATTACACGACATACTAGAAGATAGAACATCAAGAAGGAAATATTCCCTTATACTATGAAGATGATATCATTGAAAGGTCCTCCTTGTTGGTTGCTCTCCTTTGTGTGGTCACCTTGTGTGGCAGCAGAGTGAAGGCGCCCTATCCCATCCGAGAACGTGAAAAACATAAGAAAGGAAGTAAGTACAGGCTCCGATTGAAGAAGACGGGGTCGAGGCATCCTATCCTATCCTATGTCCTTACGTTTCTTTGAATGAATTGCAAGTGGAACAGTCAGGAGAAGATACAACATGAATTAAAAGTCAATGGCGCGAGTGGTCTATGACCACTACTTACGAAGAAGGAGACGAAGTAATCTCGCGCCTGATCAACTCCTACATAGAAGAAGGTCAAAAACATAATGACCATGGGCAGGTGAACAGTGACAGACAAATGCCCAACTTCACAGGGAGAAAACGTTGGAAAGAGTGGCGCTGGCGCCAGTATGTCTGAGTGACATTAATTGGAATTGGATAACTAACTATAACAAGTTACTTAGAAGATAAAAAAGCCCACTCTCAAAACAAGAAGAAGTGCTCTGCATATTAATAGAAAAAGAAGAAGAAGAAGAAGAAGAACTACTCAACCACGGTGAACATCTTGGTTTTTGACCCTTGTTTTGACCCTTTCTTTGTTTTGCCTCAACGCCCCCGCCTTACTATGTATTCTTCACGATATGTGGTATTGTTTTTGTCCCTTTTTTTAGAACGAAAATAGACATGTTTTTCTTCCCAGCACTGCTATAAAATGAATTGCAAGTTACAAGATGAATTGCAAAGTATAAAAAAAACGCAGGGAGGAGGGCGGTCTCTTCAACAAAAAGGCAGTGTGATCAACGCTATTAATGTGTCTGAATCATGCAGCCGACAATAATGCACTACGAAATGTGATGAAAGCTGTCCCAATACGCTTTTACAAGAACAAAGTGTTCAATTTTGCTAGCTTCGTCGTGGGAACTAGTGCAGCTTTCGAATCTTCACCGGATGAACTTGCTTCCAACTGCGAGGCAGAACAAGTACTACAGATCAACAAGACGAAAGATCAAAGCAAGAGGCATCCTGTCCATAAGTCCTATCTTATCCTATCCTACGAGGCAGGGAAAGAGAGAGAGAGAGCATTAAGTTCTCTCAGTGTGCAGGAGATTGGAATTAATGCCTAGTAGAGAGAAGAGAATAGTTTTAACCTCAAAGTACCCGAAAACTTGAAATAAGCGCGTTGAGCAAAAGATAGGCGACAGCTGGCCCTGGGGTATTAAGATTCCTTCTCCAGTTAGCTTCAGGCTCAGCCTGTTACCAGTCACGCAGCTGCTTGGTAAGTAGTTACTTCTTTTCTCGTGGGGGCTGTCTGTTGGTCACTTCGTAGGAGGTCTTATCGCTTATTATTTCGGCTGCTCGCTTATTTCAGTATTTCGAGTAGTTAGAAATCAAGCACTGACACTTCTGCCCAACCAATAATTACCATTTCCGCACAGCAACAACAAGAATGATGACGAATTTGCTTGCCTCAACCTCTACTGTCGGACAGGCGACGTTGCAGCTGGCATTACGTCTGGCAACTTCAGTTTTGAACTGTGCAATTGCGTTGTCCTTACTTTTCGCCGTCGTTTCCCGCATCTTATGGAACTGGAATAGGTGTACTGTGCGTAGGACGTGCTTCGAAGTTTTTCAGGACCTACAGCACTTACTCTCACTACGACAGGTTGGCAAGAGGGCACAACTCGTCAAGCATTTCCACTCTTCAAGAGGCGCAACCTCGCTGCTGCCCTGCTTCTAACCGTTATTCCGAGTTTGTTGCGGCGGACCAGTCCACAGACAAAGAATCAACTACGCAGTCTGCTTACCTCCGACGCCGTGCGAAATTTTTTCCGCGAATCGCTGTCACACACAATGTGTTCCGCTCTGGGACCGTCGTTGGTTTTATGATGAAAAAGTGAACTACCTTCTATTTGGATACTACTAGTAGTCGTGGTACTAGTACCTCCTTCTTCGCATATTATAGTTGTAGTGAGTTTCAGGAAAAGTGAAAATTTTCCATGGTGTTGTTGTTCCAAAGAGAGCTGCGCCTACATCAAGTATACTTAACACTTTTCTAATCCTCGCTGCCAGTCGTGATCCAGCGACTTGCGATGCTGCTGGGCGTTTGTTCCTCTCCCCCGAAATTTGCCTCAAACTAGAAACCCTGTCCGGGAGAGCTGTGGGGAACGAAGACTTCCGCCAAAATTTCGTCAAACTTGCGAATCAAGTGTTTATGGCTTCTGAGGATATCGATATGGTTTTTACAAGGAGAGGACGGAATACTCGATCATCGGAAGAGAAAGACAGAGATTAGTAGATGTACAAGAACTATTTCTCAACATGATGTCATCTTCTAGGAGCCGCTCGCTATTTACTGGTGTCTTCGCAAGTATCAATCTGAATCTGGAAAGACAAGCTGTAGGTTATGGCCGCCTTCTAAAATCCCCCAGGACCCTGAGATTCGCAAGCACGTTGGGCAAGGGATCATACATACGATCTTGGATGAGGATGTGCGTTATTTGATGCGTGAGATTTTCCTTTGCGCTCTGGAACACCAAAATCTCCACTCCGCAGTCGTCAAAGCGGTACGGGCAGGGTTTACAGCTGCTGTGCAAGACGAGGAGCTCGCTCTGATAGGCAAACAAGCCTTGATTGAGATCCTCTCGGATTCGCAGTTTCATCGTGCGATATTAAAGGGTGCTCTTGGTGCGGTGAAAGAAGGCGTCAAAGACGCGATGTTGGACAGCAAGTTGCAGCAAGCTCTGAAAAGCACTCTGGTAGACGCATTGCAGGATGAGGAGTTGCATAAGTTAAGTATAAGTTATAGACTGTTGTAGGTTTCGTTACGTACAGAAACACTGTCAGACCACGTCTCTACGGTCACTATGAAAGGTGATAACAGGGACATTAGCATGCATACGCTCATCTCTCTTGTCAACGTACTAACAGACAGGCAAGGCGACTTCTTCTAGGTAGAACGAAAAAGAATCAACTCGATGAATGATCCCTCCATGAATCCTCTCGTGATTTTATCCCCTGTCCAAACCTGCTCTAACGTCAGCCACAATGCAAGGCGCGTTTGACGCGATGATTCCAGATGTCTTCTCAAAAATCAGGATAGGCGAAATGCGGATGCGAAGCGAAGGAGAGCGAGCGCCACCTGGGTCACCTGAAGGCGAGTCAGACTCTCCGCCGGGAGGTCGTGCGAAAGGCAGTGGAGGAGGCGCTTCTATGCTTCTTGGGGGTGGAGGCGGTACGAGTTCTAGTGGAGTCCCATCCAGTATCGTTTCTTACTTTAATTTATGAAGTAGGAACTAGAACAACTCGGATTGCGTATTCACAATTGGGGAAAATCCTCTTGCACTTGCTCTAATGATTGGGGCCACAGCTGGGAAAACGGATAGCCTTACGTCAATATCAGCTGACGACAGCGCAGAATCGTCCAAGGAGGCAGCGCCAAGCAGTCCTAAACGGGTTCAGATTTTATGGGCTAAAAGGGCACTTAGTTCATACCATCGATCTAGTACATATTATCCCGTTTGGGCATCGCAACAAAGCAAGTATAATACTTGCGAACTGGTCAGGCGACTCATTTCAACAGCTGACCAACTAGATCGACATTGAACATGATTCGACAGGATACGAGAAGCATTAGCGCGCTAAGCGTACTCGGATAAGAACTCAGAGAGAATTGTGTTCCGCATGCTATCCATCTAAGGCCAAGTAATACCTTTTTCCGAACAGAATATGAATAAAAATCGAGGCCTTTGGTCTAACACGGACGATAGAAATTGTATGCCGAGACCTCTAATCCTCGCCGAAGACCTCTCAGAGCCATCCTCAAGTTCAAAAAACCGTTCATCCTCTTCCGCATCGGCAAAGTCTCCTCCTGTAATAGCGCACGTAGATCCTGACCTTGACCTCTTGGCTGAGCTATCCGCCAATGCATCCAAAAGAGCTAGTGAGACATTAGACACAGTGGCCGCACGTTTTCGCAATATGTTCGGAGGAACAACTCCTGAGGATGGCGATGCTGTAGGAGTACAAGAGGACGAGAAGCAGGACAAGAAGAGTCAAGTAGTAGGTGAAGGGCAAGAATCAAGATCATCATCGAAGTCACCAAATCGTCCTAACAATGGTGAAGATGGGGGTAGCGATAGTCAACACGGAGGAAGTCCCGGTTCTGCCACAAAAGCAAAACAGCACTCATCGCCGAAGAGTGAGTCCTCAAGTAGGCGAGGTAACTCGGGGAGAGAGCATTCTCGTTCGAGCGGGGGGGTAAAACTCTTTAGCGGGAATATAGACGAGGGTAGACGTTCACGGAGGACATCACGTGATCAAGCTGGGTTTGATGCGGGACCTTCTAACAGAGATGGATAAGCGTTCTAATCAGAAATTGAGCGCTAGATAGAGTTAAGTATCAGTAGTACAATAGATTCTACCGTTATAGGCAGGAAACCAAGAAAGCAAATCGGAGTACAGATTTACCTCATCCCTTCGAGTAATTATACATACAAATTATCCGTGTACAGATTTGTGTGATGTCTCTGAGTCTTCGTTACGGTCGAATAGAGCGCTTGGCTCGGACTCCGAGAAAAATTAAAATTTTGATCATGAGGATTGTGAGTGCCTTAACCTGCAAAGCAACATGATATCCATGCACGAGCAGCTGTGCTTTCGTTGTACTGACAGTTTCATTGCCAGGAATGGGTGTTCATCATGCGTGTTGTAGCAAAAGACTCAAGTTCAAATTCACCTTCAAGGAGGAACAACGAGACAACGAAATCTCAAGAGAAGTACTTTGTTACTTACTCCCGCGCTGCCTGTAGTACAGTTATTTGCATTACTTATGATATAGGTACGAGAGAAGATCCTGCTGGATCCAGAAAGACCAAATAAACCAAAGACTAGCTGTTATAGGTACGAGAGAACTACAACAAAAGGATGCGAACGTCTCATGCTCTTGTAATGAACACGGTTCCGGAGGAGGAGGAGCTACATGGAAGCACAACAGAACACACAGAAAACACACCCCTCGGAGATGCTCCTGAACCTCCGACCCCAGTGAGTTCTGGCTACGATGAAGACGTGGATGAACGAGAGCTGGCGTCTAGGCGCCGCACAAAGATATCGGAAACTATGATTATGGCCGCTGGAAGAACGTGTCATTTCCTAAGTGAAACCGCGTACGATTTCTGTAGTCTTTCTTGTGTGTACGCAGCGATAGATGATAGATGCGATAGATGATAGATATGAAATAATAGAAATATAGAATAGAGTAGAAAATAAATAGAAATGAATACGAAGATACTAAGCTGCTCCTTATAATATTTCGACCTACACTGGGGGCCCGAGCAGCTATGGGGTGTATGGAGGTCGTGAGAGCTCATCGTCGGAACCGAGCTCGAAGGAAAAAAGAAGCCGCTCATGCAAATGTATTTCTTTGCATCTCTGGCTACGGAACCAGGCAGCTTTGAGTGAGTTGCTACGTGGTTCGAATGAATGAAAAGAAAAGAGATTGTGCTCGTTAGACTTTCTTGAATATCAATCCTCTTCTACGACCTCCTCTTTTTTCAGGTATCGGCGTCCTCTGTGTCCTCAGCGCCTTGCTCATCCTGCTCTGCGTCGGCGTCTACAACCAAGTACTGGCACGCCCCGACTTTCCTCTCAAATTCTTGATGTCCTCTTCTTCTTCTTCTTCCAAACCTTCCTCGACGCCAATTGTGGTGCGTGAAATCAAGTCTAGCATCGACCGACAAGTCATGGACTTGCCACCGATCCGGCTTCCTAGCAATGACGAAGACATGATGGGCGGCAACGTGGCACCGAGAGGTTATGTATTCGAGTCAACATGTGGTGATACTTACTAACTACGAGGGAGTAGGTGAAGTGACTGGTCGGAAAAAAAAGTGCAGTAGATAGTACTAGAAGTAGTAGTACTTTGAGGGAGACCACCACCATTTTCAGGTTCATGCTTTTCTGTGTTTCAAAAATTCTTCATCTTCTTCACTGCTTAATAGGCTCACTCTAACTCTCAGACCACCATCCACGTGACCCAAGCGTCCAACGTCGACCAACCATCAAAGCCGGCGCCGACGCGTTTCATGGTCAAAACCACGGTACAACTGGATCTGGAGACACCAGACAAAGACATCTCCCTAACTACAGCAAGAACTACAACATGGTAGAAGGAGACGATGATGAAGACTCCTTGTTGAGCTTGCATGACAGTGACTCTTCCCTCTACTCTTCCTCTGGGGGAGCCTCAACAGCTGGTGATTTAGAATTGAGTCACTTAAGTGCCTTTGGCAGCACAGCGTCTTCAGACTCTCTCACTCTGTCTACGGAAAGCAGCATTGGTGGATCCTCTGCGGCTCTGGATGTATTCGTTTCGCTTGTTATCAATTTAAGTACTTGAGGATAGATTGTCTTGCATTGTCGATGTCCACCCATTTGTGATTCGTTTTCGACATTCCAAACGCAAACCACACATTATATATGTACTGTTCAACAAACCTCTACAACGATAGTGATGAAGATCAAGTAGATCAAGTTTACATCGAACTTCATCTTGTAGACCTGCTACACTCAAATCTCCTCCACTCCACTGCATCACCATTTCCAGGCTCGCAGCGAAGATCCCACTTCACCGCTTGTGCCGCATCGCGAACTTCTGAATTCTGACAGTGCTGTTGAACTGATGCGGCTGGCTTTGGATAGTACTCCGAATGATGAACCCTCTAGTACAACTCCTGTCAAGCAACGCCCTTCGCTGGGGACCTATCCCAAGTCACCGCGTTATTCCGGCGGAAGGAAAAGCAGTAAACTAGATGCTAGTCGTGGGGGTGAGGAGCAGCAGACATCTAAGAACGAAACCCAACAAGAACTAAAAGTGCAGAAGGACGTGGAGTCATCTAAATCTCACACCAATCTTCCTCCTGTGACAACCATTCCTCAAGGACGTGATATTGAAGGGGAAATCCTGGATGCATCGCTTCGTAAGTCGGCAACCTTGGATGAAATGACGCCCCTCAAAGCCCAGCTAAGCAGCTACCCGAAAAGCGCATCTCGGAGCTTGAAATCTGTTCGATTTGGGATCAACGAGGACGAGCCTGACCACAGTGAGGGTCGCGACACCAGACATGACTATCCGAGCACACAATGGCCAACAAGTAGTTCTTCTAATACGTATTCTTCTTCTTCTTCCGAGGATGAAGATCAAGGATATTCTGGTGATGATGAGCGCGAAGATGAAGGTGAGAGTTCTTCTACGTCTTCTCACTCTTCTAGCAATGGAAAAGATACTGATAAAGATCAAGAACATAATATAGCAATAGCATCAACATCATCTACACCCTTTTCCAGTGAACCAACTACATCCAGAAAAATGCTGAAACGTGCTATGATGAGTAGTAAAGCGAGGCGACAGCTTATGCGCCAGAGGAAGAAGATTCCTCAAACAAATATCAAGATGCTCATGGGTGGAAACCACGGTCGTCACGGGCTTGATGAGAAAGACTTTGAGGAAGAAGCTGGAGGTTCTTTTCAACCTGTGTTAGTACCACAGATAAGCGGAGGTTCTTCAACATCTTCTTCTTCTTCGCGCACCGGCAGTGGCAGTGGAGCTTCATCTTCAGGTTCAACTACACCAGGATCTTCAGTGCTGCAAGTGCTTTCCTCCGGTTTGCACTATTCAGTCCTCAAATTTCCGACTCAACCGCAAGAAAAGTCTTTAGGCGATGGTTTGCGGTTCACGCTTTCCCGTTTGCCGCTGACCCTTCCTGCCGATTTCGACCCCGAAGGACCTGCCTCGTTGCAACTGGCTGTTTTGAGTTACACACCGACTGATGCTGCGGTTGCCTTGGCTCCTCGAACTACTGTGCCTCCACGAACAACGGAACTCACAAATCTGCTAGTGGAGCTGCCGGAAGATCCGACAGCGGGAGTTAGTTATGCTTGGACAAGAAGATGTCTTATAGTTTTATTTCTAACAAATCACGTGATTTTGATACGAACAATCAGACGAGCTACGCACTTTCTTCATGTTCCTGAACACGACCTCTAGCGACCTCTAATCTCTGTCCCTCGACAAAAGAACCCCGTTGTTTTTTCTCTGCTACCGAGTCTTTCAGGTGTTGCGTACAAGCGACAACTACACCGAGGATGAATACAATGCTGTGGAGACGCGCCTTCTCGATGTCTTGGCCGAAAATATGCCTCCACTCCTAGTCGAGAATGTAGAGACTATTCGCGCTGCACTCGTCGATGAGATTGCATTGAAAGAGATTCCGGAAGAGCGCATCTTCTACAACAGCGCTATAGAAGATGTTGTTGACAACTACAAAAAGGATATAATTGACGCAGAAGATGGAGGTGACTTCTCTGGAGGTGCAAGAACGTTAAGGCAACGCTTGCCGCATCCTCAACGTCAGCCTTGGCCCCCTTTTCAACGAGGAAATGAGGCCAGGCATGCTACCAGGGATGCAACGGCAATAGCTCTAACTACAGAATCATCAACCATGGATGAGGAAGAACCTGCTACAGTGTATGCAGTGGGTGACGGTCTTAGTGACGTTGCTGATGAGGACGTTGAGAGCATCTTAGCTACCAGTCTCCAGGATTTTGGACAAGATGAAGATATCGATCACACTAGCGACCACGAAGCAAACGAGAATCCTCGTCAACATGTTCGTCTTGGTGACGAAGATGAATATGACGAGTATCATCCATCGGGAGGTGATGACTTTGATCTTAACAAGGCGGACAACAAGAACAATAGAATGAACTACAACTATGCGCATAGAAGTGCTTATGGTAGTAGGACTCATCAAGATCGAGACCTTGAGACAGACGACGTCCCAAGGTACGCTTTGCGTGATTTGGCTCCGCACGAACAACTGTCACCCGACGTTGAATTAGATGAAAAAAGTTACATTCCTGAATCTGCCTTGAGACTGCATCCGGGTGAAGATGCGGAGAACGAACAAGATAGTGGTCCTCTATCGATTAGTGGGGCTCATCATGCTCATGCGACAGTGCCTTTGGCTAACATGCAGGTGACGCGGTTTCTGAGCAATGTAGTGAGGCAGACTGTTCAGGATATTAAGGAGGCTATTGTTGCCGAACGAGCTTGGAAGAAATTTGATCTCTCGCATGGACCAACGCGCTCGGCAAGACTGAAACAGTAAAGACTATAATAAATATGTTGATTTTCCGAAAGACACCTCCCTGATGATATTAAAATAAGTGGTTTGAATACTAGTAAAGTCAACTACCAATGTTTCACGTAAGAAGCATCACTTATTTCACATCAAACCTTCACAGGTTTTTCGCGGTGTGGACGATTCTCGGTCACGGTACCTACGAGCTCCGCCTCCATTTCGACGATGGTCAATATCTCGATGTCTCCTTCGAAAAGTCGTCGCGTGGTTCTACGCTTCAAATCCTGCATCACCCAGCAGTGGAGGATGATCGCAAACATGCTGGGTCTGTCCTTCTCGGATTCTCGTTTCCGCATTTCCTGAAGCTGAATCGCGAACTAGCCGGTTTTTCTCTCACGCCCAACCGCGAAGGGTCCCAGATCTACAAGATCTTAGAACAAAATGGGCTGCTGCCAGAACTTCAGTACAATCTGGATGAAGGAAGTCCATCTTCTGCTGTTCACACTGGTGCTGCGAACAAGAATATCAGAAAAAATGCAGCAGGAGGAGCAACGAGAGAGGACCAGCTAGCAGCCTTGTACAGTGCACCGCAGAGCAACATCGCCACTTACCACGAAGATGACGACATCAGTGAGCTTGGCGCTTTCGGGCCCCATAGGACGCCATTCAACAACTTTCCATCCACTACATCGTCGCTGTATCATGATGAAGATCTTGATTCGCAACTAGCTCTTACTCCTCAGAAGTCCACCGCTTCCGGATCTTCACCCAGTGGCTCATCAACTAACCAAGGTGGACCGCAAGGCCAAGGCGCATCTTCCTCGTCCATCCTCGCCGCTTCTGAGTCCTATTTAGTCAGGTCAGTGGACGTCCTATCGCGTAGAACTACGGATGAAAAATTGCGCAATTTTGCCGATTTTGAGGTCTTGGTGATGGCCGATAACGGTTCGAACGGTAGTGTGGATGCGGAGTTGGGAACTAAGATTTTAGAACGCTACGTCGATGCAGAAGTCCCGGCTGAGGAGAGACTGCACAAATTGCCGGCGTTGAAATTTCCGGAAGTTTTGCCACCTGATTTATGGCGCTGGGCGCTGGAAGAACGCGTTTGTTTAGTATTCGTAATGGATGCTTTTCATCATCTTCTCGTGGTTGATGACCTAGTTTGTTTCGATTGATACTATTCTTTCAAAGTTAATCAGATTCTCATTCTTTGAGAGGTCTTGGTAAAAATTTCTTCAACGCTAACAAAAGGCGCATGCTTCGGCGTTGTGCTCGCCTTTATCGTCACTGCGATTCGGAACTTTGGTATCGGTGCTCAGCTGAAACAACACTTGAGTCCTCAGTTGGGACGAGAGACGAATGCGACGACGACTATACCGCTTGATAGTATTGCAGAAAACATGGGAGAGGATGATGAGGAACAGGAGGTGGTAGATACAAAACAACATCTTCATCTTCACAGTCTTGATGAGAAGAAATCCTCTGCTTCCAAATCGTCAAGTAGTAAGAATGCGGACAAGAAGAAAAATAAAGACACCACGGCCAACGAACAGCACAACGATAAGAACACGCAAAAAATTCTGAGTCAACAAATGATGTTACGCGAATCTGCCCAATTGGTCCGATCCGGCGACGCTTCCTCTAGCCTCAACTTTCTGTCTACACTTACCACGCCAGCCAGTGTGAACCGCTTTCAAAGCCCAAACATGCTTCATCGCACGTTGCAAGCAGTGTTTGAGTCTGCTATCTACTTCGATCGCGCAAGACACAAATCGATTGGGAGCCACTACGGAAGAATCATCAACGGCCTCGCAAACATCTTTGGTTTCGAAGTGGGCGCGCCAAGGATCTACTTATGTTGAAAGCGAGTGATGTATATTTTGTTTCACGCATACATTTAGTTGTAGTTGACACAATTCTCCGCAAAAAACGATTTGCTCGACGTCCCATGTGTATCTCCTCCCATCTTGATCTTCTTTACCTTTACGATCCAATTGGAATATATATTTGTTCTCTTTCCCAAGTGAGTCCCAACGGAGCAGCGAACCCCTCTTCATCTACTTATGTTGAATGCGACTAATGTTAATGATTATACTTCGCACATCCATGATTTAAGCAGTTGACCTCATTCTCGACAACAAATAGACCGATCATCTACATCTCATGTGCATCATCTCCTCCCATGCCCCTCTCTGCAAACGGATTTGAATATTTTTTCTTCCCAATGTGTCCTAACCCAACCCCTCTCCCTTCTTCATCACCACCCTTGCAAGACGCCGATTTAGCGTCTGACGTCTTTGAGGAGATGCCTGATGGCCTTTTTGTTTTCACGATCGGCAAGGATGGCGACCAACACGCCCTAGCTATTGCGAAGGCGAAAGGCGATGTTCTGCTATTGGAGCCGAATCAAGGGTTGATGTTATGACGTTATAGTATTTGAGGAAGTTATAGTTCGTTTCTATTATGAATGATTCCGGTATTTGGTAACCTAAATTTGATCACAAGGGTTCTCTTCTTGTTTTCCCTTATGATCAAATTCAGGTTATCAAATACCGGTAGCACACATATTATTCGTTCAGCGGGTCGAATTCGTCAGGGAAATCTTAGGCAGATTGCCGAGTAGATTTGCATCATCTGTTCGCTTGTATTATTGTACTGTCTTTGTCCATCTCCGCGGCTCGTTGCTTTTGTCATTTTGTTAAAGAGTCAGTTAGACTCAAAATAAATATATATATCTTCGATGCAACCCACATCTTCTTCCTCTAACAACCTACTTCCAAGTGCAGGCAGCGGAGAAGTTGCGCCCTTACTTGGAGGTCTACGAGAACCTGGCATCCCGTGATGGCATTCAGCGCCATAAGGGAAAATTGTACCCCGTCATCGGTGTCCGCGATGTCGATGAGACACTGATGAAGAGAGCGGAACAAGCGAATGAAAAACCGTAAAAGTGGGATGTTTTTCGCAAGGTGATTTTGTTGGAAGAGCATAGGGAGGAACTAAATTCTGAGTCGGAACTACTAGAATCTTTTTTGTCCAACAGCCGATGGGGAAGATGTGTAGTGCTTCATGTCCTCATAAAAGATAAACACGACGATAAACACGCTCTGCATATCAGAAATACGCATAAGAATCAACATATGCAATGTATAGAATAGAGAACAACTTTTGGTTGAGGACCCTGCGGACGATTCAAGAAAAGTAGCCTGCTATAGGGAACGTCAGCGTGAAAGTGCATAATTACTTACTAGTGTCACACAGTCCTGCATAAAACTTTTTCTCATGAAATATACTTCGACTCATAGACTACATTCAGGTATGAAAAATAGTAGCCCTCTGTAGATTGCGAAACTCAACAAAATTTTCAGGTCATTCGTACTCGTTGTGATGAAGAAATGCCATGTTCTCAGTTACTGTCTTCTTTTCCTTTCCCGTCAATCATCAACCATGCCGTAACTAGACGTGTTAAAAAATGATCCGTACTGCCCTTCGATCTATTTATGAATACTTTTTATAGCACGAACACCATGTAATTGCTTTGCCGGTCATCTGAATCTTCCGCTAGTTCTTAAGAATATATCGATTACTCAGTGAAAGGAAGAATGTTGTCTGCAGTCTGTCAAACGTAAAACAGCAAGAAGTCTTCATGTAGGTAGTCATTACTATCAGCATAAAGTTGTCCGTTGAGGATAAAAGTGAGGTTGGCAATTTTCTAGAAGCAGGTCTCTTATATTGTATGCCATCGACGGTGTTCAGTCGAATCTTCAAGATGAAACCCCATTTAAGAGGTATGCTGTCTGTCAAACACAAACTTTGTGCATAAAAAACTACTGTTGTCTGCGAAAATCAAAGAAACAAGCACACTCCCGCATGCGTCGCAGAGTCCGCACAGGAAAGAGCATCTTGCTCGAGCAGAGTGGCCGCGATTGGAGGGGACGCATGGCGTTAGATGCATCTTGTGAGTCGTTATCCTCATCTGTTGGGCTTGTCAGTGCGCGCGCGCTCTTATGCTCCGATCTGTCTTCACGCACCTACTATTTACTAGTGAAATAATCTCGTTTCATCGCACATGGAATAGACGAAAGAGAGCCGCTGCAGCCGTATGGCAATGAAGTTTTCTTTTCAATCGGTGAAAGTTTCCGAGCGTAACATTTCCAAAGAAACAAAACTGCCAAAAAAAGCGGTGTAAAAAAACCGAACTGCAAAAACGTTACTTTCTTAGACAAGGTAACCCCCACTCCTGCCTCTCCAAAAAACGCATCGTTCTTCAAACAAAAGTCTAAAATGAAAATGCTTGAGATGTGAAGACGTCACTGCAGCAACTTTCATAAAAGACAATACCAGTCTTTTTAAAAAATGGGCCAGTGCTGGCCCCGAAGCGGGCGGCCGGTCGGCCCCGTAGATAATACGATAGAGCAGGAAGCAGCTGTAATAAAGACTCTCAGCACGACTGAGGAAGAGCAGAAGATAGCTGCAGCACAGAGCAAGGGAAAGAGAGGAGGGGTATGATTTACTTTACATCGAAAAAATGGGAATTGTTTTCTTCGACAAGTTGTTGTACAGGGTAGGTAGTAATAATAGATGTGCATCAGCTAACAGCTTCTTTACTACATTTCTTGGAGTTGACCTTCTACGTCGTACTCGTAATCAACGATAATTGACCCTGAAACGAGCACCTATCTGGAAACTAACAACAAAAAACTTCATACCTCTTCCGAAGTTGTACAGGTTTCCGCCGCCCATCTTTCCTCGGACCAGATTCACAATTTCAAGCGCCCTATCTACCCCAAGACCCCAGAGGAGGCAGCCCAACTCAGACAAATTATTCAGGACAATGAGAAGTTGCAGGTCCTATTTGGCCATCTAGATGAACAGGCCAGAGATCATGCGGTTGATGCGATGAGGAAAGTGCAAGTAGCCTGTGGAGAGTCGATTATTCAACAAGGGGATCGAGGAGACGCGTTTTATATCGTGGAAACTGGCAGTTTCGGAATTTTTGTGGCACGTGGAGCAGCAGCGTCAGCGATGAAAGTGATGGATGCAGGTACTATAATTAGAAGCTATCAGAAGCTCTTCTTCTAGATGATGCAAATAATCATTCAACGAGCACCATCATTCAACAATTTCAGCTAGCTGTCTTCTCCTCAACATCAGGTCCCGGCGCTTGTTTCGGAGAACTCGCTCTGATGTATGACGCTCCACGAGCTGCTACTGTAACCTGCACTAGTGACGACGCTACAGTTTGGGCACTCGATAGAGACCCCTTCCGCATCCTTCTGGTCTCTGCTCAGAGTGCCAGAGTCGAACTCTATGAGGGTTTTCTTAGCGATGTGGAACTCTTCAAAGATTTGAACCGGTACGAATTGGGGATGCTCTCAGACCTATTATTAAGGCTACCGCTAAAGCATCCTTAACGTCATCCTTGGCCTCTTTTTCAACGGGTGAGAGGGCTCAGGGATGGGCTCAGGAATGCAGCGCTGTAGCGCTAATGTTAGCGTCCGAATTGTACGAAGCAGGCGAGCCGATAGTGCGACAGGGAGAGCAGGGCACTACGATGTACATCCTGGAGGATGGCGAATGCAAAGCTTATATTGTTATGGAAGAGATTGAAGATACTTTTACTTTTAGTTGTTACAACTCGTGTTGTACTCACAGAATTGCTATTGCTCTATGATCGACATTATAATTATCGAGGAGACGAGGTTCCAACTATGCAAGAACTCGCCGCTTTGAAATTTAGTTCCACATCAACAACCACTTCGTCTAAAGTGCACGGCTCAAACGGCGAGATAGAAGTGAAGCACTACGTGAAACAAGGCGATTACTTTGGGGAAATCGCATTGATCAAGGAATGCGCAAGACGCGCTACTGTGAGAGCAAGTGGAACCGGGTGTAGCGTCTTGGTCCTGAAGAAGCAGGACTTCGATAGAGTGATAGGCCCAATCGTGGACACACTTGTGGGACTGTTAGATACATATCCACAGTATAGGGCGTTCTTTGATGAAGGGTAGAAGATCTTGATGTAGTACGTAGGTGTGATGTAGTACGTGACAACCCGATGTGATGTAGTACGTAGGTGTGTTTGAAACTGAATCCAATCGATTACCTTGGTTGCAGTGCGACACCAGGGGGCTCTAGTACTACTTAGGTTTTGATGTTTCCATCAAGAATGACGACATTTGCATTAGTTTGAGTTCTATCTTAGCGAGTTCTTCTTAGTATGGAACGAGTGCAAGTGCTTTTTCTAGTAGAAACAGTAAGACTAACAACGAACACTGTGCACCTTTCCATCAGACCGTGCTGCGGTATCTGATATTATTCATGTGATTCTTTCTGCAAACCACAAGTGCAGTATCCGCTGATTTCTACTCACTCTTGCTTTTTAGTGACACGACCCAAAACATGCATCATCACCGCCTCAATATGCATCATTCGCAGGAATTCAGCGTTGATTTTTTGTTGTTGTTGTTGCTTCAGCACGTACGGGTGCAGGAAATCAGTCCGTCTTATGACGAAAGAGCCCTATGATCAAGATGATCAAGATTTCTTTGAACGCCAGCAACAACAGAAACATTTTTCCAAGAAGAACAAGAAATAGACAACGCCAACACCTTTTACAAACTCTTACAGCACTTAACCTCCGACTCGTTTCTAGAACCACAAGAACCATACACGAAAAGGATGTTTCGACGTCCACCATACCAAAAGAATGAACTAAGTATCGCTTCAAGAACTACGTAAAAGCGACTGGAAAACCGCTGCACGGCACATGGGTTGTGGCGTCTCGAAACACGGACAAGCTGGAGTCTTGTCTCTTGCAGGCAGTGAGTACCAAGCAGAGCAGACGGATGATATATTAAGGGTAGGTTAAAGGTGCTTTTCTTACCGCTTTTTATGCCTCTCCTAAGGAAGAAAGGCATAAAAAGCGGGGTAAGCGAGCACCAAAAACCTACCTCTAAATATATTTGCCCGAAGTGGCAGTGGTGAGTATGGGTGTGAGAGGACGACCACTATGACAGGACTGTAGTTCTTCAGATGTGTTTGATGCCTATCCCAAGAACTTGGCAAGAATTGAATTTCAGAATTCATTGTCCTATCGGAGCATTCGAATCATTTATACTAGAAGTAGTACCACGATTTTTACAACGCTCTTCCACACATTCCTTCACCGGTATCACAGTACTACAACTCTAATCCCAGCGGAGGTGAAGGGTTCGACGGGCATTCCGAGCTTCTTGCAGAGGAAGTTTTGCAGGCGACGGGCAGAATCATCTCAAACATCGGAGCCTTGTCTGACTACGTGGAACAAGAACGTTCGAATGCTGTGGTGCTTGTGGAGGAACAGAGGAGGAAGTTAAGGCGATGTTTTAGAATGTGTTTGGGAGTCAAGAAACGCGTTAGCAACACTCTATGAAGATTCTAAGAAACGAAATCCTCCACAAGCTTGCAAGGAAGATCGCGGAAAAAAGGCCATTTTTGGACCACGCCATCGACAGGAGGAAGCTACGTGCTGAGGACGCCACAGTCAAAGGAGATTTGATCATAGTGGAGACGTCGAGTAAAAAAGATGCAACAAGTATTAAGGGTAGGTTATAAAGGTGCTTTTGTTACCGTTTGTTATGGCTCTCCCCCTTAGGAGGAGAAAGGCATAGCAAGCGGGGTAAGCGAGCACCAAAAACCTACCTCTAAGAGTAAGGCAGACAGTAAGACTAAAAGCTTCCCCTTCACGGAATTGAGCTGGGAGAACAACGCTCCGGTGAGTCTGAAACAAGATGTGGACGTCTTAGTTCGACAAGCCACTGAGTTTTCGCAAAAACAGATCGTCCATGCGTCACAGGACTACTCGCCGCCACCGGGGGTGCCCATTGCTACTACGTCTAGAAGTAAAGAGTCATTACGAAGTGGCGCAACAGCAGGCGCAACAGCAACTACAGGACCCGGAGCAGGCGCTTCTACTAAACAGCAGAGTAATAAATCAGCTTCTTCTGAGGGTGGAGGAGGTGGACTAGGATTGGATGAGGATGATCCACCTGGAGGTGGCATCCATGGTGCACCAGGAATTGAACATCCTGACCCTAATGATAGTACCTCTCAACAGCCAGCTAGTGGTGCCGATGATCAGAGTCAGACGAAATATCTAGTACTGAAGAAAGGCGAGTTACTAGAACCTATCTACAAAACCGAGCACTGGTGGTATTGCAGAAGGCTAGCTGATGAAACAGACGGATGGGCGCCCGCAGCCATACTACAAGAACTAGGCAGAATGTTTCGCGATTTCACTGCGCCAGATACTATGGCAGAAGAGGATCAGGAGAAAGAGCATGGAGCAATGTTGTCAGTCAAGAGCGACGAGGTAGTCCAAGTGATCATGCGTCATTACAGTGGGTGGTGTTTTGCGAGGCAGACCCAAGACCCCTATGGCGAAGGGTGGCTGCCGGATGCGTATATAGTACCTACCTCGGAATCTCGCGACAGTCCAGAAATAAGACCATTCGTGCAACAGTTGAAGAGTATGGCTTGGGGAGACAGGGGAGACTGGAATAGAAAAAATGTTCAACCACGCTAGCGCTACGGACAGGAGAGCTAGGAAATGTCTAAATACGACCTAGATTACGTAGAAGAATCTCCACAGAGAGAAGGACTTCGAGTCGTTAGTTTGGTTTTCCCCAATTTTACGAAACAAGTCTTTCTCCCCCATTTCATTTCCCAGTACACGGTCGTCCAAGAAAGTTTGACGAAAATCGTGGAGACTGCGAGACAAGCGGACCAATCTGTGCGATTCGTTACTAGTGCGAACAACAGTGTAGTTGGAGCTGTCGGGATGGGCGAGAAGAAAATGCAGCTCTTCGATGAGCAAAAGATCATGGTCCAGCTCTCCCAAATCATAGAGCAGCTAACGACCGAAGTCAGGCAGATCTGCGACGCCCTATACGGAGCTCAGGATTATAAACCGGAGAGAGTCGCCGGACAACAGGGGGATTTGCCACTGGCTAGAGTAGAATGGCTATGGGAAACAGAGGAAGGACAGTTGGAGGATTGTTTTGTTGGCGAAATTCTAGTGGTCCTACATCAAAACGTGGATGAGTGCGGATGGACATTTGCGAGGAGTGAGGAGCGAGAACAGGACGGCTGGGTACCAGAAGATGCGCTGAACTATGATGATCTGTCTTCAATCTACACTGGTGACGATCTTGGGCTTTCTTCGCGCGGCGCATCAAAACGCACAAGCTCTTCTTCGAAAAAAAGCTCCAAAGAAGTTCCATTTGTAGCAGTCAGTGCCCTTCCACCATGGATTGTTAAGGGTGCGCGCGCTAGATGGTGGTCTAAAAGCCAGAGCAAGTACGTTCCGGTCACAGTTTCTGAGGTAAATGCTGCCAAGCAATACGTCTATGTGATATTTGTGGGCAACACGGATGCTTGGAAAGCCGTGCGGTTTTACGAGTTAGTGCATACTCCAGACGCGTGCTCTTTGCAGGACGTAGAGGAACCAGGTGTAGAGGACTTCCTAGGCGATGTGGTGCAAGGCGTGCAGGACATAGTGCAGCAAGATCTGGGCAACACACTAGAAGGCACGACTGCCGACAACAGCACGACTGGACTGGATTTGACTGACAGTGAAGCAGGCAGTATTGGAAGCGACGAGGATGATCGGTCTGGGAGTCAACATCAAGGAGGTCAACATAGTCGAGATGGAGAAAAGCAGGTCACGACTAGTACTGACGGAACTCACATCAATCTCAAAGATGACCAGTTTAGAAGGGGTTGGGGTTGCGACCCCGATGGTTCACCACCACACACCAGAGATCAGGAGAATTTGAGCGGGCGTGACGCAGGAGGAGTCCCATTCTTTGGCGCAGAACCAAGCGAGGGTTCTGCGTCACCAGGCAAAGCAAGCGGGCGATCGCCAGGCGGTGCCTCGACTCAACACTTCTTTGCTGCGCAAACGCCGCCTGCAGCAGGTGGCACTGCGCCGCATTTTGGAGGAGATCCCGCTACTTCAGTGGAGAAGAACTTCCAACAGAGTACCTCTAGAAGTGACATTGGAGGAATCGAAGGGCTGACAGCCAGGTCACTTGCCAGTCCAGAGGAGAGACGGAATTCGATTCCTGCGGTACCTCCACCAGCCTTACCACACGATGGCGGAGTACCACCTCCACCAGTAGCTGGGATGTCAGGCGTGCAGCTCTTTTCGCCAGGCAAAGTTGCTCTAGGTGGAATAGGGGCCACAGCCAGTTCTTCAACACCTGGTGGCGCTGGTTCTGCTCCGAATCAAAATAATCCTAGTGCAGCAGGAGCAGGGCCATCATTCCTAGATATGCAGTTGGGAGCGACGTCTGTACGGGAATCGGCTACTACAGAAGCTGGTAGAACCATAAGTCTAGATGGCAGTCCATTAAAATTGTTGCAAGTGGACCGTAGTGACGTCAGGGTAATGTCAGTTAGCAGTAGGGAAGAGCTCTCAAATCTCATATCGGGTTCGTCGCCAACAAAACAAGGAGGGGTAGAGGAGGAAGGAGCAAATGTTGGGTTTGGGATGAAGGAAGGTACTTATATATTTGCATACTCGTTTACTTACAACTTGTCTCCATTGATCCTGTGCACGCACAGAAAACATTTTGTCGCATCGGATGAACTATGGTTTCACTTTCATCCTAACGAGCGACTTACTAAAAACAAGAAGAAATCGCACCTATTGCAGTACCTTTTTTTCCTGTTGCAACTCAACTCAACTACAGTTACTGCGTCCTCTCCGTCCCGGCGAGCCGCTGAGGCTGTTACCCCTCTTGGGGATGCGCCCAAGGCATTCGAATCAACGCGTGACATTAGGTCAGCAGAGGTTCTAGTCGACGCCACGGGCAATGTTGTCCTTGACCCCGCTCGCGGTAATCAGCCTATCCTTGCTAGTGAATTACAACCTACAGAGGGAGATCAGCCTACAGAGGGTTCTGCACCGCCTTACAAAGTCCACTTCGTGTACGTGGATCCAGAATCCAACACGATCACTGGAAAAGCGGCTGTGCATGGCGACGGCTCACCCAAAAAACTGGATCGGTCAGCCACTACAATAGAGGTTCGTGGTTGTGTCGTCGATAAGGAAACGAACGCCCAAGTTGCACTGTTGTCTCCGGAGAAGGAAAAAACGACTGTCCGGCTCCTTCTAAACGGGGAAGAGCAGACCGTGTTAGGCTACACGGCGAGTGCAGATTTGACGCCACCGCGTTCACGTGCTGTTTCGCCGGAGAAGGGTGTGATGATGACGGGGGGAGGTACAGCACATGAGGTACCTCCTGTATCGGGAGAAGGAACAACATCAGACCAACCTCCCAGTGCTAGAAACGAGCTTCCGAAGACGGCTAATACCAGTGCATCCCCGTCAAAACAAGGCTCACCGATGGGCTTATCAACCACAACCGCGCCAGCTTCAGGTACCAATCCACAGGGGTCGCCTGCCAGTGACAACAACGACCGCGATGCAAGAACGGCTGCGCGGAAGCGTGAAAGGCAAGAGCGAAGGCGAATCAAGGCAGCGACGAAAATCCAGGCCTACGTGCGCATGTTTCTAGTTTTGAACCGTGCGAGGAGGAAGAAGACAGACGCCATCAACGTAATCAAAAGTCGTTTTCGAACGCGAAGTGTCATGTGGCTTTTACATCGCTTGCTTTACAACTACTCTGCGACAGTCGTCCAGAAGCGATTTAGAGGCGGGAAAGGACGTGCAAGAGCAGCGAAACTCCGGAAAGAGTTTGAGGATCGACGATTAGCGAAGATAACGCATGATATGGAGTCAACGGAGCGGGTGCTAGAGATGATAACGAAACTACAACAATTAGACGACGCTTTAGACTTCAACGAAGCAAACAAGGGCTTGAACTCGAATTTGGAGAATGAAGAAGGACTCGAACAAGTACTCGATGGTCGTCAAAATTCTAGAAATATTGCCGGAGGCAACAACACTAGCGCAAGTATGTGCATGACACCTGTAGTTTCTTCAACATCAACTGGGTCACCGACTACCACGACAGCAGGCACGATGCGAGCACTACATATGGCCTCGCCTTCGGCTGTGGTTGAGGTGCTTTCGTCACCGTTAGAGCCGTGCGATTCGCGCAGTCTCTTAAAACTACAAAGAGCCAATAGCAAAGGCTCTTTGCCAGATGGACAAGGAGGAAAGATGGTCTTAGTTCCGTCGTCTAGTTCGGGAGTTCCTGGTAGTAGCGAAACACCCAAAGCTGCCATAGGTCTAGGAAAGCGTGGACGTACCATGGTTTTAGCGGGCAAGACAGCGGAGATGCGGAGGAAAGAGCGAGCACTTTTTGATGAAGCAGTGGCTGCGAGAACCAGGTTGTTGGAGACCCAATTAGCTGAGGAGTTCGCTACGGAAAGCGAAAAACTTGCGAAGAAGTACGCAGCACGAAAAAATCGCCTCACCAGTCCTGGTGAGGAAGCTTCCACGAGGGGATCAGACCTTGACCAATGGTTCGAACAGCAAAGCGCCATACTAGACACGGAGTTTCAGCCAGTGCGGGAGTACAGATTAGCCCGAGTCACGCAGCGAGGAGCAAGATTAAGGGCAATGCACGACTTAGCAGATGCTTTTGTCGGCGTCCCTCTCGACGGGAACAAAGATATCGAGGTCAAAAACGTCGCTGTGATCCGCAAACTGAGAAGAGAGTTGCTTGATAGCACTGATCTGGTCCTCGATGAAAATACCGTAGAGAAAGGAGCTTTGCCACCGTTCTTGTCCTACGTCGCGGAGTGGGTTTCCTCCTTGACCCTGGAGGGCGAGTGGCCAGCTACGATGGGCACGAGGCAGCAACGCAACAGCCTGTTTTTGCAGAGGATGGCGTCGTTGTTGGTGGCCCTGAAGAGGCGCTTAGATTCTGTCAAAGAGAAGAAACTCGCTGAGGAAGCCCTAGCTGAAACGCACGCATGGGACGAGGACTTCGTAGCTACGATGACAAAGCAGGAGCGGAGGGATCGAGCTGCGTTCTTGGCTCAGCAGCTGTTTCAGAAACAAGCGAAGATAGACAAAGACTTCGAAGACCAAAGGACGAAGAGATCGCAGAAGACGGAAATCGAGCTCCGGAATCTGTACAACGAGCAGATGGCGAGACTGCGCGGCTTGTTTGGTTTTCACTTGGAGAGATTTCGAGATACACTGTCACGTCTGGAAAATCGAGTCGCGGACATGGAAAAGACGGGCGCAGGAGAAGCAGCGGAGAAGAGGAAAGAGATATTATGTTGACCACGGCTACTTTTTTATGATTCAGTTCGGTATGATCCCTTTCACGTAGCGCCAGCTGGTACTCTTTTCACTTGCAGCTGGTGCCATTGATGTTCTACCACACTTACTTACTTGATATTCATGTACAGGGCTAGTAGTAAGTTCGTTGTTGTACTTCTCTTCACCCTTTCTAATCTCTGCCGAGAAAGTGACCACTCTACAAAGCGACATGGAGCGGAAGCAGGGGGTTAATCGGGACATCGCCAATTGCGCAATTCTGATCCAAATTGAAAAGGAGAGATTGGAGGGCATTCTTTTGGGACCACATGGAGGTGCAGCTGGAGGTGGTGGAGCGTCGTTATGTTGTAGTCTGACTGTCAATTCCTGTTGGTAAGTGTATCCTCGTCACAAATAAGTACTTACAAGAACACAAGAAGAGCACTCTTCTGTCCATTACGAGAACAAAGGCTTTGATGTTCTAACTTCCAACTCTAGCACAACCGTGGCGCCAAGCACTGCCGCAGAACGTGACTTGGCGATTTTCAAGGGCCTAAGGGTTGCCAGATGTGTGAAAAAGAAGCTGAAAGAGCTCGATGTCGATCGTAACGCGAAAGAAAAAGTAAGTATCTTGACCTACAGTTTGCGCATGATTGAGGCCCGTCTCCAGAGCAAGCTCTCGGCAAAGAACAAGCGTGACCCAGAGGAAGGCAAAGAGGAGGCTGAAGTGACATATGAGGGCCTGCTTCGCGATGCAGATAGAGGCGACAAGAATACACTGAGCAAAGAAATCGAGAAGAAGAGGAAAGATTGGGCACAGAAGGAGGAAGACTTCAATTAAGGGTAGTTTATCACTATCCCGTCGTGTGGACTATGCTGAGTGGGTTCCCCTTAGAATTCAACGAGCGAAACAAGGCCAAGAACCCACTGAACCACGGCTAGTGAAAAACTAGCGCTAATTCAAGGCGAGGGTAGAGCGGGAGAAGACTAGACTACGAGAAAGGGAAGAACGACAATTGAGGAGACGCATGCGACAAGTGTTGAACGCACAGCGGACGCAGATCGACAGGGTGTTTCGACCGAAGTTCAAAATCTTCGAAAATCTGCCCTCGGTGTGGCGGGAGAAGATAGTACTGATACTAGAAGTCTCTGTAGCTTTGTCCCGCTCTTTCTGATGTAGGTTAGTTGGCCTTGTCCTGCTCTTTCTGATCATGGAAGTAGGAGGAGCTTATATATAAAAACTGGTTCTTTTTACTACCTTCAACCAAATGGAAAAGGAGTGGAATCCAATTCCATAGTCACAATCATCACCACACGCCATCAAGTCGCCATCAAGTCCCACTCCAGGCCAAAACAGCGGAGCCCCTTCGCTTAGTTAGGTTGGGAAAAGAAGTGGGAGACGTTCTGGTGATCGAGGTAAACCGCTTTCTGAGCAGACGGCATCACGAGTATATGAAAGAAAGCAAAGCCCTAGAGGAGATGGGGGCAGCACTCACACTGGAAATCCAAAGATGTAACCGCTTCGATTTGGGGACAAGTGTTTTTAGGTACTTGTGATTCTTGAGTTTGAAGAGAGAGTTGTAGGGTCTGTTTTTTTAGGTACTCTTCCCGCTCCAAAGAACCTTCTGATCCAACACACGTGCTCTTCACCCTTCCCTAGTGAAAGCGAGTGGACTCGCGAGGCGTACGGTGGACTTACATCCGAACTAGAGGCTTGGACAAGCGGAGTGGCGAAATACAAACGCGTGTTGGACGAAAAGCTAGAAATCGAGGAGGACCCAGAGGACGATATCGATGTGGAGAGTCGGAGAGGAAGTGTGCGTAAGAATCTCTTTTTAGAAGTCTTACTCTTTTTCAGATTTTTTGACTTTGTTCTACGTATTTGATTTTGGATTTTGATGATGGGAGCTTGATTCCTGTAGGCTCATAGTTTGTCACGATCTTGTTGAAGAGACGATCGTCATCGTTGAAGAACACGATCTCAGATTGTCTTCATCAAAAAGTTATATCTTCATCGTTGAAGAACACGATCTCAATGAGAAACTGTCTTCATCAAAGTCTTCTAGATCATCTTCGACAAATAAACAGGTCTTGACAGCGCAGTGAATACCTCAATGGAGGTTCAGTCTGATAGTGACGGGGATCAAATAGACACTCCTCGAGCCGGTCCAGGCCGCTCAATAGCACACCATTCTACTGGCGGCAAACTTCTCTCTGTGCCGAAAACTGGAATTAAGACTTCAAGATGCAAGTTGATCTCTCTCTCTCTGTTGAGCATATCTGTATGACTTATCGAGGAAGCATCTATATTTATAAGGAAGTCCTCATACAAATACAATGAAAGATATACGCGAAGATAGATTGGTAGGTCAATGACTTTTTGTGAGCTCTAATGCAGGAGAGAGCGCGAAACACCACTCGTCTTCTGGTAAATCTCCATCCTCCCAACAAGCTAGTCCCGATCCCAGGAAGCGAGGTGGAGGTGGGAGACGATCTTCTTCAACGAATCATAGGAGTGGTGCTGTTACAACTGGAGGTAGTAGTGGTGTCGGTGGTCCAGGTGGCGGTCCTACTGGACAAGTAGATACGACTAGTGGCGATGCAGAAGTCCGCACAAAAGCTCAACTTCCGAAATTCCCTGGCATGTTGAAGAAAATAGACCCAGGAACGGGACCACCGAGTGCAAGCAAAAACGACAATCCTCCACCTAAAGGGAGGTAAGGCCTGGGGTTAGTTTTTGAAGTTGAATCGAGTTCGAAATGTTCTTTGACTACATTTGATACTTGAGGATGATTGAAAGACGTCATCAAACTGTTTCAGGTTAGTTTTCGAGCATCAATAGGTGGTTTAAGGCAGAGGTAGAGACATCGGTTCTTTTGTATACGACTTCAATCCTCTAATCCCAAGGCGGCAACCCGCCTCCTCCACCGGTGAAGTTTGACATGCCAGCACCGCATCCTTTTTCCGCGTCGGGGATGAGTAGTCAGGCGCCTCCCGAACAGACTTCGGTGGCGGCGAGACGCAAGCCGAATTTGATGCTAAAGGAACTGGATCAGGGTTTGGGGGATTTGCAGAAGTTCGTCACCGCAGCAAAAAGCAAGCAAGCTCCAGCGCCGCGGAAAGTCATGCGACAACCTATGCCGCAAACACCGATGTTCAAAGCATAAGAGACTCGTTCTTGAAGTTCAGCGGTATGCTTTATTTGTAAAGACTAGAAGTACGGGAGATATTAACATTGACATTCGCATCCATTCCTTTTTCTTATAACGGACAACTGACAGAAGCAGCAAGCTTGGACTTGATGATCTGATCACATTTTCTAGTATCTATCTGTTGCGCTTATATTTTTCAAATCGACGATAGTACAAATTCACTATATGTCATCTATCGAACAAGTTGTAAAGTAGAATCAGAATGAGAATCACGACTATCAAACGAGAATCTTTTTTCATCGGGAGGAATTTTGAGTAGAATCGAGGAGGAAACGCAAACAAGGCTTATAGGAGAGCCATCTAACCGTTGTAGAAGTGAGTGGTTTTACGTAGGTCAGTGGGCTTCTTTTTTTGTTTCAGTGAGTTCTTGTTTTCATAATTTGTAGTGTGCGTACTCTACGGAGCCAAGTAAGGTTATAACAATGTTTCGATATTTCTACAGTATCACTTTCCAACGCACTTATCAGTATCTTTTGTTTCCAATACCCTATGCGTAAGCGTAATCCTCTCCAATCCAAAACGAGAATGGAAGGGTAGACGGTTTCTTTTTTGCGTGTTAACAGTTCCAGCTGCACCACAAATCCATCGACTTGAGACCCTCGCTGGCCGTGCGTATCATGGGAAAAAGACCACGTCGTGTTCTGCTTTCCTTCGGTTCCACATGTTCTTGGCCTGCGCCCTGTGACCTCACGATGGTGTGTTTCTCTCTACGTCGCATACGCAGTGATGTGCAAAAAAATTCAAGAAGAAGAAGATCTGCAAGGTGATGAACCGATGATGACCTGCCTCGCACATCACGAAGGTGAAGAACGTGAAGGTGTGGTCTCTACGTACTGGACCTCGTGAACAACATGATGAGCTTTCTCTTCCACCATGGTTTCTGTGCTGATGATAATCTGCGGATACTGACTTGATGCAGATTGACCATCGTTCGAGGCGCTGCTATCCATATCCGATCCTGAGAAGCTCTTTGATCTACGTTCTTGACCACACATCAAGTGGTGTAAATGCGCATGTCCTCTGTGTAGAGCTAAAAACTAGAAACAGGACGAGCAACGATTTTGATCTTCAGTCTAAACCAACTTACATTTTTCTCCCTTGTGCGGTTTTTTACAAGATGACTAACTACTCGACAATGCCTATCCTTTGATCAATTATTATCTACGTACTACGATTTAATCCACAGCCAAACATACTACGAGGATACCATAAACAACAGCATATGTTCCATTACATTTTTTTCGGAGAACCACAAAACAATCCAGAATGAGTCGTGGCCGTCGTTCTCGCAGCCGCAGTGCTCGGGGCCGCAGCCCTATAAACAAGAACCGTTCTCGCAGTCCTATGAATGACCGCAAGCGATCCCGCAGTCCTCTAAATCGCCCAGGCCCACGAAGCCCTCCAAATCGACCCCGAGCTGCTAATCCCCCTCGTAACCGAAGCGGCCCTCGTAACCGAAGCGGCCCTCGTAACCGCAGTGGCCCTGGAAACCGTAATGGCCATCGGAGTCCTGTCAACCGCAATGGCAATCGCAGTCCAGTCCACCGTGGTAACCGAAGTCCCCCACGTCGATCTCGCTCCCCCAACAGAACTACCGCACCTTCAGCGGCATACAAAAATAGTAATTAAGGCTAGAAGAAATCCATCCTCACAGGCATCTTGGTCCCGTTTCTCAAGGGAAAAAAGACGGAAGATGCCGCTGAAGATGGATTTCTTCTAGCTCTAAAGTAAGGGCCTGACTACCAAAGTCATTGACATAACGCATGCTGATACCGCTCTTGTTCTCGGTAGGCATGGAAAATCGAAGGTGAAAATCGCCACTGCATCTGGAGCTGAGAGTATGTCAGTCGACGGCCTGAAAGTGACAGCCACAGGAACCCCAGAAGCGGTGGAGCGCGCAATCAAATACGCTAAGTTTCTCATGGCGCAGAGGCATGGTATCTATAGGTGCTTGCATGTTTGGGCTTAGCTTTGTCTTTGTTTCAAACTTGACCAGCGAGGGTTAGACATGAAATGCATGACCATGACCGTACCAAAAAAGAAACTGCTTCCACGTGAAGTAGCTGATCTTCACGTCAGTACCCAATTGTCCCTAAAATCCAGCTGAATCCCACATCCTTCTACCATAGTAGTACTAGTAGTACTCAAGAAGACGCGTGGTCCACGAAGAAATAAGACTTCAAGTAAAAAAGAGTACTTGTTGCACCTTCATCGCCACGTACCGAAAAATTGTCCCTAAAATCCAGCTGAATCCCACATCCTTCTAGGTCCGGTTACAGTGAGTAACGACAACCATAATAATGGAGACCTGACATTGCTCGATGTCCCAAACGACGCTGTGGGATTCGTAACCGGTCGCAATGGCAACTTCTTGCGGACTATTGAAGACGAATGGTCAGTTCTCATGTTTTTCGCGGAATTCGAAATCAAGAATAAAGTTAAGAAGCAAGTACGTAATCGGGATTCTGGATGTACCTGTAGATGTGTTCATGTAAACATAATAAATTACATTAAAGTTCTTCTTCTTCTCCCACTTGTTCCAGTAGCTGCTGTTGTGTTTTCATCTCATACATAGTTAAAGCTCTTCATTAGTCGGGCGTCTTGGTAGATGTGTCAATCTTCCTCTCTGTGTCTGTCTCATCTAAAATCAACGGCCAAACAGAAACTAAGGGTGGCAAGCGTGGATCTCCTATTGAGGTGCTAGCGATTTTTGGGTCGGACCGTCGGAATCGCCGAGGCGCAGAATTGAAGATCCTTTCCGCGATTGAGACCAAGGTGCCAGGTTGGTATAAGGAACGCGAAAAGGAGATCCTTGATCGGGATAAAGATTATGGCTTCTTGTAACTACTAGTCCTAGTAGTTTCAAAATAAGTAAGTGCAAGTATAAGTAGTAACATTAACTACATATTCGATGTGCAGGGTTCACAACCTAACCTAACCTACATATTACAGATACATATAAATTTTATTTACATGGACGCACGTGCAAGGAGTAGTAGGTTGCAGCTGCTGGAGGTGTAAAAATCTATTTTCGAAAGTACTACCTAGTTGTATTTCCTCTAATTGCGAGGAGACGAGTGGAAGTCAGGCACCATGGAGTTCGAGGACGATCACCAGCTGTCGTTCGCACTAGGAAAACAAGGAGCCACGCGACGCAAATTGGAAGCGGCTAGTGGATGTTTATTGCAATATGTTGGAAGTCACGCGATTTTCACAGGTACAATTAATACATATCAGAGAGACATTTGATGATGATGTGTGTCTGCATTATTCACGGTAACTACGCTGACGTAGAGGGGTTCAGGCTTGTTCGCAAAAGAATACAAAAGTATGGTGGAAAAGATAATGAAAGATCATGTTGGGACCAGAAAAAATAAGAGAAAAGCACCGCCTCTCAAGAACTTCTTCAACTAGAACTTCAAAGAACCTCAGACTCAGAGTCACTCTCGTAGGTACAAAGCACCAACGGAAAACACTGCGACAGTATATGAAATGGCTTTTTGCTCAGTTAGACGGACCAGTTGACGTGCCTGATGCAGCAGAACGGGATGACTGCACGATGCTCAAGATTCCACAGGTACTATTGTGATGATGCAGGTCACACTGTGGACGGCGAACCACCTCCAATCCATAGGCTCGTCGTCACTGTAGTACTCGTAATTTATTATACGGTAGTCCAGCCCGTAGTATTCAGTACAATTTTAACGTTCAGGTAATTGGCATCGACCAAGAATTTTCTGATCTAGGAAGTTTGACTTGTAGATCTTCAATATCTCAGTCGGCTTATTACAACAACTTTGACCTTCGTGATCGGCTAGTGATTCGACCATGGAACTACGACACGAACTTTTTATCTACCAACTACTCTTCCCACAACCCCGAACATCAGGCATGCGTCGGCTACATTACTGGTGCCCGCCGAGCCGCGCTTTCGACCATCGAGTTGGATTTCGGGTGCTTGATGTTTTTTACGGGCAACAAAATGGAGAAGCGTGATTACGAGATGCTTGCAATTTTTGGCTCCGAGAGCGCTCGTAAAGGAGCGGAACTGAAGTTAAGGATTTTAGTGTTCGGACCTTATCATAAGGATTTTGGTGTAGACGGAACTTATCATAAGGATTTTGGTGTAGACCTGAAAAGAAGAAGTTCAAGTTTCAAAAATAGTAAAAAAATAACTCGTGCTAATGCTACTCACAGGTGTACCACGTGAGTGTGACTGTGACAACGAAACCTCCTACAACTTACTACGTGGTACCCCGAAACTGATTCTGTAACTACCTCTTCTAATCAAAGTGAAGTCTTCCGTTGAAGCGAAGGCACAAGGATACTACAGCAATTTCCTGAAGGAGAACAAGGATGATTGGGACAAACCGGGATTTTCCACGGACATTCTTCATCTGGTGAACAACGACGTTGGATATGTACTATTATGGGTGTAACAAGGAACTCATCTCCAAAGTCATCTGGAAGAGAAAGACAAGAGGAAAAAGGAATCCAGATGATCCCTGAGATGAATTCCCGATACCTCTAATACTAGGAAAAGGCGGCGCAACAAGGGTAAAACTCGCGAACGCATGCGGATGTCACTTGCAGGTACAAGAGATTTCTCGTCTTTGTTAAGTAAAAAAGAAAAACTGAGTATCTGTTGGATACATTCGAACACAGACTGTTAAGTCGCGTCTAGTTTCTCAGTGAGAGACGCTTGAGAGTGATACTGCTTGCACAATTTGCACTCACAGCCTGAGACTAATGATCTCTGGCTGCTTTGATCCCTGTGGATGTTCATTGGGGTTGCAAGGAGGAAGTCTCAGCTTCATCATTGGGATACCATGTTGCATGGGGAAACTTTCATATGCTTCATATGGAAACGCTTATGCTATCATCATTGATTCATACGATCATCATGCACTGGCATTCATCATAGATCAGAACTGACAAGACGTTATGGACCTGGCTACAGCTATGAAACATTCATCATTTCTTCTATCTGAATACGTTGAAGGTTCTTTGCCTGCTGATCATTGATTTTGGAACTATACGCATTAAGGTCTGTAGGTTATCTCTGAGATCATTCCGGTGATGTTTTGTCCTTGACTGTATTGGGAGGCTTGAGCCACAAACGAGAGAGAGAGGAGAAACCGCCGACACCCGCGCCAACTAAGGCCAACGCGTTGAAAGTGGTGCCGGTGGGTACCTTGTTCGCCTGGCGATCTTGGTCATTTTGCTGATCTTCATCCTTGTGATCTTTGTGACATTTCGAGGATTATGACCTTGACCAACACCCCTCCTCAATCGTTGCGTGTCGAAGTCCCTAGTCTTCTGGACTACCACGGAAGTCATGTCTCCTAACTAGTCCTCTATGGCTACGGTGTACTCGGCTAGAAGCCAAAATAAACCGAATATACTACACTATAGTAAGCTAAATCATCCCCATCCATGTCATCGTCTGAGGAATCACAATCATCATACGTAACTTTATTTATCGGATTATCTACATGGTGAAGTCGTAGTCTTCGTTGAGACGAACTACATTCTAGCTTAGTTAAGCCATCAGCCTTCATTAAGTTAGTTGGACAGAAAACTATCTTACTGGCCGCATCACGCACACGCAAGTAGCGAAGTGCATAATGGCGACTCTTCGGGCGTGTGTCAGTTGCTTTAGCTGTTGTGATCGCGGATTGGTTGTCGATCCAGAGCACAGCATTGTCTAAAGAGGGAGACAAGCCGTTCTGTGTGTGTACCAACTGGGTTGGAAGAGGCCTATAGAAGTCTGTAAAGTCATGCAGTTCACTAAGCACGATAGTGTCAGAAGCTGCAATATATTCACTTTCAGCCGTAGAATAGGCACAAACAGTTTGTCGGTTACTTCTCCAAGCAATTGGAACGCCTTTGAAATACATGATCGATCCACTTGTGCTTCTCATAGTCTTTACGCAGTTGGCGAAACCTGCATCACTAAAGATATTCACCTCTGGCATATCTCTGCCTTCGGGTAGTAACTTTGAATATATTCTATTGAATTCTTCTTCTTGTTCTGGTGAGTATTCCAGTCCTTGGTCTCTCGTTGTCACCAGATACTTAAGCACTTTTCTGGCTGCTTTAACCATTCTTGTTGACGCGGGTTTGCTGACATGTCTAGCCAATGCTGCCACCGGAACAGAAATGTCCGGGCGCGCGGTTACAGCTACCCATAGCAAGGCACCAACTACCTCACGAAAGGGATACCCTTCGACTATCTTGATCCCCTCCTCAAGAAAAGCCGACTCGTAAAAATTGGGCGAGTAAACCGGTTTTCCGACATCAATTTCGAACTTCTTTGCGATTTTATCAGTGTACTCCTCCATATTGAGCCGAAATGTTCGAACTTCACGGCAGTAGTACACGATGGCACCTAAGAAGTCGAACCTGAGCCACGTTTGACCCCAAGGGGTTGGAACGGACTCCACATTAATCGCACGGCCGGGGGCACGCGAGAAGATGAGTTCTAGTTCGGTCTTGAGCTCATCAAGATCAGGACCCGTTGCAAGATTGTCATCAACGTAGACTGACACCTTGAGGAACTTCCCTGGTACCTTCGCACTCGGCTTTCTCCATAAGCCTGGCGCAGAATCACACGGCTCCCAGCCAATACTGGCTAGTATGTCGTGATATTTCTTGAACCATGCTCGTGGTGCGTCCTTCAAGCCGTATAGGGCCTTCTTGAGCTTCACGATCTCGCGTCCATGCTTCTCTGCCCAGATGGGTGGGAGACGGCAGAAGACATCGCGATCGAGTTCAGCATTGAGGAACGCAGAATCTAAATCGAACGGGATCACGTAGTCCTGTTCTGACGCAGCAGAAGTCAGGAGCAACCTATTAGCGGCGTGCGAAACTACGGGAGCAAAGGTGTTTAGCTCTCTTGAACGATCTAGATTACCGAGGACACAAGCGCGAGCCTTGTATCTTCCACATCTTTTAATAGTTAGAATTATGGCAATCGGTAGAGCCTGTCGCGCGGTTGCAAGCTCCTCGTCAGAAGCTTCTTTCCACGTTTCAAAGGCTAGCAGTCTCGCACGCTCTTTGTCAATGACCTCCCGCCACTTATCGGCATCAGGAGACTTGAGTGCTTGAGCAACAGACAAAATCACATATGATTCGACGAATTCCTCATCTTCGTCTAATTCACACATGCCACTTACTGCACTAGCGAACAGCGCCACACTCTTTCTCAGTTCTTCTAACTGTTTCTTTGTTCTTCGAACCCTGCTACCTGCTTTGTCCTTCGCTCCTTTTGGTCGGCCATGCTTCTTGACGTGTGTATGGCGTTCGCCTGCCACAACACGTGCTGGAGAAGGCGCTTTCGACTTAGACGGACTTAGCGGAGCAGATGTCTCATGATCCTTCGCTTCAGCATTCCCCTCCTTAAGTGAAACATCTTTAGGAGAGTCAGCTGCGTCGGATTCCTCTACTTTATCCAGTGTCTCAATAAATAATTCGTCGGAAATCGCGGTCGGTCCACCTGGAATGTGCTCCGTGCCAGAGAACCCCGATTGATGATCCAGCCTTTGCACTGACTGACCAAGCAAGGGGGAGCCCAGCGACGACGCGCCACTCTGCAGATTTTCCAGTTCGTCATACTCAATGTAGATGCCCTTATGATCTGGCAAAAGCCAATCAATATTCTTAATTAGGTAGTCCTCTCTGAACTTTACATCTAGGGTAGAGTATTCCGCCCATCGATGTCCAAGCTTGCAACGATCGTCATGAGCGAAAGTTCCAACCAACCAACCAGACGACTTCGGACAGAGTCCAAGGAAGACGCCACGGCGGTACTTGGCCGAGAGCTTGGGTGCAGGAGTGTTGGCTTGAATTTGTTCACGAAAGTAAACTAGACAACCAAATCGGCGGAGCATGCCGATTGAGCTCTTCGATGAGTTTCTACCAGTCCTTTCTTCTAAGATTTCAATTGGACTCTTTCCATCATGTTGAGGCATTTTTGCATAGTTATGCGGTAAACGATCCCAGCAGTCACCAGCGTACTCGACGCAGTAACACCAGAGGCGTTTATCAACTTTAGTCAGCATTGTGCGTACACTGCCGAACAAAGTCCGCATAAAACGTTCGCAGGTCCCATTCATCTCCGGATTATAAGGAACAGCCGGACTGTCTGAGACTCGCAGCGATTGCATAACTTTGGTCATGTCATCACTGCTCAGGACAGGTTCTCCATCCCTCCGGAGGAACCACACTACCTTGTCATCAAGTGATAAGGAGTAGTCCTGGCGAATGCCTTTGATAACTTCTTCTATTTCCTCCACACAGTCACTTTTCAGCTTAAGCGGTCGACAGAACACCTTCTTAATTACATCACAGATGATCACTAATACACATCTCTTTGACCTGACTGATACGGGTTTGATTCCAACAGCAAAGTCGATTGCTAGTAACTTCAATGGTTCAGGTTTGTAGTTCGAAGTATCTCTAGCTTTTGCATGTGGTGCGCGTTGGCCTTTATGTAGATCACACTCAGGGCAATTTACCTGGAGGCCATCTATATGAAAGTGCCCACATCTTCTATGAAGTTCGAGTCTTGTAAGGTAACAACTACTGACTCCTTCTTCTACTGTTGAACAAATATAACCACTATCAGTCTCTTCTTTAAATAAGTTGCATGCAAGTATGGGAAGCTGCAAGCGTGGATGACTTCTTATGGGTATGGCCTGGCCGGTGTCCGTATGTACGAGACAACCACCTGCGCCTTTGAAGTTGAATTCCCATCCTAATTGCGAGCAGTTCCCTTCACCTAACCAAGGTATAATACGATCTAAGTCCTTTGGTAGTGAATCATAATAAACACCATACTGGAGCCCTAAGATGTTTGACTTTAGTTTTCCTACTCTTCCGTCTTTACTTCCAGCGCTACCAGTAATCCTACAAGTTCTCATAGTTATTTCACTAAAATCGTCTTTGTGTCTTGAAAGATATTTGTTTGCACAACTATCGACTAGACTAACTTCTTCTCTTGTAGTAATGGAACTAGTTGAAAGACTATGTCCCACAAGTTTTACCTCCCCTGTATTATTTACGTTTATTTCTTCACCCTCATCTTCATCCAAGTTCAGCGAGCAAAATCCGCTTTCCACCGGTTCCGCAACTCAGCTCTGCTTTCCGCCGTTGAGAGCTTGCCACAGCTCCGCAACTTGGGACATGTGAACCATGCCATTACCCTTTCCACCTTTACCCATAGCACTACTAGATTGGGAATTGGTGTTCCAGTTCCAGTTTGCCTGGTTCTGTGGATTCTTCCAACAAGACGCGGATTTGTGACCCGGTTTGTTGCAGATCCAACAGACTGGACGGGTGTCTTGTTTTCCAGAACCTTTATTATTTTTGTTCTGCGGCTTTCCTTTGCCGTTCGAATTGGAGGCATAGACCTCGGCGGCGATCTTCTTCTTTGTGTTTGCCTTGAAGCGCTTGAGAGCACTTTTAGACAGAAAGATCTTACCACCTTCATTGGCCTTTTCCTCGTCATCCTCCTCTTCACGAGAACGTTTATTCGAGGTCTCCTGAACATTGACCGGGAACGCCTTCCCGAAGGAATCGTTCTCAACTTTGTAGGTTCCCTCCTCGATCAACGTCGCAAGACGCTTTTCAAGTCGGTCACCAATCTGGTCAAATGTCAGACCATCTTCTTCCTGCATGCGTTCGATCGTTGCCTTGAAGTTCTTGCAGAACAGCTCGGGCAACTTCTGTAGCAGTGCACCATTTTGTTGGTCACTTTCTGGCACTCCTGCTTCCGGCGGGTACACGGTGGGCGACTGGTTCATGATGTCTCGGACTTTCGACAAGAATCCTGTGACATCTGCAGGTTGATCCGCGTTGTGGAACTTCAACACGCCATCCGTAAGCGGTTTTACTTTCATCCGTTGTTCCTGACGGTTGTTTTGATCGAAGTGTCCTACATCACGAAGGAGCACAACAACCTCACCTGCATCCATCGCATCCACCTGCCCATTATCGTTCTGGTTGTTGATGAACGACGCAGCGGCACCTTTCAGACTACGAATAATCGCATCTTTCAGGTTGCGCCACTTCTGCCGAATTGTTTCCTCCCGATTGGTAACTCCGTTAGGAATACCATGAGGAGCTGCCGGAATGCCGACTACATTCGTGTAGTTTTGAAGCAGGCCGAGACGGCTAGCTTCCTGACGTATGGCAAGTTGCCATGCTCGCCAGTCGGACTTCTGTCCGAGTTTCTTCGAAATTTCTTTCGCATCGCAGGACATTTTGAAAAGTTGTTTCTAGATGGATTTCTACTCTATACTTAGCTCAAGGGTCAAAGTAGTGTTGGATACATTCGAACACAGACTGTTAAGTCGCGTCTAGTTTCTCGGTGAGAAACACTTGAGAGTGATACTGTTTGCACAATTTGCACTCACAGCCTGAGACTAATGATCTCTGGCTGCTTTGATCCCTGTGGATGTTCATTGGGGTTACATGGAGGAAGTCTCAGCTTCATCATTGGGATATCATGTTGCATGGGGAAACTTTCATATGGAAACGCTTATGCTATCATCATTGATTCATACGATCATCCTATGTTGATTCTCATCATTGATCAGAACTGACAGTACGTTATGAACCTGATTACAGCTATGAAACATTCATCATTTCTTCTATCTGAATACGTTGAAGGTCCTTTGCCTGATGATCACTGTTTTTGGAACTATATGCATTTAGGTCTGTAGGTTATCTTTGAGATCATTCCGGTGCTGTTTTGTCCTTGACTGTATTGGGAGGCTTGAGCCACAAACGAGAGAGAGAGGAGAAACCGCCGACACCCGCGCCAACTAAGGCCAACGCGTTGAAAGTGGTGCCGGTGGGTACCTTGTTCGCCTGGCGATCTTGGTCATTTTGCTGATCTTCATCCTTGTGATCTTTGTGACATTTCGAGGATTATGACCTTGACCAACAGTATCGCTACTTGAGATATATTTAGTTATCTCACTAATTCTGGTCGTGGACACACACTGGTGACACCCACTCGTCCTGATGCCGTCCTTTCCGTACTCAAAAGCTTAAGTATATGTAATGTATTCTATTCGTATTCCTATGATGAATCATCATAGGTTGACACTTCTTGCCTTCACGATGTTAATCAGGTGAAGAAAGAGTTCCAAATACTTGCTGTATGACCTCCTCCACGCTGAATAAGAAAGTCTAGGTCTACAGTTGCCCCATTTCAGCTGCTTCCAGGTCATGCTCGTCCCTATCCAAATGTACCTATCTCGTGCATCTGGTATTCTTTGGCATGATGTTGTACTTGGCAACCTGCCGGGCATGGGCATCCACTTCGTGCCGGCGTCCTCCAAATTTTAGAAGGCCATGGGCACCATCGTAAACAAATTCGTGCTCGGCCAGCCACGCCGTCGGCCTCAGCAAAAAGGACCATAAAAATGTCCGATATATTGGTCCCGGCGGCTCTCTGGTAATGCTCAACGACAAGAGCTAAGCATCAGATGAATGCGCCTCGTGAACGTGAAGGTGGAAACGGTCGGATGCCCTAGATCCTGGCTGAACCCTAAACCCTAGCATGCACTAGTTAGGGCATAGGGATCCTACCTGCAATCTATTCACTAACTATCTCAACAGTACATCGGCGAGCACGCCCTCATTGCTGGCGAACTCCCGGCGCGAGGCAAATGCAGGGACTACATCAAGTGGCTGCTGGACCAGCGAACAGGCAAGATCGATGTGGATCACAGAAACCGCGATGACATCCTAGAAGTTGACGTCCCAGAGCAATGCGTCGGATGGGTTACAGGCAGACAAGGCGTCGAATTGCGCAAGATCTTATGGACAACTACTACTACGTACTCGAAAACTCAAAATAACCGAGTTATTGAATGAAATAAGGGAGGTACCTTAACATCACGGCTACTCTTCCTTCTGATCAGTATCTCGCTTATTCTGATCAGTTACTCGCTTATTTCAGTTTTTCGAATACAGCCCTTCCCCTTGCTCCACCTACCCTAATGAATTACATCTTCTCCAACTCTTCCCCTTTGAGAAATACAAGTAGTCCGTTCTAATTCCCGAGGAGATGACGAAGACTTTCTGTTTCCTTGCGACCGATCCCAAGGAAAATCGAGAGCGCCTTCTTGTCTGCGGCATGACCGAGGGAAGCAAGCTAGAAGAAGTTGGTATACTATAGATCATGATAGGGATACTAACTTCGTTGTAAGACAGACTGTCACGACTGACATAGAAGATTCAAGAACTTTGCCTCCTAATGAAGATTAAGGGAAAATACTCACTGCACAACAAGCACATGTTAATTATAGGATACTAATCAGGTCGCCTCGGCGCTCAGAAGTTGGTGGAAGACCTGATACGGGAGAAAAGGGACATCGATGCAGGCCGCATCAGCTACAATGGTAGGCGTGGCGGAGGTCGTGGCGACTCCAGAGGACGCGGATATGCACCTCCAAGACATCGTCCAGACTCTCGTAGACGTGGAAATCAACCCCCTCCACGCCGAAGAATGGACAGTCGTGGACGACCAGGAGGACGCTTTCCAGGTGGACGATATTAAGTGAAAAACTAATGAAGATTTTGATTTTGATTTTCCATCCATGTTCTTGGACTTTGACGTAAGAAAAATGATGAAGACAATGGATAAGTAGGTCGGGGTACTACTTGTTGCAACAAAGCAAGTGTGATGTTGATGACGCACCATTCTTTCATCGAATAAGTAGATTCTTACGCAGTTGCTGGGGCTTCCAGTTGTAAGTAGGTACTTGGAACTGCAACTAGTTGCCAAAATAAAGAAATGCTCGTTTATTCATCCTTCACAAGCATGGGTTTGGGGCCATATTATTGACATAGTCGCATGGGACACTCACACATGCATGGCAAAATTGCCGAAAAACAGATATCGATACGCCGAAAATACTGATCATACGCAACGAAAAAACCCTCCTCCTCCCCTTACATAAAAACACATTAAATCCGCACGGCACCATTATGAGAACCATGAAATTCATTTTTTCAAGCAAAACTACGCGCGAAAATCATTATCCATAGGGCATCAAGATCATGAGTAAAGCCACAAGAAAAACAAAAGGAATTCGTTGACGCACCAGAGTTCCTCCATCGGTGAAGTGACTTCAGCGATCCTGTCGTACCCTCAGGAGAAGTACAACGTGTGTTCTGATCTCATCGAGTGACATTGTTGCAGTTGTCTCGTCATCTTGGAAAGAACAATAGCAAACCAGTACATCAAAAGAGACGAGCTGATATATCTATGACCGCAAATCGACGTTCTCCGAGATCTGAGCAGCTCGTAGATGCATCAGTGACTTATGATATCAAGTGCAAGGCGAGTGTACTAGGATGTGACTTCTTTTACCTTTCCTTCACGACGCTTTCTACAAGTTGAGAGTGCAGTTTCCTTATTAAGTCAGGACTATAATAATAATATTGTTCCTGAATTGCAGTACTTCTCCCTCTATAATTACAGCCATTAGTTTTACTAGCTTCCTTGGCTAGTCAACCAATCTTCCTTCCAAGAAACTACATACACGAGCAACAAGATGTCTTCGTCAGGGGTGAATTTCCCCAAGGATGGGGAGCAGCGGCCGACGACAGCTGTAAATCAAGGCGCTTTTGCAAAATGTGTAGAGACGGCAAGCCCACAACTAGCGCAAGAGGTTCGCAGCGTTAAGAACTGGCGCAGTGGCTATGCTGCTCATGTGCTGAAGTTATGACGGGATTGCGATCATGAGTGATCAACACGGAGATGGGCGAAGGCCTTTTTAGTAAGTGCGAGTCGCAGTCAGTTCGTGTTTCTGGCTCCTGCCGCTGCCAGACTGTGTCACGAAGATAGAAGATGCAAGGTATTGTCTTGATTCATAGGAGGAGAACTTTTCTTCTTCAATTGATAACGAGCGACTTCTTCTAGTTCTTCTAGAGCTGATCTCTTCTAACACGCCAAGTCGAATTGGCCTGCAAGAGCGAGGAGAATGCTTTGAGTATCGCGCAAGATGGTCTGGCGTTCATGCACAAAACCATGGTTTTCGAGCGAGATGGGGCAGAAGTGTCAGTCACCGATGCAATGGCAGGTGGAAACAAAAAATTCATGGACATTATGATCCGTCAGTTGGAATTATAAGTAGAGGAGTCTCCAGAGTCTCCACGGTCTTTCGCGCCTCAACGGAGGTCCTCGTAAGAGAGAAAGCGACTGTATCGAGGACGCCTACAAGTATCAACTTGTCATTTTCCTTACTACCTTCCAGTACTGTGTGTGCAAGTACAAGTGGAAGGCTTTTTTAGCGCAAGAAAGATGTCAAGGTGGTTCTTGAGGAAGCACAACAAGCTACAAAAATGAAATTCCTCATCCTCTCTAATCTCAGCAAAATTTTTCACACTGGTGTGGTGAAGGGCACTGGAATCTTACCCAAAGGAAACGGTCTGCAGGTACCCTATAAAGGGGGAGTCCTCTCTGGGGCGCCGCTCGTCTCTCAGATCGAAACATGGGTACGCAGAGGCGTCATCGAGCTTAGCACCGGACAAGCACTTATTAACGTATCTTTACATGTTTAAGAATTAAGATAAAGATTCCTATTTAAAAGTATCTCGACTATCTTGTTTATCTCTACCTTTATTTAAGATGGTAGTTCTGCCCAGTACCTATACTAGTATAATCGTGGCGCATCGATCCTGCACTTGCATCTATCTCTATTTTTCTTAAGCCTGCACGCCATCACCAACCGCAACGAGAATCTGAACTCTTTCCAGGTCGTCCAAAACGAGTCCTGGTCGGATTTGACTGACCAAACGGTGGTATTAGTCGGTGCGGGCTCCGCCATGGGTCCTTTCCCACTCTTGATGGCTATGGGGTGCAACGTGGTCGCCCTTGATCTGCCACGTAAAGGCATCTGGGATCGCCTCATCAGCATAGCAAAGGACTCTCCTGGTATACACCTACAGAAGTAAGTTAGCAGGTTCTAGCCCGGAGAACAAGGGCATCTGTTACTATTATTACAGGAGCAATTGGGCTGGGTGCATAGGGCGAGAAGCTAGGCATTTGGCAGTACTGCCGCTGCTCCTACTTGAGAAGTTGACAGATTTACTGCCCAGGGCAGTCTTCGCGAGACTCTTAGATATAGGCCACGCTTGGCGCCCGAAGATCCTGAAAACGGGAAGGAAGGCCTAAACCCTGAAAACGATCACGAAGCTCCGCCGGTTTCAGAAAAAAGCTCCAAAACCTTCCGGGGGGCGGGGCTTGTGGCGCAAGAAGTTCGAAGGAGGCCACCGAGATTCCGCCAAGAAAACGGGGGCCGCCCTGCTGGCAAAAAGCGCGCGGCTTTCAGTGTCTGCGGCTTCTTTTTTGGGCTGGGTGGGGCCTCTTGGGTTTCATCTCCAGGGCCTTCAGGGTCAGGGCCTTGCTGCGTTCTGTGAATTTTTTAGGTCGCTTAGGACTGGCGCAGCTTGCTTGGTGGGCTTGGTGGCTCGTGTGAAAATGGCGGCGGCTGGATGCAGGTGAAACTCCAGAAAGCTAAGCCAGGAGAATAACGCCGCCCGGACGATGCTGGGGGTGATTTCGCAAAAGTCGGACACTCTGGCGCGCCGCCGCCAGCTCCCGCTGTGATCCAGCATAGGCGCAGGCTTGCGCCTTTGATTTTGTCCGCGGGCATGGATGGGATGGCGGGCAGGGGTAGGAGCCACCGCTGCGGGATTAGTGAGCAGCACAGACGGCAAAGCGCGCAGCGAGCGGCGCGGCACCTGTGAAATCGAAAGGGGCACAAAGATGGGGGATGAAGGCTGTGCAAATTTGGAGGCGGCTGCACGCGCGCAGGGTTTGCCGTGGCCGGAAAAACTGCGCGCGTCTCTTCAGGACGAAGGAAGGGCCCCCCGCAGCCCAGCTGGCGCAGCTTCGCCTCTCGGGCGCTCGAGAAATTTTCAAGCAAGCTGGGCGCCTCTGTTTCATCTGGTGGGGGTTTTTGAGTGGTGCCCAGCGAGTAGCTTCCGCGGCTGTTTGTCATTGTCAGGCAGCTGCTGCGCTGGGCGGTGCTTTTCGAACTCGCGCGGCCCAGTCTCGAAAGTGTTGCGTGAAGGCTTTGGCCTTTACTCTTGGCGTTTCTTTGTCACTTGTTGCGGGGGGGCGGTTTTGTTTGCGCTCCTCGGTTCTTCCGCAAGGGTGTCGGGGGTTTCTCTTATTGCGTTTGTTTTGAAGGGGAGCCCATTATTCTGACCTTTGAAGGCTTTCATCACTTGGAATGTGAATATCGGGCCTGGAACTGGGGGAAGTATCAGAGTCAACTACTTGCTCACGCGCCACGCTTAATCGGTCCATCCAATAAATTATTCATCAACGACAGGCACCATCACTTTCCCTATGTCTCGCGCGAGTACAAAGGAGAGCGAGTTTGCGGAGTTAGCTGGTTGTGATTTGCTTGCCCAAACGCCTGAAATCCGAAACTGGCTTCTCGATGTCCGTCCCGGTGAAAGACTTTTGGTCGGTGCCTATGCCTACCTTGACGGCCCGCTCTTCGTCCGTGTCAGCGTAGCGATGTTACGGCTTTGCCAATGATATACTTTATAAGTCATGAGAATACCGGAATGCTCTTGATCTTGTTAGACACTCTTTTCTACTTCTCCTTTGTTTTCCTTTGTAAAAGAGCCGGAACCTCAGCCTGAGTACGTTTCTAACTCCCGACGCCATCATCGAATCGCTGATGACCTTGCGCAAGGGTCCCAAGATCGCAATTGCCTATCTCTGCACGCCGACCGACGCGCATGTGAGTTCGGCCGCTGCCCATGCGCAAGCCTCGAATGAGGCACGGAAAGCCCCTATGTGGCAAAAGCTGTATGGCGCGATTGCGGGCATGGCGTGTCCCAAACGTCGCTTAGCGTCGAACAGTCGAAAACCAGTAGTAGCAGACGATGGAACAGAATACTTCGTCACATTATGTCGAGACGTCTTTACATCAACATAGCATAGAATATACTTGTTGCATAATGCCAGATAGGATCAACATGCTTGTCGTGCTCTTTAGTTTAGCATGTGTGTAATTTGCTAAGTATCAGCTGAGAGCAAGAGCAATACTTGCGTGTCACCGTCATCGCTAACTAAGTATTCTTCATCTGTTGCAGTTTCTTGTTGAAGAAAATGAAAATTGAAGTTCCTCTAACTGACGATGCCACAGTGGTGGAACAGGGACCCAACTACATTCTGGCTAAGCGCTTGCAGCACTGGCGCGCAGTCTTTGCACGCTCTCAGGGACACCTAGTGTTAAGGCTCGATACAATTCATTTGTTTTCCAAGAGTAACTTAAACTTTCTTCGCTTTCCACCTTCTTAGGATCATTCTGAAGAAACGGAAATGAAGACAAGAAATTATGAATTGCTTTGATGAGCTCTAAAAGTGAGCACAAATATCGCGCCTGCAACTGCTACAGCTTCTGTTGTATCGAACAAATTGTTCGCGCTCGCATACGAAGGACAGCCGTACTTCACGCCGATTGAGGTACGAAGGTTTACAACTTACTAGTAAGTAGTTCTAGATCTAGTTGTACTAAGTAGTTTGATTTACAACAACTTAGACTAGCAGTTCTAGATCCAGTACTAGTTGTGCTAGTCTGATCTTCATTCTCTTTCTCCGCTTGACTTTCAAAAGGAAAAGTACTAATCTGAGAAGCCAGAACAATGTGGAGTTGCCAAGACCTCGATCAAAAATTTTTTCTCTGCTTGTAGCATGCATGCCAAAATTATTTACATTTGAAACACGGCCTTACAAACTGCCACAGGTCTTCGAGGGACCGACATCGAACGCGGTCATGGCTGCCTTATTGGTCAACGATTTGCGAAACCCCCTTTCTGTTATGCTCTGTCCCCTTAACTTCTATTTAGTAGTGTTTTCAAAGTCCACCTACTTTGTCCCGTGTTTGACGCAAATCGTCATTGAGCAAAGTACTTTTCTAATTCCCTCGCCAACCCCGATCGCAAACTTCGCAACCCTATGGAGCTGTTCAGTGAGTATGGATGATGTTTTTTCCATCTTTCAGACCTTCGAGGCTGCTCCTTTTCCCCTTAAAACTGTACTATAAGTTAAGGGGGGCCTCGATGGTCTGCCCAGATGGAATAGACGCCATCTATAGTGCGAACTCGTTCCATGGTGGTGCTTGGCGATGTGCCTACAAATACAATGCGATTGGGCTGCCCAGTATTGCGGCAGGCCTCGTAGTTAAGGCTCTCGTCACTAATGGATGCATCTTTGATGACTGCAAGTATCCTTGGAGAAAAGCACGAGGGGAACATAGTTCATTGTCGGGGAATACTCGTCTCCCATACTTTACTTCAAGAAGGATGTCGCACGAGAAAGTTCTAATGTAGGAAAATACGGATTGAAGTACTATCTGGTGCTCTACAACGCGGTCCAGACAATCGGGTGGAGTGTTATTCTAGCAAAGGTCGTCGAGGCGGTTATCAGGGGCGGGTATACTGGTTTTTCCTCTTGAACTACAACTCGACTTCATGAACTATACTAGGGTTAGTAGAAGTTGTACACCTCCTTCTATCTATTTTATTGATTGATGTTCCTTCATTTGGTCCTACTTTGTAGCTTTCTTGGTGTGGTTCTTTTTGTGAGGTCTAGGTCATAGTTGGGCACAAGATTGTTGATGTAATGAGATTGGTAAGAGGGAGCGCTATATTTTTATCGACGTCCACAGAATTGTTTTTACTGACCGGTACTGCAGCAAATACATAGTCGAGGAAATGTCTTCTCTAAATTGTCTCTATAAGTGACATCAATCACAATCAGTTTCGCTGGTCTTGCTTCGTCCTGGGTGTCGGCTGGTCCTCTGGTTGTGACGATGCACTACGTCATGCTATTGGAGATTCTACATAGTGTACTTGGCCTCGTCCGCTCCAATCCGGTTACTGCTGCTATTAAGGCTCCTAATAATGAGATGGACCGAAAGGCATCTTGTTCAACTTGCTCAACATCATTCTTGGTCTTGGAGCTGGTCTCCTTTTCCAGTAGGGTCTCCTCTTCAAAGTAGTTGTAGAAGGAAAGACTACTTTTGAAGAGTTGCTAGTAGAAGACGAGGACTCTTTTGATGACGTTCTAGACGGCTGCGGTTATAGCGCGGTTAGAGTGTGCGAGAGTCCACCCCGGTCCCTCCATCTTCGCACCCTTTGCCATCATTCCTGGAGCTGGTCTCCTTTTCCAGTCCTTTTCCACTGACTCTCGTCGAAGAAGATGCGACGCGATAGCTCTAATGGCATCCAAGTCTACTCTCGTCTCCAAGTCTGCATTATCCTAAAATACAGTGGAAACAATCCAGCGTTGCTGACGGGCGTTATGCTTCTTTATGACACGGTGATGTCGTCTATGTCTAGCTCTAGGTAGATAAACATTTCAATTTCGGAGGTGCACAAACATAATATCTAGAAGCAGAAAAAGTGCAGATCTTGTTCCTATCAGAAGCGTCGCCCTAGGTGGTGCCGCGATAGCATTAGTTCTTGTACCTCGTCTCTGTGATCACGCACATGTGCTGCATTTTCATCTCTCATCTTCCTCTGTAGTTTTGTTACGATTACTAGAGTAATCTCCACCTCCTAACACATACTCTTTCTTCCTCTGTAGTTTTCCCCTTTCATACTCTTGCATGGAGCATCACGGAAGCGATTCGCCACGCCTACCTCGCGAGCAACCTCCTGCAGCTACCATCCTATCTTCTCAAGTTACGAAAGCATCAGCTAGAAATTCCACACTTGGGGGAGCCGAGCCTTTCCTGATCTTTCCTAAAGGACGAGATCGTCCGTCGTAGAGAGCAACATCTTTGGCACAACATATTTATCTTTACAAGAACATATGTTTAGACCTAGTCGTGGTCGTGGTAGTGCTAGTGCACCAAGAGCTACAACGAACGACCCTTAGCCCTCGTGCACCTAGGAGTGCTAGTCCTAGTACTTCTAACCACGACCCCTCCTCCTCCTCTAATCTGTTGGTGCCGATATTCGTTCTTCTTTGTCCTGTATCCGATGGGCGTCTCTGGAGAGTTAGGGAGTTTGGCAGCGAGCTGGCAAGATGTGCAGGAATGGCCTTTGGATCGCAATAGCTTCGACACATGGCTCATCAACTGCGCTAAGATTATGGCGAGTTAGATTCATTCACGACATCTAGGACAGATTCAGACTGGTGTAGTACATCTAGAACAGATTCAGATTCAAGCACTGAATTCTCTGCTTTAAAGGTCATTTTTGACTGCTTGAGTCTTCATTTTATCACTGGATAATTAAGCAAGCAGCAGTGAGCAGTTGTTTATTTAGTGTCTTTGTCTTTCTTTAGGAAGTGGTAGTACTAGCATGGGTAGAAGAGGATAAAAAGTACTCAAGCTAGAGGCGGCAAGCATGAAGAAATCACAGTCGGTCGCGTCTCCATCTTCAAGAAGGAAGATGTAAAAAAACTACCAGATACAGATTCTCAACACGACTGAAGATACAGATTCTCAATTATACCTCAAGAATAGGTCGTACATGAATCAATCAAAACCTTCGCACCATGCATTGACTCTGCTCTAAGGAGACCATCATCGGCGTGAGTGGCAACAGCATGTTTTTGCTGTACGCGATCTACGCGCCAGGACTCGCCTTCCTCTATACGCATATGATTTCTTACGGCGATTCTGACTGGCTATTAATTAATATAGTACTTTGATCTTGTAGTGGTTGGTTCCTCACTGAAGACTACTTATTAGTAACTATTTGTTTTTGGAGTGCCCCTCACAAGGCTATTAGTCTAAGTTCATTCCTGTAGTGGTTGTTTGTTGCTTTTAGTGGCATGTTGAGCGACATAGATACTGGCATATTCAGTGGTGGGGAGAAAAGGAGTTGTCGTAGTTTTTTTGCTGACTCTGAGTACGTAGGTAATTCTGTGACGCCGGGAACGGTTACATCTTCTTATTTCAACGTTCAGACCGCATAGTGAAAAACTAGTTTTACAGCGTGGCTGCCATACTCTAGTGCCTGTGAGATTCTGTTCTCCGGAAGAGTCAGATTTGGATAGTATCTTCACTCTCTAAAATCCGCAGCGAGGAAAAGCGCTTGGTGGTGGCGCCTCAGCGAAGAAGAGCAAGACTGCGTGAGAGAACTCAAGGTATGTGGGGCCTAGAATTTCTGCAATGGGGAAATCGGGGGCGGTAGAAATTACAAGCAAAGTAATACTTTCCGTTAGAGATGTAGATGTACCGCTACTTCTAGGTACTAAATACCATGTCACTCGATGAACTACTTATCTCTGTGTATCATATACATATCATTTTTATCCTCATGTGCTGCGAACACGACGAGTAGAGAAACGAATACATAGTGCTTATCGGGACTTCCCATTATTTTGCACACACTGAAAATCCCCTCCCAGCTGCCTCTTAGTATAGTATGATATCCATTCCAAGTTATTTGCAGACAATGGAGGTTTCTTCTCACCTCGTGACAGTCGAATCACGACAACAACTGGTCCGAGTACAAGTAAATAAAGGATATCTAGGAGATCTTTTGTTCAACATTCATTTAAGACCCGTCATGTCGTGATCGACTCACTTTCTAACTGAGTACTTCTACCTACAAACGACAATATATGAACATCACAGGTTCCATAGTGGGTAAAGAACATCAGGCTTAGTACTACTCGAAATATATAAATTTAAAATTTACATTTACTCCAACACGTTCCTATATTGACATTAAGAGACACTATCAATCTAACGCATGAAGAATAAACATCATGATGCTTTTGCGCACATCATGCTTTCCATAGTAGATTCGAATATAGAGCACGCTTCTTTGTTGAAATATAATCCTAGTACTCTATGAAGAGGAACAACATGGTACTGGATGGAGACACTCAGTAATGCTGTATTGTGCCAGTAAAGGCGATTTCGAAGAAGCCCTATACTATAGATGACCACTACGGGACTTCACGAAGCAGTGGGGCCTCAGCGATGAAGTAGAAGGAATGACAATGCTCCTTTCTCAAGCTCGGCAAGCTTTGACTGCTCGATGGAGGAGTTATCTTGGTGGTGTTTGTTTGTTCAGAGAAAGTGTCGCGTGCACGCAGTTGATTTCGCACGTGACAAAGGACTTAGCCTTGACTGGCGTCGGTTTAGATGATTTTTCCAGCGGATTCGACAATTGGAAAAAATAATCACATTTCTGTAGCTGTCATGCAAAAGATGGCGATTTTTTGTTGGGCGATCACAGAGATACATAGACAGAGAGAGCGGAAGATGGAAGAACAGGTGCTAGATAGAATGTCTCTGTGGTGAGGGAGATGAGTGTGAGACTGCATAGCAAGCTTCTTTCTGTTGAATGAGAGACAGATGAGTCAGCACAGACTTTTGGACATATTGAGTCTCTGAGTACAGTATAGCGACTTTGTTATGGATCATACTGTCTGTGCCTGTTGAGCGGACTTCTTAAAATAACGCCCACCCGGACCTGGACGATTTCGTATTACCTTTTATTCAGAAGAAGTCTCACGGGAGCCTTGCACACAAGGTGTCGAAGGGAGAGCAGGCGTGTTTCAGAGAGTACGTCGAAGAAAGCGCAACCTTGGCGCGATGGGAACACAGAGTCATGGTTCGACAACGCACAGCGTGGAGATACAACTACCAGCAGAGGGAATTCTTCTAGCACTAGCCGGTCTCCTGTCTTGAGCGAAATAACTTGTGAACATCGTCGTCCCTTTTCTCTCACGGCTTTACTCCGACCTCCGAACACCCGAAGCCAGAACCTCCGCCCAAAAATTCTGTACTCCAATGGTGCTATCTTCTGGTGCCTCTCATACGTTCATGCAGCCAGAACTCACTGTCAATTTTTTTTGATTGTAGCTTCAGCAGCTTGTAATTCAACTGAATGCATGTCTTGCAAAAGAAAGTACAACATTCCGAGAAGCACCAAATTCATTTCTTTGAGCCTGTTGGTTCTTCTGGATGTTGAATGAATGAATGAATGAATGATGCGGACAGTTTACACTTGATATTCTTGGACAGTTTACCCTTGATGCTGGGTCTTGCTTGATGCGGACAATTTACTTACCCTTGATACTCACCCTTAATGTTGTTCTTGCTTGAGGCGTCGAATGACATCATTTAGACGCCCATCCTTGGGCTCATATGGAGTCCATATCCTTCCGGTGCCACCAGTAACGGCCACAGCTTCGAATTCGCTCGGTCTAGCATTAGACGGGGGACCTGCTCCACGCGACTGAACTACTAGCCTAAAAAAGATGGAAGTCGGAAAGAAAGGCTAATATTTTCTTGAGAAAAAAGGCTGATATGCAAAAAGTTGCAGTTGCGGAATGAGACGATCTACTCCTTTCCAGTTGCATATTGTCCTCAATTGATTTATCCTATAATAAATTTCGTAATGATAGGATTTTGTTGAAGCTGAAACGCCACGCGGTCACCGATGATTGGTAGGCGCTCGTCTACAAGATGCTTGAAGGGGAAGATAACGCGGTAGTGCTCCCCTTCAGCTGAAGGCACAGCGTCGTCTGGTCGTATGAAGCAGAGGTTAGAGCCGATGCCGATGGCTCTTCCGTTCTTTATTAATTTTCTGAGGCAAAAGCTTAGAATTAGATACAAGAAACTCAGCTTTCAGTACTAGGAGTCCTTCTAATGAGTGATGAGGATGAAAGCCCTCCTGCCTTAACGTATGCCTTGGAAAGAATGCGCCCCTGAACGAAGCCGTAATACGTGGCGCCAGGTATCGGGTCTTTCACAACGAAGCTTCTTCGCCCTTCGCGCAGCGTGTTCACATAAGTGATTTCCTTACCCCCTTCTTGGGCTCTTGATGCATCACTTCTCCTTCTCGTGTCTGCGTTTCCAGCTGGTGTATTCGACACACGACTTTCTTGAACAAATGTAACAGACGATGCATGATGCGAACTGCTTGTACCCGCTGGCGCATTCTTCTCTCCTTCTTCTTCTTGGTTCATGACTTCCGTGAATCCTCCTGTTCTTTTGCCGTTGCTAGGTGAAACTGTCCCAACTTTAGCGACCTCTCTGGCTTCATATTCGCCTGGCCGTACCGGGTTCGGCTCCAGCTTGAACTGTATCCTGTCCCCAGCCTGTAACTGTTGGAAATTAGATAAGCGCCCCCTGTAGATACCTGGTATAATTATGGCAACCAACCTACTTATCCTACTAAAAAAGTGCGTAGTCCTTATCCTACTAAAAAAGTGCGTAGTTCATTAGGTAAAAGTTGTAGAGGTAGAAGAGCAAAAGTTGGAGAGGTACTCTGAAGGACAAGGGAGATATAAGTACGCAGTTAGACTTAAATTGTAATTGCCGTCGAAGGACATGATGAAATCCTCGGTGACCCTCAACAGCTCATAATATTATTCACCATTCAAAAATCAAGTTGGGCTACCGCTACGTAACATTAAAAGCTGTACAGCTACAAGAGTACTGACTCGCCATAGTAAGTTGCTTTCGCACGACATGTCTGAAATGAAAGATCAGACGGAACGGGTCGCCACGACTCGTTGAAGGGAGAGCGTTGTCCGGTTTGATGAAGCCATAGTTTCTATCGATAGCCCAATAGGTGATGAAACCTTGCTGAACTTCTAAATGTACATCTTGCTCTTTAACTTAAAGCTCAGCATTCAATGGTCACTGACTCTGAAAGAAATGGGCCCCATGCCTCTCCCTTTGCTTTTCCTTCATTTTCCCCCCCATCTTTCCTCAAGAGGGATCTCAGTGACCAACCCCAATGACCACTGAAAGCTGAGCCTTAATTAACATCATGGAGGTCATGGTCATGGTCTTTGGCACCATGCTGAAGTAGATCGACTTTATTTCTTCCGGATTGATCACTTTTTTCGCAAACGTCCACAACACGAGTGCCACTGTTTTTCCTTGTATCGGCATTGACGATACTTTGGATCTTAGCGCTGGAGTGCCAAGGAGGACCATAAAGAGTTCTTTACTTCTCTTCTCGGGAACCAACTCAACAGGAAAAAAATTTTGAGTCAAAACTAATCTTCTCTTACCCATAATTGCTCCTCCAACATAGTCTTCCTTCGACGCCCCTCCGCCTTCTCTGCCTGCTTTGGACTGCGCTATGACTGCAGACGAGGATGAGAAGTCACGAGGATACGAGGACAACGCAACTCCATGGAGTGATGAAGCCTTTCTTGAGAAACGAAGGCGACCCAGATTAATTGTTCTTGATGGCTCGCCAACATGTTTAGTGTTCTTGATAGCAATCCATGCCCATCGTGATGGTTCTCGAACGCAAAGATGACCCATAATTGACGTTGCCCTTGATGGCATCCGCGGAACCAAATGATGTTGTAGGAACAATGATGTTGACGAAGCCATTCTTGGTACTATAACTTTCCGTCGTGGAAACGGATCGATCCTTTAATAGTACTCCTATGTACGGATGTACTTTCAAGGAAGTGTACGAACTTATGCTCAGATACAAATTGAAATTCTAGGAACCTCGCCTCTTGTCATTGAAGCATCAAGCATCCTTTAAGATGAAGAGTGAGGATTTGTCTTGCAAGCAACATGAAAAACATCTACTAGGACAACATGAAAAATCTCTACGACAAAGTTGTTCTCGCTCTCGTTGCCACGTCGGTCACTTGGCTAAATTTGACCACGACCGACAACGTTGCTGCTCTCTCCCTCAGTACGAGCCGTAAACCGTTTTTTGAAATTTCAACGACAAGGACAGCGACTACAGTATTATCACAACACAACTTCTATTTTCAGAAGCTGCACATCACGAAACAAGCAATAGTTAGGTTATGTGTCGCTTATGCGTCAAAAGATACCTCCAGAACAGGTAAATGAATGAATGAATTTGTTTCCACTTTGACTTCACGAACTTGCTGTTGATGTTGCTGGTCAGATGTTGCTGGTCAGAATCTGGATTTATGTTATAAAAAGAATCTGCGGATGTTCTTCGGGATGTCGTGGACGAAAATAGTCGTACTAGGGGCAACATCGTGACTTTCTCGGATCGAAACGGGGGTTGCTGTACACAAAATAGGGGAGGGCATTGACTTCATAAACATATCTTCTCTGGGCATTGACTTCATATTTTCAGGGCATTGACACCCCTTCCTTGCTTAGGGTCTATATACTTCATAAACATATCTTCTTCCTTGCTTAGGTTTATTGCTGTGATGTTGGCGAAACGGTTGCTGTACACATATTATCTTATTCTTCAGAATATTCGTGTCATGGAGAAACCTGGTACTAAACTTGCCGTTCATACAATGGGTCAACATAATGTCTCAACAAACATTTTTAACATACATATTACAACTACAACATCAACATCCTGTGAGGTTCATTTTTCATGTTGATAAGATTTGCAGCTACTTTCTCAGACTAGTACCTACTTAATTAAAGTTCGTCGTACGCAAGTTTGTTACAACTGCTCTTAATTTTGTCACTTCTAAACTGTAGTTTTGTGAATCATTTATAACGATTCGTACTGGCAACATTTGAGCTCTTGAATTTGTTTTCATAGGCTACTGTGACTCTGATTTTGAATTGGCTACAGGATGATATTGCAATTTCTTTCGATGTTGTCTCTAATTCTCTAGTTCTCCTTTCTATGATGTTAAACTACAATGAATTGTTGAAGGTCGTCTATCTATCTTGCATTTTTAGGTGGATATCAAAAACGTCAGGTCCATATCTATGATCAATACTTCTGTTATTTATTCATTTTCGAAATACTCAGTGTCACTATCTTACTTCTTCTTCTAGTTGTCGACATACTGCCAGTCATGTGCGTGCTCCTGATGTCATCCATGGTGGTGCCCCTGATACGATCCTTGGTCAGATTATTTGGCAAAAAGGACCCTCCTCATATACTCGCTATCCCTGCTTACGCGGTAACGAGCCATAGTGACATTACCTAGGAACCCTGACTAGAAGTCCGGCTTCTAAGTAACTTATGGCCAACCATGAGATCAGAGGAGAGTGCATTTTTGCCGCGTCTGAGCACTGACTACGAGTGCAACGGCAAGACGTGACAGACCAAGAGGGAACAGCAATATACAGACACTGACAACAGACCTCCACGCAGTCGGTCAGCGTCACTCATGTATCTCATGCCGCACCCTTTCTGGTCATCAAGTCTGAGAAGATGAAGAACGTCGTAAAACAAGTTAGTAGAGAATTATTGTCCCGTCTTTGACGGATCATATATTCTCCTGACTCTTCTGCAAGCCTTGTTATGCGTAACCACAAGCTCACGCTACCTTACAGACATGAGAGAGCAAGAAAAGGCACTAGACGGATGGGTAACTCGCTAGCTAGCAGCGCGTAGACTTCTTTCCTTTCTCTGTTGTCTCTAATAAAAGAAGGTCTTTCTGTTCTCGTTGTTCTATTACTCTTCTTGACGAAAGGCCACACGCTCGTCCCACGATGCAGCCCCGTGCGTTTGCACAGGCTGGACTACTCGCGGATCAGATTGATGTGGAGGCGGCAGGATCTGATTTTGATTCTTTTCAGAACTCTAACAGCTGTACTCTAATGACTCCTCTGCAAGATGAGACTTCCCTTCCCTAGATTCGTAATGGGACGGACTGAGCAGGAGCGTGGAGCCCACTTCTTGAGCCCAATGGAACTACCTCGCGAGCAGAACAACTAGAAGAAAGAAGAAAAAGTGATCTAAGTAGTTACTAGGTACTTCTACATGGTATTCCTTTTGTTCATTCATATTGAACGAACGAATTTGAACTGCCAAGTGATCCACTGTAATCATCTAATTCTAGGAAACTACATAAGCACAAGGAAGTACATTCATTTGTCTACGGGTCCGTCGCACTCGTCCTTTTTCTCGACATGACAACACAGACGCTACAAAAACAAGAACAAGCGACACCTCATCAGAGAAACGATCCTTTCCTAGATGGATCTTCCAAATTGAAAAATTATTTCTATGTGCTAGTACATTTTCCTTAGGTCACAATCGTTGTTAACACAGTCCTCCTGTGGTTCATCTTATGACGTATTCTTGGTCAGTAGAGTCCTGCTGTGGTTCATCTTACGACTTTCATCCTGACAAGATTCTTGGTCAGCAGTTGTTAACATCAACTACATCATGCCCTAGTTAATAGTTGCCCACCTATTCTAGTTCACGTTCATATTGGTACATTGCTAGTTCATTTGTATATTCATCTGTATACATATTTGTTTCTTCTATTGCATATTCGGTGATGCAGGAAGAACGTGATGAAAAAGCATTTAGATTTTTGTTTTGCGGACTACAGTTTCTGCAAAAGGACATAGGCACTATACTATTTCGGAATATTAAGACAAGTCTCGTATCCGTATGTACTACTACACTGTAGTCCCCTAATAACCGCCCCCCCATTTCCCCTACAGTAATGAGTAATACTTCCTCCGTACTTTGACTACAGGAGTAGTCTCTTTCTCCTAACTACACCCCTTGCCACACCCCGCCCCAACGCTACCCCCCCTTACTTTTTCACTTTCATCTCCCTAAAGGAGAGTAGGAGTTAGGCACGCCTTTTGCCAGATTTCTTGCCAAGACGTCCAGCCGTGCCACCGATCTTGGACGCTTGTGCACCTCCGCCAATATTTCCATGTCCACCGCTCGTGGTACCTACTGCACTGCCGGTTCCCCCATTGACACCGGCTGCGCGGCTGCGCGAAGGTTGTTTCTGCCGCGCGGGTGCGCTGGCGGTCGATTTCGATGCCTGCGCTCCCCCATTCGCGGTTGCAGCTTCTTCTGGGCACGCCTTCACGACGGGAGCTTTGACTCCAAGAATCTCACTGAGGCGCCGGGTCCATGAAGGGTGGTGAGTGTACATTGGGGTCTTACCTATGTGATCGGAACGGGGACAAGACTTGTTCGTCTACTTCTCGAACATGATCATGATGTTATTTACATTAAGCTATCAAAAAAGTGATCGAAGTGCCTCTTTCATTTCGATACTAGTTGAAGACGAAGAGCGAAAAATATCATACTTGATGACTCGAAGCCTTGACTTCCTCCATTTCCGGTGGCGTGACTTCCTAAATACCTATGTAAATATCTCACAGTAATGTTTGCAGAAAAAAACTAGAAGACGAAACACAGTAGACTGATTCATTCTGATCGATTATGTCCGCTATCAAATCTCCAGTCGATCTTCCAGATATCAAGAACACCTTTAGTTACAGCTTGCGTATTTGTCTATAAGTGATGAGCATGGATAAACGAAGTGGCACCATTCACTATCAAAATATTCCGCGCTTTGAGTGTCAAAAGGGAAAGGCATAAATTGAGGTCGTTAAGCTGGCCCCTGAGCTCAGTCTCTGGGTTGGGCTCACTCATGGCCGATTTCCCACAGAAGATTCTGCTCTTCCACGCGCTGCCAACGATTTTCGCGATCTTAATTCGGTACTCCGGGCTCACTTGTGTATCTGTTTCTGTAGATATGCCCTGCTTTAGCTCTACCGACTCTACCATATCGAGCATCGCGCCTGCGTAGGTTATGAAGCTCCTCACCTTATCGAGCTCGAGCGAGGGGACACCATTCGTGGCCCAGATCTCCCTGATGGTGTATATTAGGAGACTGAGTCTGCCGAAGTTCGTTCCAGGCGGTGACCAGCCAACAAACGTCTTCCACTGCCGCACAACCTCAGACATTTTTGCTGCGATATCCATCGAATATGAAGAAAGAAGAGCAGCGGATGGATGGTCGGAACTCGAAATTATCTAGAAAGTAGCAATCTAGAATCTACCATCTAAGGGTGTGGGTGAAGACGTCTCATGCGTTCGTCATGTCTGTTGGGTGAATACCAATACTGTTTCTCGCTATAAAAGAGATCGATCTTCGTGTCAAATTATTTAGGTCGCAACTAATAATATATGTTGCCATTAGTTTCACTGGCGTGTTATAAATGAACAGGAAGACATTACGTTGGAACACCCGAACACGTCCAAGCACAATATGAGACTCTTGAGAGTAAGTGGAATGATTATCGTGGCAATGTAACAGAAAGACGACCAGAGCGGACGCGCCGAATGATCACTGACTGTTTAAGGCCCTGAAATGGTATCAAAATGGGCTCAATGTCGTTGGGATATCATGAAGGGCCATAGTGCAGCTAAAGATCTGGGAGATCTTGCAGCTAATTCATGTTGGAACTCATTGAGTTCATATGATGATCATACGAGGAACTAACAAGAGTTCAAGACAAGGAACGGTATTGATCATGATCATGGTGACGAGTGAGAGCAGTCATCTGGCATTGAAATCAGGTTCATCCATTGGATCTTGAGCCAGTAATGACCATTGACCAACACCCCTCCTCGATCGCTAGGTGAGGAAATGACGGGAGTCAGGAGCGGTCTGGTACTACCTGCTCTGACCCAGAACCTTCACTTTTCGTTGTATAGCCACTGACGTCACCACTTGACCAACGATCTAACACCCTAAGAAGCGAGAATAGGCAAGCACCGCCAAAGCAGCAGAACTTGAACCAGACTCGTCATCTTCTTCTTCCGGGTCACTATCATCTTCAACATGGTTACGGTTAATTACTGGATTCTCTATGTGATGTAGTCATAATCTGCGTTGAGTGGATGAGCATGAGAGTTTCGTTAGTCCGTCAGCTTTCATTAGGTGAGTAGGACAGAAAGCGACTTTCTCAGCTGCGTCTCTAACTCTTAAATAACGTAGTGCATAGTGTCTACTTTTAGGCTTCGCATCTTCACTCTTTGCTGTCGAGATTGCAGACTGGTTGTCTATCCACAATATGGCACCATCGAGGGATGGCGATATACCAAACCGCGTTTCCACTAGTTGAGTGGGTAAGGGATTGAAGAAATCTGTAAAATCATGCAGCTCGCTCATGACAATAGTGTCCGAGGCGGCTATATACTCTGACTCTGCCGCTGAATATGCACGCACGGTTTGTGTATTGCGTTTCCAACAGATTGGAAAACCCCGATAGTACATAATCGAATCACTGGTCGAGCGCATGCTCTTTATGCAGTTTGCGAATCCTGCATCTGAGAGCCAGTTAGTATACGGTAGCTCCCTTCCTTCTGGTAGGAGCTTCTTGTAAATTTCGTTGAATTCTTCCTCACTTTCTGGAGAGTAATAGAGTCCTTGGTCTTTTGTCGTAGCTAGATACTTTAATACTTTTCTACAGGCTTTTGCAATTCTTTCAGTGACGGGCTTACTGACATACCTAGCCAATGTCGCCACAGAGGCGCAAATATCTGGCCTTGCGGTTGTCGATATCCAAAGCAGTGCGCCAACAATCTCACGCAATGGAAACCCGGCAGCTAGCTTAAGCCCCTCCTCAAGCAAAGCAGACCCGTCGAAATTTGGAGACCGCACCGGCTTACCTAATGTTATTTTATACTTCTGTAAAGTCTTCTTTATGTACACATTCATCAGGATTTTCACTGAACGCGCTTCCCGACAATAGTGCACAATCGCACCAAGAAAGTCGAACTCTAGCCATTCGAAACCCGTGTGAGAATCGGCTCGCTTTGCCATCTCAATAGGTCGGCCAGGGGCGCGACTAAAGATCCGGTCGAGCTCAGACCGTAACTCTTGATAGTCAGGTCCAGTAGCTAAGTTATCATCAACATAGACTGACATCTTCATATACTTCCCTGGGTGCGTTTTGCTCTTTTTCCGCCACAATCCTGGAGCAGAAGGACGCGGCGGGCTCCCATCCGAGTTCGGACAATAGCACGCAATACTTCTTGAACCAGGCTCGTGGGGCGTCCTTGAGCCCATATACATAGAGCTTTCTTAAGCTTGACGGTGTCCGCTCCATGCTTCTCCGCCCACACTGGTGGAAGACGGCAGAAGACGTCGCGATCGAGTTCAGCATTAAGGAACGCAGAATCAAGGTCGAAGGGGATGACGAAGTCAGACTCCGTCGCTGCTGAAACGAGTAAAAGTCTATTTGCAGCGTGTGACACTACAGGGGCGTAGGTGTCGATATTCCCCGAACGATCGAGATTCCCGAGCACACAAGCACGAGCTTTGAATGTTCCATCACGTTTTACCGTGAGAACGATTGCTATAGGCATTACCTGAGAAGAGGTTCGCAGCTCCTCGTCAGTAGCTGGCGCCCAAGTCTCAAAGGCAAGTAATCTAGCTTCCTCCTTGGTGATAGCTGCGCGCCATTTTTCGGCGTCAGGGCTTCTCAAGGCTTGGGAAACTGACAGCATGACACGCGCTTCGAGAAAGGTCCCCCCTTCTTCCAGCTCATGCCCGCCTACTAGCATGGCAAATTTAGTCACGTCTTTCCTTAATGCTTCTAGCTCGGCTTTTGTTCTTCTTTTGCGTTGTCCTGGATTCTTATCCTTGCTCCCTTTAGGTCTTCCTCGGCCTTTCTTCCCCTCCTCAACTTTGCCTGGCTGAGATGGTGGAATTGTTAACTTAAGGTCCTTGGATCCCTTGCTTCAGGATTAGAGTCAGGTGACACACGCTCCGATGAGCTATTCCCCTCCTCAACGCGTTGCGCGTCGGAGTTGGAATCATCGCCGGTCTTCGGATCTTCGTCTTTGTCCAAAGATTCACAGAAAAACTCATCAACTTCATTGCTATCGAATATCATTTCCATGCCGGTTGGATCGCCTGAGCTGTACTCCGTGCCAGAGAAGCGCGGCTGACAGGCCATACGTTGCAGCGCATGTCTGTGCAGGACGGGACCCAGCGACGGCGTGCTAGACTGCAGGTTTTCCAGCGGGTCACAATCAACATAAATACCCTTCGACGTAGGCAATAGCCAATCAATGTTCTTGACTAATATCGACTCTCGAAATTTTACATCTAGTGTGGAATACTCACCCCACTTGAAGCCAGCTCTCGCTCCCCCATCGTTGTGATATGTGCCTACTAGCCAACCAGACGAAACTGGACACAGACCGAGAAACACACCACGCCGATAAGGTGGCGCGAGCTTTGCTTCTTTCTTGTTGGTGGTGTCGACGACCTGCTCACGAAAGTACACCAAACAACCAAATCTTCTTAACATACCTAGACCACTTTTCGAGGACTTCTTGCCTATCCTCTTTTCTAGTATCTCGACAGGACTCAGCCCATCACGTTCTGGCATTTTTGCATAGCGATGCGGTAAACGATTCCAACAATCTCCGGCATACTGTAGGCAGTAACACCAAAGACGTCGGCCGACTTTGACCAACATGGTACGCACAGCACCGAAAATGGTCCGCGTGAAACGTTCGCAAGTTCCGTTCATTTCTGGGCTGTAAGGAACTCCAGGAATTTCCGAAACCAGTAGCGAATGCATGACTTTGGTCATATGGTCACTACTTAGGACGGGTTCGCTATCTCTACGGATGAACCACGCCGCCTTGTCGTCGAGTGACAATAAGTAGTCCTGGCGAATGCCTTTTATTACTTCTCCAATCACCTCTACGCAGTCCGACTTAAGGCAAAGAGGACGAACGAAACACATCTTAATCGA